CACGATATGACCCATTGCCAACCCTGAATCTTGATTATGAAGTAGATGCGTATTTTACTTATTAATGAAAATTAGAATTCAAATTATAAGATTTTTGAGGTATCGTGTTGGTGATCAAATTAAAAGTTGAAAGAGTTTGACTTATATTTTGAATTGAAGGAAAAAATTTAGAAGGTAACAGCTGTTCTGATGGCATAAGAAGTTATAGAATTTGATTTGTTTGTTTGACAGTCAGTTGTTAATTGATGGACTGTCAGTTAGTTAGTTAGTGCCTATGAAAATTAGACATGTGATTGCCTCAAGTTCCTTTAACTGGAACTTGGGAGGAGAAGAGAGATACCAGTTATAGCTTTATCTTTAAGATCATTTTTAGAGAGTCTGCCTCTATTTTCTAATTGTATCATATATATATCACCTATGTTGCATGGATACGGTTATGGGGACACGAAAATTCGACATGGCAACACGGAAAATCTCAAAAAACTAGGACACTGACATGGCAATTAAAATAATAATAAATCTTGATAAAATTATAATAGTATATACTTATATATATATTTAAAAATAATAATTCATTCTCAATACTTCAATATCACATAATTCTATAAAACAAAACAAAGTACTCATGTTCATCATCCATACATAATAATTAATACACCACCAAATAAATTATAAATGATCTAAACTCTCAATCTTCTTCAAGCATTTATGTCTTCATTATTGTTGTTATTAGAAAACAACACGCCCTCTAATTCCTATTCATGAAGTGAAAGGTTTGCAATTTCAAGCACACCCGCATTTTCCAAGTTCATAGTATCAAATCCATCCCTACTAACATCCGACTCTCACCTTTGTTGTAAACCAACATCTTTCTTGATAAAGACGGAGATTATTATGCATGAACACCCAATTTTCAGCTCTTTGTGGTGCTATCTTGTTCATTCTAAAGAATGTACAAAATTATGTGTATTCCAATTTCTTTCATAACAAAAGGAGGAACAAGGTTGGCCAAGTAACTTCAAAGCTAAATGTTGAATGATTGGAGGAAAAGCTCCATAAAAAATCCACCATTTCACTGGTTGCATACGACCTCTATCGGTTAAAGAATCCGTATTTGAAAAATGGTCAATTCCACCGAAAAAATCGGCATACTCTTCTCTAGCATGCATCCTCTCCAAATCATTAGGAAAGAGTCGCTCAAAGCATTTTTGCCTTTATAATGTAATTTCTTGATCTTGATGTGGAGCAACACAATTTGGAACAAGCCATTCGGTGGTATAATACCTAAAAGTGATGAAATAATATAAATTAAAACATTATAGTGACTAAACAACTAAATGAATTTACTAAAAAGTTACCTCGGATTTAAAGAAAAGAATGTGAAAGGCAATGGAGTGGAGTGTTACTTTTGGTTCATCTTTGCAATAAAACCTCATGCACCGTGTTAAAAAAATTCCGAATGTTCATGAAGTTGCTTGCCTTCTTTTTTATAAATAGCCACCTTCACATCTCTTATCATACAATCCCACAATTCATAAACCATGTGAAGACAAGACATATTTGCGTCACACTTTCTAAGCATGTTATAAATGGGAGATGTAAAACTAAGTATGTAATCAATTTTAGACCAAAGTACATCATCCAATATTTTCTTTTTGATAGATCTTGTTTTTTCAACATTATCTTCTTGATATGCATCTCATTCCTCACTAACCATCATTCTTTGTAATTCAACATTTATTTCCCTATATCTCTTCCTTATCATAATTATGGAAGCAAAGCGGGTATCGGCAATTGAAAGAAACTTCAACTTTGAATGACGATTAAAAATGGCCAATCTCATTTGGTTGTTCATGCTGTAGTTTTTCATCGCCAACACTCATCGGCAACATCACTAATACAAATGCATTAACCCCACACATCATTATTGGGACTTGCCTTCAGTGTGCAAATGTTCTTCAAAGCAACGTTTTGTGTGTGCACAACATATGGAGTCCAAAAAATGTAACTATATATTTGGCCTCAATAATTTGCCCCGCCACTTTGCAAGCACTTGCATTATGAGTGATTACTTGGATAACAATTTATAGACCAATTTCACAAATGCACTCATCAAGCAAGTTAGCAATGAATAATGTATTTTTTGTGTCACCCTCACAATTGATAGCCTTAAAAAACATAGGCCCATTATCACAAGTAAGCACCATATTGATAAGAGGTCTTCTTTGTGAATCTGACCATCCATCACTACACATGCTTACACCATTAACTTTCCATGCATTCTTTATCAGTTCTAATTTCATATCAAGTTGACTTTTCTCTTTTTGGAGAAGTGTAGTCCTCAATGCATTATAACCCATAGGGCGAAACTCATTCATGTCAAAATCCAAATCAAAAGCTCTAGCACTCGAAGAACCGGCTCTGCTTGATGTGGGCAAAGAAATAGTTATTCTAGCTTGGGTAGTTTTTATTTTCAACTTCGCCTCATCTACCAAACGTTTCATTTCCGATAGATTACTTTGTGTAACTTTGTTGCAAGATCTAATCCCACCTCCTTTGATTTTCAACAAACGATATTTCACCCTAGAACATGACCATTGAAAAATGCTTTGACAATAATGATACTTGAAACTAATGTTTCCTTGGGCTTTCTTATTTGATTCAACCTTTGTAACATACTTCCATAAGGGAGCATTATCATCAATTGATTGAGTATGAGAAGAGTCCCAAATAGAGTTAGTATTAGAGTTACTCATCTTTCCCTAAAAAAATAAAGCATGGTACACATATTCATTATGAACCAAATTTCCAATTAATAAACATACCCAAAGTTGTAAAGTCTAACCTGGGTTCAGAAGAAAGAATTGTCACCACCAAATCCAACTTTTCAATTGTTGGGAAGGGAGATAAGAAAAAAAAACAAAGAAAATAAATAAATGCATTTGTAAACAAAGAAAAAAAATTGCAAAGCAACTCACCTACTACACCAGGAGAGGGAGAGAAGAAGAAAATGGACTGTTGTCTGTGTGCACAAATGAGATGTGCGGCTGAATAGGTGAATTTACGTTTAGAAAAGTTTTTTTACACTTTCAACTCTTTTTTTAAAACATATTTCAAATATTATGTTTTGACCTTTATTTTTATTTTCAAATTTTCAAATTGATCCCTACTGTGGATTGATTGTGTCCAATCCGTGTCTTGACCATGTCCAACACATGTCGGGGGCATGTCGGCGTCTCTGACACTCCAGCAATTTGGAGTGTTCGTGCAGCATAGTATGTCACTCACCTATGATATGGATGGGATGGGATGGGATGGGATGAGATGCATGGTGTAAATGCATGCCAAGAATTGAGCATTATACTAGCTAGGTTGGGTAGCAACTCAAGCCAAGAGCTTGCTTAATTAATTATACTGAACATGCCACGAAACTAGTGTATGTCGGCCGGATTATATTACATGGGATGGAAGGCGTTGCTCGGCGCTTGAATTGAAAGAAGAAGAAAGCGAACATGGAGATTTTGATGGAGTTGGCTGGCTAGCTCCTCATGATAGTTGATCATCCTACGTATGTTAACTGCTTTATCTCTCTCTCTCTCTCTCTCAAACTTGTACGCATGCAAATTGCAATGCCTCTCTAGGAAAGTGGGATGAGAGACGGTTGCAAAGGTCAGATTGTTTTGCTCATGAAGGATATGAAACTTAGAAAGGACCGGGAGGTAGTTGGATTGCATTGAGCTTGATGGAGAGTGATTCACGAGTGAGTTTGTAGTGGAAGGAATTATGGAAGACGAATCACATCCAACAAGTAAAGTAGTTGAGCTTAGAAGGCCATAGGCCACGTGTCGCTCAACAAAAACAATGTTCCTCAAGAAATCTATTGTAGTTTTACTCACTTCAACATAATTATGGGGATCCTTCCAAAACATAATATTACGGATGCCAAGGTACATGCCAATTATAGATTTTATGCTGAATTTGGAGGATATTACTAATGTTGTTTTTGACAGCATTAGAAACGTTAGGAGAAATCGTCCAGCATTTTCCTTACATATCTAGCAACTAAATGGGAAGCCTTTGGAGTAAATTTTGAATACTAAGTTGAGTCCGCTGGAGGTGAGGACTGTTTCAGGGTACAACCATTATAATTGTACATGATTTTTTTTACATGTAGCCTAACCTTCGACAATAAATAAGCATCATTCCGTTGTTATATTTTCATTGATCTTTCTAGCCATTGGCCCTTAACTCGCTTTTTCATACCATTTGAGGATGATGAATTTACTTCTAAAGACTAAAACTATCATATCATAGTGCCTAATTTCAATCTTTCATTTTGAAAGATGTGTGTGCCTTCCATTATATTGGAGTAAGTCTAGTGTAACTGGAATGCCCAACCATGTCCTATCTTGTTTTCAATGCCCCCCCAAAGTGGCTAAGGAGTTGAATCTAAGTTGTAGGAAATTTATGTTGTGTTTATACCAAAATGAACAGCCAATGAGCATCGGACACGTGGACCAAACTAGAGCTATGGGAGCCTTCGGTACCTAGCTTCAGTACTGTGCCTACCGATTGCACGATTAGGGCAACTTCACCCCCAGGGACACGTGGCAGTCCCACAATTGATGTCCACGGTCCCACATCGAAACTCTAGACAAATTGCACACCTCCCAAGGCTTATAAAAGAGGACAACTATCCCAGCTTGGAGGTAATCAATCAGAACTTACGACATACTGCCTATTGATCTGTAGTTCAAACTTACTAAATCCGTACTTAAGCATCAGAGAGCCTTTGGCCGGTACCACACCGGTGCCCTAGGTCTTACCGAGCGTTTGGTATCTTGCAGATCGAATGCCTTACCGAGGCCCAGAACATACTGAAAGCATAAACATCACTAGGTTGCGCGAGAAAGTGCTGAACTATTTTTTTGCGTCAACAGGTTGGCGCCGTATGTGGGAAACGATAAAAATCAACCTACAATTCCTAAAAAGAAAAACACATGGGAACCACTTCAGGACCATCATTCTTACTCGAGGACGGACTACGGTACGGCATGCCAAGCGGAGCAAGCCGTGCGCTGCACCCTAACACTCCCTTCGGTAATCCTCCGGTAATTCAAACTACGGTGGAAGCGAAGCTCCTGGCTCAAATGATTTCCCTTCAGCAGGAAACGCAGAATATTCAACCTTCCCAGAGTCTGCAGACCCCCGGTCGGCAGAAGAAGGGGAAGAAGGGGACAAAGGCAACGCTTGCGCCTTCCAAGCAGCTGGTAGTCCTAGCCCCTCGGGACCAGCCTCATGTACCAAAGAAGGTCTACACCGACTGTCCCTATCGGCTCAATGACATGGATGCCGAACGGCAAAGGTCCCCAGTCAGGGTCAACGCACACTTACGGGACTCACGGATGAGGGTCATTGGGGACAAATTGCCCCTCATAAAGGTACAGGGGTTGGGGTCGGAGGCAGAGTCTGACGACGAGTATGCCCCCTCCAAGGGTATCGAGTCACACTACTGTTCGGAAACTCCAACGGAGTATTCGAAGGCAAGAGCACCAAGCCCGAGGAGAACCTCCGAAGACTATATTTCTGAGGAGATCCCTAGCCGAGACCCTGCGATCCGCCTGCTCTTCCAGAGAATCCAGAAGATGGAGGACGACCGAACCCGGTTTCAGGAGCCTGACTGAGGGAAACTTTAGCCGGGACCCTTTACCGAGCGCATCAAGAAGTCCAGACCGGACAGGGAAGTACAGCCGTTGCGAATACCGTTTTACACCGGCGTGGAAAACCCCTTGACTCACATTCACTCCTTCCAATCGGCAGTAGGATGTAAGGGCCTCCGCAATGAGGGACAATGCCTGCTATTCCCATCCTCCCTTACCGGAGATGCTCTGAACTGGTTCTACCGTCTTGAACCGGGAACGGTAGACTCGTTTGACGAGCTAAAGCAGATCTTTCTGAACCACTTCATGATCCAGACGGACCGTCTGTACTCTGCCGACGATCTGTATACGGTACTGCAGAGAGAAGACGAACCCCTACGGGAATATGATGCACGCTTCAGTCATGACTACTCGAGGTGTCCGAAAACGGACGATAGGGCAGCCTATGGCGCCTTCAAGAGTGGCCTTCAGTCCTCTCACTTTCGGTACCTCGTGCACAATAGCAACTGGCGCACTTATGACGAACTGATGAAGCAGGCGGCAGTCCATGCCAAGGCCGAATATTTCAACTCCAAGCCCAGGCCTTCGGCTCGGCAGGAGAAATCGGTAACGAAGAGCTATCCCGGGCAAAATGACGATTCTTCGACAGGGTAGCTCAAAGAAGGGGCGTGGGAAATACGGTCGCAACGACCACCGAGCGCCGCTGTCGAATCACGACCGCGCTCAGGAAGTCTTCACCCTGCTGAACACGACATATGAGGCCGCCCTGATGAACGAGCATGAAAAAATCCTGAAACCGAACAACCGAAAGCCCAATCGGCAGGACAACCGGGATACCGGTAAATTCTGCCGGTACCATCAGCAAAACAGCCACAACACCGAAGACTGCATTAGTCTGAGGAAGATCGTTGAAAGGCTAATTGGGAGGGAAAGCTGGACAAGTACATCGGCAGACCACAGCAGGCACCTGCCCCAAACGCCAATCGGCATATCAACATGATCAGCATGATCAGCGGAGGCCCCACTTTGGCGGGACCCTCTAACCGGTCAGTAAAGCAATATGTGTGTGACGCTCACTACCCCCAAGTCTTCGGCATTGAAGAGAATCGGTGCCGCAAGGTCCCGAAGGTGGGATGGGAGCCCATCACATTTTCTGAAGACGGGGAAGAATGGATCATTTACCCCCACGATGACCCCATGATCATTCGGGCCGAGATGGCCGACTACGATGTAGGTCGGGTGTTGATCGACACTGGGAGTTCGGTAAATGTGATTTTTGCCGATGCCTTCAAAGGACTGGGAATTGCCGACAGTATGGTCAATCGGCAGATAACGCCTCTCCTCAGCTTTTCTGGGGATCTAGTCCAGCCAGTCGACAGTATTAGTCTGCCCATCGCCTTCGGCGTTGCCCCCAGAAAAACGATGACCTACGACCAATTCCTCATCGTCGACTACCCGACGGCATACAACGTCATCATAAGACGAACGGCACTCACCAGAGTCAAAGCCCACTTGTCCCCCCACATGTTGCTGATGAAATTCCCTACCTGCAACGGTACTGGCGTTGTCCGGGGGGACCAACTCAGCGCACGGACGTGCTATGCCACTGCTCTTAAATTGGTAGCTTGCAAGCCGCCAATGGAAGCTATGTCTGTGCAGGGACTACCGAATGGTAGCGAGTCTATAGATGACCCAAGGGAGGAAACGCCAACGCTGGTGGTAAAGATCGGCACCAACCTAGGTCCCGACCTACGGAAGCAGTTCATTGACTTTTTGCGACAACAGGCGGAGGTCTTCGCCTGGTCTTACGACGATATGCCCGGCATATCACCTGACGTCATCAGCCACAAGCTCAGCATCTCCCCTGCCCATAAACCAGTCAGACAAAAGCACCGTTCGTATGATGCCGAATGGTACGATGCTATGTGTACCGAAGTTGACATGCTCAAAGCCATCGGCTTTATCAGGGAAGCTACGTACCCTGTCTGGCTTGCCAACTCAGTCATGGTTCGGAAGGCAAAGGGAGGATGGCGAATGTGTCAGAACTATACCCACCTGAATAAGGCATGTCCGAAGGACAGCTTCCCATTGCCGAGGATCGATCAGCTCGTTGACGCAATCGCTGGGCACGAGCTGCTCAGCTTCATGGACTCCTATTCAGGGTACAACCAGATCTTCATGGACCCTGCCGATAGCGAGCATACGACATTCATCATCGACCACAAGTTGTACTGTTACAATGTCATGCCTTTCGGCCTGAAGAACGCGGGGGCAACGTATCAACGGCTCGTCAATCGGATTTTTGCTAAGCACATCGGCGACATTATGGAAGTATATGTCAACGACATGTTGGAAAACCTAGCCCTCATGTTCGGTATACTAAAGGACTATCGAATGAGGTTGAATCCAACGAAGTGCGCCTTCGGTGTATCTTCGGGTAAATTTCTCGGATTCATGATCAGCCAAAGAGGAATCGAGGCCAATCCCGAGAAAATCAAAGCCATAATCGACATGGAGACATCGAAGACGCAGAAGGACATTCAAAGCCTTACCGGACGTGTCGCTGCCCTAACGCACTTCATCTCCAAGGCTACCGATAAGTGTGTACCGTTCTTCAAAGCCTTGAAAGGGGGCAAACATCATATCGCATGGACTCCCGAATGCGACCAAGCATTTCAAGACTTGAAGAACTACATGAGCAGGGCACCATTGTTGTCAAAATCGCTTCCCGGAGAAGTTCTCTTCCTCTACCTCTCAGTATCAAGCACTGTCGTTAGCTCGGTATTGATACGGAAGCCAGAGAAGGCAGAGCTACCAATTTTTTATATCAGCAAGGCTCTTCAAAGCGCGGAACTTCGGTACCCACCCTTGAAGCAGCTGGCGCTTGCCCTTATTGTCTCGGCGCGAAGGCTCCGCCCATACTTCCAAGCACACGAGATCACGGTACTGACCAATCAGCCCCTTCGGCAGGTACTTCAAAAGCCAGAAACGTCAGGCAGGCTGGTCAAATGGGCGATCGAGCTCGGAGAATTTGACATACAATTCAAGCCAAGGCCTGCAGAGAAAGGTCAAGCCGTCGCCAACTTCATCTCTGAGCTCACACCTGCACCGTCGGAAGCACCCTCTCCGAACGCTGTTATTACAGAACCAGGAAACATGGATGCCAATCGCTTTGATCCTTCTGTACCTCTGTGGATCCTGCATGTTGACGGCTCGGCAAATCAACAAGGCTGTGGAGCTGGGTTGGTGTTAACTACTCCAGACGGATGCAAAGTTGAATATGCCCTCCGATTCAACTTCAGAACCTCTAACAATGAGGCAGAGTACGAGGCTCTCTTGGCCGGCCTTCGGCTAGCCAGGAGCATGAGCGCTAAACAAATCAGCATTCACAGTGACTCCCAGCTCATAGTGAATCAAATAACGGCAGACTTCGCAGCATGGACCCAGCTCATAGTGCCTCCATGTCCGCCTACCTATCGGCAGCCCACCAACTCCTACAAAAGTTCCAGGCCTACGAAATTCGGCAGATTCCCAGGTCAGAGAACAGCCACGCTGATGCACTCTCGCGTTTAGCTTCGACAATAAACGATAAGATCGAAAGGAAGGTGCCGGTGGAGATATTGTCCCAGCCAAGCACGAAAACGGCTGAGGTGTGTACTGTACGGTACGAGGACACATGGATGTCTCCAATTTACGCATTCCTGACGAACGGAACCCTGCCCACCGATAAGTCCCAAGCTTGGAAGCTCCGGTACCGATCGGCGAGATATATGGTCATCGACGATGTTCTGTACAAGCGAGGCTACACCACGTCGTATTTGAAGTGCCTCACTAAGGAGCAGGGGGACTATGTCCTTCGGGAAGTTCACAGTGGGGTCTGCGGTGACCACTCAGGGTCCCGATCGCTAGAACACAAAGTCTTCCGGCATGGGTATTTCTGGCCAACCCTACACCAAGATGCGAACGTCTTAGTCAAGAAGTGCGACAAATGCCAACGGTTCAGTAGTGTCCCTCACATCCCTGCCGAGCCTCTCTCACCAATCGTAAGCCCATGGCCTTTCGCCCAGTGGGGACTGGACTTGATTGGCCCGATGCCGCAAGGTAAGGGCTAGGTCAAATATGCTGTTATCGTCGTGGACTACTTCACCAAGTGGGTAGAGGCCGAACCCTTGGCAACGATAACGGCAGCCAAAATGGAAGACTTCATCTGGACGAACATTTGCTGCCGATTCGGAATCCCCTACGCAATTATCACCGATAACGGCAGGCAATTCGATTCGGACGCCTTTAGGCAGTTCTGCGCTTGCCTCAAGATCAATATGTTTTTCGCTTCGCCTGCTCACCCCAATCGAACGGTCAGGTCGAAGCAATGAACAAAATAGTCAATAAGCTATTGAAACGGCAGCTTAACAAAGCCAAAGGAGCCTGGCCGGAGAAGCTTCCAAAGGCATTATGGGCCATCCGGACATCCTACCGAACGGCAACCAGTGAAACACGGTTCTCCATGGCCTTTGGCTCGAAAGCGGTAGTCCCAGTGAAGAACGTCGAGCGCAAGCCAACCTTCGAAATGAAGCTTACAAGCAGCACGTCTCTCAGTACTATGACTCCAGGGTCAGATCCTGCTCGTTCCGAGTCGGAGATTAGGTCATGCGAAAAGTCTCTTTGGCAACTAAGGATCCCAGGGAAGGAACCCTAGGACCTTCCTGGGAAGGACCTTACGAGATCATTAGCATCCAGCGATCGGGGACTTATCGACTCAGGGACTCCAACGGAAAGACCCTCGGTCATCCTTGGAACGTAGAGCATTTGAAATATTACTTTAAATGAAGTCACCTAGCTTATGGCATGTAGAAAACATTGTTAAAGCCTTCGACTTATTCTTACTCACAGCCTATGGCAGTGTAGAGTTCCCTAGCTTACGGCAGGTTTTCAATTGTAAAACGAACTCCAAATGTATCTTCGCCTTCGGCAATTATTAATGAAAAGGCCTTCGGCGCTTATATTCACAACCTTCGGTGTGTTCATTTTTAAAAGATGCGGTAGAGACCGTCGGTCGCAGTATACTACATTTTTAAATCCTTTTATTAGCCTTCGGTAATTGAGGTACCACGGTATTCTTTCCTACCGACAAAGGTTTAACTTGTCTTTAAAGGTTCATTTCAGAGTTGCTATTACTAGCCCTCGGCAGTAAAGATTCAAGGCCAAAGTTGCTTACCGATTCAAGGATCACTTGAAATTTGAACTTATACTAGCCTACGGCAGTTAAGTCAATCATTCTGCCTTCGGCAGTTACAATGATTAATTTTGAACTTCGGAAGTTAGCTTGTACTAGCCTACGGCAGTTAAGTCAATCATACCGAAAGTAAAGCTACTTGACACTCAACTATGAAAATTAAAGCTGCTTAAATTAAAAGATGCCCTCAGCATCAAGGTGTTCAGAACATATTGCCTTATGACAGATTACATTTAATAAAAACTTAAACAAGGCTCAATCGGCAGTCTCCTTCTCAGTATCAGGGGCAACGGGCTCTTCCGGGGCGTTCTCCACTTCGTACTCTTCAATCATCTCCTAAAGCTTAACCAGCTTTAGTTGACAATGAGAAGAAGCTTTTGGAGAAGATTATCATTGCAGAGCGTACGAAACTTTCTGTCAGGCAGCGGCCTCATCGGCATCAGCAGGAGCTTCTTCTGGGGCATCCTCCCCCTCATAGTCCTCGATCATCTCTTCGGTCATGCCTTTAGGAAGAGAGGGAGGATCGGCAATGAAGTTGAGGTTGAGCTTGTTTCTAGGGTTGTAGCGCTTGAAACGGTAGAGCAGATCCACCATTTTCGAGCCCACTTCCTTGTCAAGCAAGGTAGTGAACTCGGAAGACTGACGGTACCCCTGGATTGCCTCCTGGACTGCAGCCTTGATCTCCGAAGCCCTGGCCCGCTCCGACTCCTCAAAGGCCACCTGGATCGCCTCCTTCGACTCCAAAGCCTCCTTTGCCGCAAGCTGCGCCGACTCCAGGGCTGCCGACATTTCACCGAGCTTGGCTTGATAAACTTTAACGTGCTATTCGGTAGCCTGCATGTCCTTCGCCAAGTTCGCATGAGCTTGGATAGCCTTGCCAGCCTCGGCAACCCTAGCCCTGCCGTCTTCATAAGCCTTCTTCGCCTTTTCAGCGGCATTAATGGCTCGCTTGACGCACAGCCACATGTCCATCGAAGCCTGAAGAGCAAAGGAAAATGTCATACAAGGATGGAAACAAACGGTAGGAAAGCAGAAAGTGTTTGGCGTTTACCGAAGCTTGAAGACGGAAGGCGCGGCCAGCCTCTTCCCGAATGAGCTTCTTCGGCAGGTCCTCGATCTCGGATAGCTCCATTTGTGAACCGAGGATCATGTGGTTCACAAACTAGACCGTTTTCGAAGGACAGGCCAGAGTGACAGCTTTGGCAGGCACCTCTTCGTCCTCAACAGCGAAGATGGCCCGAGCAAGCTCGGCCTGTCGCCCTCGCTTTGGAGCGAGATCAGCCTCCAGATCGACCGTGAATGGCCTTTTACCGGCAGCTTTTAAGGAGGTACCCTCGGTAGGCACACCTCGGTTGGGAGATGGACCGGCCGCCGTCGCTTTGGCAGGCGCTGATTCAGCTTTCATCTGACGACGGCACTCGTTGAGGGTTAGGTCCTCGGGGTCGACTCCTCTCGATGATGCAGGTACCGTTTCCGGCTGCCGCCCTTTTTTCTTCTTCCCCTGGACGCTGAGCATCAGGTGCCGCTTGGAGGACTCGTTCATCCTCTTCGCTTCGGTAGCCTTCCTCTCTTCCGTCACTGCAAAAACCCAGACCGGTCAGATTTCTCACTATGGCAATAAAATGTGTCAAAATGGACAAGTACACTTACTCTCAGCAGGGTTGACAAGTTGAGCCTTGATGAGATTGGTGGTGAAGAGGAACTTCGGGTAAATTCTCTCCACGGCAGGGACTTTCAGCCTTACCCTCTCGATCTGCCGGATCTCCGCTTGTGAGGCGCTCGACTGTTTCAATTTGCTTGCACAAAAAAAGAAACGGAATGAAAACTCCTGAGGGACCTATACACTCTAGGAGGCCTACCGAACGGTACGATGGCCTACCGGCTATTTGGAAAGTAGTGGGAATGTGGAAACGGATGGGATGTCCCGAGGGCGACTCCCAATCACCGAACAGAAGCACCCGCCGTTTCCTCCACGTCTTCTGGGAGGTTGGCACGACACTAACAAAATGGCCGCGCTCGGTAGCCTTCAGGCAGATAGCCTGAACCCAACCCCCGTAGTCGGCAGACTTTGACTTCGTAACGCTGTACAGATGGGAGAACTGTTCGTACGAAGGCGCTCCCTCGCCAGCCATGCCAAAGGCCGTGACTACTCCCATTAACGCTACCCAGAAGTTGGGGTTGAACTGGCCGGGAGCATAGCCTATCTGTGCCAAGATTCTCTGAACGACAGGCTGCAGAGGAAGCCTCACTCCTTGCAGAAGTACGTCCGTGAAAAAGACGATTTCGCCATCCTTTGACTTGCTTAGAGATTCTGGTATGAAATACTCAGCACGGAATTTCGCGATCTCCCTCTCGATAATCCTGTTGGGCTCCAAGTAATCTACGTCGAAAACGAGCTCTTTCGGAACTCCCATCGGCACCCTAGGATTGCTGGGATAGACTACCGAAACCCTCGGCCGAGGAGATGGTTCGGCAGCTGACTCTCCACGGCCGGAAGTGGAGGCCTCTGACTGGCGACTGACGCTCGCCTCCCCAGGCAGGGCTTGACCAACGTGGCGACCGTCGCTATAGACAATAGCCAACGGTACCGGTGCAGTCATTAACCCATTCCCGATGCCGTGTGTAGGAACGGAGCTGGGCCCTTCACCGAGTATTTCAACATCGGTATCACTTCCGTCCCCGGCATCGGGGTCTGTTGCTTCACTGTCGGAGTCAAAGAGACCCTTCGATGACTCTTCACCGAACGTGTTTGGCTTACGCTCAGAAAATGACTCGCTATCTGACATCTACAAAAACAAGGAAAAAGGAAACTAAGGCTCATGCCGGATACTATCCTACCGATCCCTACATCGCTACCTATGGCGACTAGACTACAGAATGGAACCCTATGGTCAGTCTAGTTCAAACCAAGGAAGGACGTAACAATTGTTTAAGGGTGAGAGTAAATTAAGGGTGTCGAACGGTACCTTAAATGAAACTCAGGAAGAGAACCACGAACTGTGCTTCAGATCATCTCGACGGAAATCGCTTTTCTTGCCGTTCGCTTCGCCGGAAATCTCATGGTTACCGTTAGCCCGTGTCGGAAATCGCTTCGAATGCCGGAAGCTCTCGTCAGAAATCGCCTCAACAAAGCTCTCGCTTCTCACAAAATGCAAAGTGATTTCGTCTCCGGGGTCGCCCGTATTTATAGGGTGAGGGTTTGCAACGGTACACCTCGAAAAACCAAACGGCGCATTAATGCGCCGCGCACCATGATTACTCTCGCCACGTGTCGCTCATCCTATGGGGGACTGAGCGAGGCACGGAAGACGAAGCGCCCAGATGTCTCTTCACACGTCCAATCGACGCGACCTTCTGACTTCCCCGACGTTAGCTCTGAATGAACAAGAACGAAAAGGCCAAAGTTAAGCCCCTCCACCAACTGGACTACTGAACGGTAGGACAACATTTCCTTTCGGAGATAACTTCAAGTCCCCTTCCGAGAGCTCTTGCAAGAGAACTTGGGGGACTCCTGTTTATACCAAAATGAACAGCCAATACGCATCGGACACGTGGACCAAACTAGAGCTATGGGAGCCTTCGGCACCTAGCTTCAGTATCGTGTCTACCGATTGCACGATTAGGGCAACTTCACCCCCAGTGACACGTGGCAGTCCCACAATTGATGTCCACAGTCCCACATCGAAACTCTAGACAAATTGCACACCTCCCAAGGCCTATAAAATAGGACAACTATCCCAGCTTGGAGGTAATCAATCAGAACTTACGGCATACTGCCTATTGATCTGTAATTCAAACTTACTAAATCCGTACTTACTTAAGAATCGGAGAGCCTTCGGCTGGTACCACACCGGTGCCCTAGGTCTTACCGAGCGTTTGCTATCTTGCAGATCGAACGCCCTACCGAGGCCCAGAACATACCGAAAGCATAAACATCACTAAGTTGCGCGGGAAAGTGCCGAACCATTTTTCTGCGTCAACATGTTGGGTAGTGATAATATTTCCCATGTTGCTTGGAATGAGGTTTGCATCCCTAAGGAGGTGGGAGGTCTAGGCATTCGTTTGGTTACCTAGTATAATAAAGCAGTCTTAGCCAAACTATGGTGGAAATGCCTTACTGACAAGAATAGCTTGTGGTCCACTATTATGATCCAAAAATATCTCAGACATGATCCTTTCTTCAGTCTCAAAAAGAAAACAACTCACTCTATGGCCTAAAGTTAAATTATTTTCCTAGCTCTTAATGAGGAAAGATTCCAAATTAGAAGTCGTATGCACAAATTTATGCCTCATATTCCTCCAGATTCTAATCATGAGACCATTGATCATCTTTTCATCTCTTGTTCCTTTGCCAGCAATATTTGGAGTTGTCTGCCTGATGCCCTTTTGAAGCCTCCACCCAGGTCTGATCTTCTGTCTTGGCTCAATATGTTATCTTGTGACAATAATCCTCAAGGCCCTAATCATCTATCCAAAGCCATTATGATTTGCTCGCAAATTTGGGAAGCTCGAAATAACCTTTTATTCAACGATGTTCCCCTCATCCAACTCTATGTCTTCACATTGCTGCTCATGTTGGCTTGGATTACTGGAACCTTAACCACCCTAGTCCTAAGCCTAAGAATCCAGTCCCTGATATCAAGTGGAAGCCTCCTCGCACTAGTTGGATCAAACTTAACTTTGATGACTCTGTTCAAAATGGAAATTCTTCTACTCGCTTTGTCCTAAGAGATAGTGATGGTCATGTGGCACTTGTTGGTGCTAAGTGTTTGGAGGACCAATCAATTACTGTTGCTGAAGGGATGGCCCTCTAATTCACCGGGGTTGGAAAAAGATTTTGATTGAAGGGGACTTTAAGCTCCTTATTGATTGTGTGAGGGGTCAGGTTAGTATTCTATGGATCGGGGTTGGAAAAAGATTTTGATTGAAGGGGACTCTAAGCTCATTGTTGATTGTGTGAGGCGTCAGGTTAGTATTCTATGGACTGTGAAGATGCTCATCTAGGACGTGTGGCACTTGGACCTCCTTATGTGATTCCTTCAAGATTTCTCATGTGTTTAGAGAAGCCAACTTCTTGGCTGATGCTTTAGCTAGCTGGTCATGGGTTAGACCCGTCCTTTCTTTGGGAGGTTGGTTCCCCTTTGTCTGTTGCGCCTGCTTTCTTTTTTTGACCTTTTTGGACCTATGTGTCCTAGAGGTTTTCGAGATGTAATTTCTTTTTTCGCATTCATCCGCCATGAGTACAAAGAATTTGAATGGGAAGGAATGATGTAAAGGTCCCCAACCATGGGCCTCCTTTTTTACTATTCAATCTCATGCCACTGCATCTAATCAGACCATTTTGTCGCAGCCCAACCTTCGGCAAACTGAAAGCGTGCTTTTAATTGTTTTGCTGATTGTGCAGTACTTCATGTTTGTGTCAAAAAATAGTTAATACTGCCAATGGTGTAGCAAAATGGAATAGAGTCTTAACTTATGTTTAAATTCTCACAGTATCATAGTTTAGACTATTACTTATACTAAAATAATACTTGTTAATATTATCTCCAACTGTAATAAGTTCGGTAACACATTCGTCAAATGAGCATTCTATCAAACAGATAATAGGCATAATTGATTTTTCCGACCTTATAGTAACCAACCATTAAAAAAAATGGGAAGAGACCAGGCCGTTGGCTTGCCCAAGCTTTCGAATTTGCTCATAAACTATGAAATGACTGTACCCAGACGAAGCCAACTTAACCACCTCAAGTACTTGACATCTACTGCTCAAAGCTGCTTTGACGCCTCCTTCAAGAACACAAGACTCACAGAGGCCTCTCAGTTTTATTCTTCTCTGATTCAACAATGTCTACACACAAGGTCGTTACTAGACGTGGGAATTGTTCAAACCCATATGATCAAATCCGGTTATATACACCTCCATATAGGCAATAAGCTTATTGATGCGAGTTTAAAGTGTGGTAGCATTAGCTATGCCCGCAAACTGTTTGATGAGTTGCCTAACAGGCATATAGTCATGTGGAATTCAATGATCTCTTCTTATATTAGCCATAAAAAGAGCAAGGAAGGAATTGGGTTGTATGAGAGGATGGTCTTAGATGGAGTGTACCCCGATGAATACACATTTCCGTGTGTTTTCAAGGCTTTTTCTAACCTGGGACTTATAAATGAAGGGCGGAGAGCTCATGGGTTGTCAGTGGTTTTGGGTCTAGAGGTTTCAAATGTGTTTGTTGGTAGTGCCCTTGTTGATATGTATGCTAAGTTTGGTAGAATGAAGTATGCCCGGCTGGTGTCAAACCGTGTTGTGGACAAGGATGTTGTTTTGTTTACGGCGTTAATTGTTGGTTACTCTCAGCAAGGTGATGATGATGAAGCTCTAGAGGTTTTTGGGAACATGATCGACCAAGGAATTAAAGCTAATGAGTATACTTTTGCTAGTATCTTGATCACTTGTGGGAATTTAGAGGATTTAACTAATGGTAAATTGGTCCATGGTCTTGTTATCAAGTCTGGTTATGAACCCGCTGTGGCTTCACAGACTTCACTCCTAACTATGTATGCTAGGTGTGGGTTGATTGATGATTCTCTCATGATTTTCAAAAGATTTCCAAATCCAAACCACGTAACTTGGACATCTCTTATTGTGGGACTTGTACGAAATGGCAGAGAAGAATTAGCTTTGACAAAGTTCAGAAAAATGATCCACAAGTCAATAGTTCCGAATTCTTTCACATTGTCTAGTGCTCTCCAGGCATGCTCAAGCCTTGCTATGATTGATGAAGGAAAACAAATCCATGCCATGGTGACAAAATTTGGATTGGATAGAGATGTATATGCCGGTGCTGCTCTCGTGAACTTGTATGGGAAATGCGGAAGTACAGAGATGGCAAGGTCTGTTTTTGATGCCTTAATTGACATTGATGTGGTATCCATGAACTCCATGATATATAGTTATGCTCAGAATGGATTTGGGCATGAAGCACTTCAACTTTTTAATAGTATGAAAGAATTGGGACTTGAACCAAATGAAGTAACAATTTTGAGTGTTCTCTTGGCATGCAACAATTCGGGATTAGTTCACCAAGGATGCCAAATCTTTGCTACTATTATGAATAATCAAACTATCGAGTTGACAAGAGATCACTATGCTTGCATGGTTGATTTGCTGGGCCGTTCTGGGAGACTTGAAGAGGCCGAAGCGCTAGTAAAAAAAGTCAGAAATCCAGATGTAGTCTTATGGAGGACACTGCTAAGTGCATGTAAGCTTCATGGAGAGGTAGAGATGGCAGAAAGAGCTGTAAATAAAGTGCTTGAACTTGCTCCAGGTGACGAGGGGTCTCATATCCTGTTGACAAACGTTTATGCTTCAACTGGTAATTGGAGTCAAGTTATTGGGATAAAAAGCACAATGAGGGATTTAAAGTTTAAGAAGAATCCTGCAATGAGTTGGGTTGATGTGGATAGGGAGGTCCACACTTTCATGGCTGGAGATTTGTCCCATCCAAGATCTAGAGAGATAAATGAAACTTTAGAAAAACTGATTGAGAAGGTAAAACTATTGGGTTATGTTCCTGATACAAGATTTGTGTTGCAGGATATGGATGAGGAGCTAAAGAAGAGGTCTTTGTACTATCACAGCGAGAAGCTAGCCATTTCGTTTGCTCTGTTGATGAGTAGTAATAAAAATACCATTATCAGGATATTTAAGAACCTTAGAGTTTGTGGGGACTGTCATTCCTGGATAAAATTTGTAACCAAAGTTAGTGGCAGAGAAATAATTGCTCGGGATGCCAAGAGATTCCATCATTTTAAGGATGGACTTTGTTCCTGTGGAGACTATTGGTGAATACAATTCAGATGCATTGAAGGTCCCATGTGAAGCTGTAGTCAGTTTTACTGTTAGATTGGCAAGGCCATTGATCTCGTCTGCTGATTGATTCACCAACAGTTTGTTTGGCTTTAATTAGTCACATTAAGCTCCCCAACGATTGATCTTCATGGATGCACACTCTCAGTATTCGACACATTCAAGGGTCTTGGAAATGAAGGTACTTAATTAAATTACAAAAGGATCTGTGTTTTCAAGATGAAATAGAAAAATTAATATGAAAAGTTTGCTATGCTCAGTTTTTGTCAAGGACGTTCACACCAAATATGGATTATTGATGACAAAATCCTAAGTTCCATATGTCCTTGTTTTTGGTCCTTTGCACATTTAAGTTTTTAACCAATTCTACTTTGCATTCTGCAGATATGCCTATAACCTGGATTGCTCGGTTGATTGAACTTTTCTAATTTATAATTGATTAGTTTTATATTTTATTAATAATTCAACAGCTGCATTGCAAGCTACAGATCAATTATTTTGTCCATGCGGTTGTGTTCACTATTAATGACTGGTGAGGACTGAAGTAGAAATCTGTTGAATGTAGAGATGAGTCCATTCTAATTTGATAATACAAAGAGTTTTGGAGAATAATTATAGGTTGAAAACAGCAAATGTCATTAAATTGTCAAATTAAAGAAACCCATTGATAATCTAGTAGTGTACATGAGAGAGCTTCACTACAAGAAAATTTTCTTCTGTTCAGTTTGTTTCCTGCTATGCTTCCTTCATTGTAATACATCGGATGCGTAAATGAGCGATGCTTTGTACACAGAGATCTTGAGATATGAATTCAAGGGGTCTTCAATACATGAGCACCCAAATAAGTTCTCTGTAGTTGGGTTTTGACATTTGTTTTTCCACACTCAGATAGCCAAATGATATGAACAGCTACGATGGCAACAAAATTGTGTCCACTTGTGCACTCACTTGAACCGAAGAGCTTCTTTTGGCCTCCCTAAGAGAGATAATACTGTGGCTGAGATATGCCTTGAGGAGAGTCCTGCTTCTTCAAGCTGATCCTGGGGTGCTCCATGATCAATGTATCTATCAGGAAGTACCATTGCTCTCAACTGCAAAGAAAACTCCCGATCTTTTGGCATTAGCAAAGAGATAAAACGATTAAAAAGAACAAAAATCAGTAATGTTATAAAAAGTACTAGGAAATATAGTACCTTGAGTGGTCCATCTAGAATACCACTTAAACTTAGGAAGTGGGATACATGAGACCCAAAACCTCCAATTGAACCTTCTTCAACTGTAATAAGGATTTCATGCTCCTTGGCCAATTGCTTGATTAGATCTGTATCCAGAGGTTTGCAAAATCTTGCATCGGCTACTGTCACCGATATGTCCCTGGTTTTCAGCATGCTTGCAGCTTCGACACATTGTTGAACTATAGAACCATACGCCAAAATTGCAACTCTGCTGCCTTCCATCAGTATTCTTCCTTTACCAATCTATTCAATAGTTGAAGAATTTCAGCTATCTGTTCCATATCCTCACTTAATAAATTTGAGTTTCATTACATTTATACTAACCTCAAGTGGGGTTCCTTTGTTATTAGCAGGAAGAAGTGATCCAATACCATTGCCTCTTGGAAACCTGAAGCAGCTAGGTCTATCATCTATGGCTGCTGCTGTGGCGACCATGTGCATTAGTTCAGCTTCATCAGATGGAGCCATAACCACCATGTTGGGCAAGCAAGCCATGTACGTGATATCAAATGCTCCGCAGTGGGTGGGCCCATCTGCACCAACCAAGCCAGCTCGATCCATTGCAAAGCGGACAGGTAGTTTTTGAAGATCCACATCATGAACCACCTTTATACCCATTAAAAGTCATCAAGCACTGATTTTACAGAAAAAACTAACTTTGAAAAACGAACCACAATCACCTATCCTCTTTTATCTGCTCACCTGATCATATCCTCGTTGCAGGAATGATGAGTAGATAGCACAGAATGGCTTGAGACCTTCTGCAGCTAATCCAGCTGCAAATGTAACAGCATGTTGCTCAGCAATCCCCACATCGAAGCAACGATCTGGAAACCTCTTCTGGAAATAATTGAGACCAGTGCCACCACCCATTGCTGCGTGGATGGCTACAACTTTGTCATCTATTTCCGCTTCCTTTATTAAAGATTCAGCAAAGTACTGAGTATATGAAAGTGTAGAGGATTTGGTCTTAAATTGCTGGCCTGTTCTGGGGTCAAATTTAACGACACCTGAAAGTATAACGAAAAAGGGTCAATATAAGAATTCTTAGCGAGTATGGGATCATAAAGTTCAAGTCTCACCATGCATTTTGTCAGCTGCTGCCTCGGCTGGGGGATAGCCTTTTCCTTTCTCTGTCATGATGTGGATTAAAACAGGACCTGGGGCAGGCATGGCTTTCACTCTCTGGAATATGGTAACTAAGTCTGAAACATTGTGCCCATCCACTGGACCAATATAATATAACCCAAGCTCCTCAAAGAGAGTGGACCCAGAAGCACTGATCATCCCCCTTGCATACTCATCTACTTTTGCTGCAACCTGATGCGTTTGGCCTCCAATTTGCTTCGTGATGCTCTTCGAAAAGATATTTTCAAAGTCAGATCTTGAAATAAGGCTAACAGGTCAGGATAGGAAGGAATCATTATTCGTAAGCTTAGAGGTTTACCTTTGCAGCCTCACGAAGTTTGCGAAACTGGGTGCTTGATTGGAGCTTGGTTAGAGCACCGCTGAGGGCTCCAACTGGCATTGCAGGGCCATCAAGTGTGGCGGTCGGTAAAGAGACCTGCTTATTGTCATTCAGTATAACGATCAAGTTCGAATCAAGGAATCCTGCATTGTTCATGGCTTCATATGCTTGCCCTGCAGTCATGGCTCCATCGCCAATCACTGAAATGATATTGTTATTCTTCCCAAGTAGGTCTCTTGCGACTGCCATGCCTGCCAATATTTTTGGAGAGAAACACAAAGCTGGATGAAATTAGAAAAGTGTTCATCTATTATGTTGGACATGTATGTTAAAATTGAGATTGAAATAGGTACCTAAACCAGCAGATATGCTTGTAGAACTATGCCCTGCACCGAAAGCATCGTAAACACTCTCATCCCTTTTAGGAAAACCTGCAAGGCCTGAAGTTTTCCTGATTGTGTGCATCTTGGATCTCCTTCCTGTAAGAATTTTATGAGGATATGCCTGCACAAGTTATTGTGAATAGATCAGTACATAGTTTAATGTCTTTCGATAAATTTATTCGAAATAAAAACAGAATTTTTCTTTTCGATTAAACTAGAAATGAATGTTTCTTGCACCTGATGACCAACATCCCATATGATCTTGTCGTCAGGGGTGTTGAACACATGATGCAGTGCCACTGCCAGCTCCACCACACCTAAGCTTGAGCTCAGATGTCCTCCTGACTGTGAAACACTGTAAACAATATCTACTCTGAGCTCTGCTGCTAGTTGTTCGAGATCCTGAACAACAACAAAAACCCACAATTATCATAATATAAAGGAGCAAAAATGACAGAAACACCAACACAACAAAACTGCTGCGTACCTACCTCTGTGGATAGATTCTTCATGTGAGCTGGGTAATTGATTGTGTCCAGCAATGGCGTGCCTGGTTTTTCACCGGAGTAATCGATATTCCATCCGTCTTTTCCTTTTCTGATCAGCTTTCGGTCCTCCTCGCCATCTGCGTTACCAGCAGAAGCCTTTAAACACAGCTGCCACAGATGATCAAAGCAACCATTGGAACATCAATAAACATAGTCTTTCGACACAACCCACATCAGAAGACAAATAAAAGTACAAAGAATATATCAGCAACCAAAAAAGGAAAGCCAAAAAAGAAAGTGAGGAAAATGAGAAGCATCTGCTTTGGTTTTCAGAACAGCATAATAATAACATGGAAATCATGGAGCCCATTTGCAAGAAGAGCAGCAAAACAGAGAGGAGCAAATGGACATGTAATCTACTAAACCTGTTTTCTGCAACTATGATTTAGCCTTGGATTTGGACTGTTGAGGCATGGAGAGAGGTATGCGTTTGGTCTAACAAATAAGCCAGAGACCGCCATGGCTAAGCAAATCCAGTTTAGAGACAAATTAAATTAATGGGGAGGAGAAGAGAAGGTTGTGAGAATTTTGAAGTTTGGGACAAAAACCAAGTTTATTTATATCGTTGGTGATGCCACGAAAGAGGGAGCCTATGTGGCAAAAAAAAAATATAATGTGTCTAATTACTCTGCGTACATATTTAAAATATGAGAAGCTATCAATGATTATAATATCTTTTTGGGAAAATGGTCAAAATAAGAAGAAAAAAAAACAATCCAAATTTCGTCTAAATAAGAAAATTATTCCTTTTAAGCCAAAATAATAAATAAAATAAAAACAATTTCCATTTCAATAATTAAATAGGAAGTAATCCAACCTCATGCTTTGCATTCTTGTTTTTATACAATGCATGGGTTTTGAGTAAGTACATTTTTTTAGTTGTTGAACCAAATCAATAATTGCTTTGTTATGCTTGATTTAGAAATAATGTTGTTAGCAATATTATAAAAAGAAATGGTAAAAAAAAAAGCTTGATTCATGCATGCCTAGTGAATATTTAGTAAAGACCCCTTTTGTTAAGGGTTTTTGTGTGTGGATTATTTAGGCGTTAGATTCAGATAATAATAATCATTTATGAGTTAATGTTTTTATAGAAATAATTCATGAGTTTAATATTCGTGAACCTAGACTCGATATTGATATATTTTAAAAAGAAACTACTGAGTCCAAAAACTAACGAGGTTAATCAAGCTAAACATGTGACATATATGACATTTTAGTCTCAGATTAGCTTGTTAAAACCGTTTTGATTTCCTTCAGTTTTTTATCTTTAGAAAACGAGAACCTACATGATTAGCTTGTTAAAACCGTTTCTGTGAGGGCACGTTTGAGAGTGCTTTTGGAAGGGTTAAAAATGCTTTCTGACAACCAAAAGCAATTCTCACAATGTTTGGCATAAAAGGTTAGAAGTGCTTCTAGGTCGTGGAAGCACTTCCCGAAGAAGCAGTTGCTAATAAAGCATTCACAAGTGCTTTTCTAATCAGCACTCTAATTTCTTATGAAAATTTCAATATTTTCATGATAAAAGCACTTGCAAGAAGCTCTTATGAGCAAATGTGTTTTCTAGAGAAGCAGTAAATGAGCCCAAGCTGGTTTTCCAGATTTCTCATATAATTTAATCCAATTAAGTGAAAAAATAAATAAAAGTAATTAAATTACATAGGTTCGTTTGATTTGTTAGGTTTGAATTTCCAACACCCGACAAATAAAAAATATTGCTTTGCTTATTTTTGTTTTCATAATTACTAGCCTCTCTGCATGCGCTTCCGCGACTGCGAGAGGCTTTTTTAAAAAAAATTTTAATTTATTTTAGAATTAAAAAAGATAATGGGTAGTTGTGTTCCATAAAAATAAGATCTATTATCTTATTTTTCTTTTAATTTTAATTTTTTTAATATGAAAAAGTGTGAATTTACTGTATTATCCTCATTTAATTAATAATTTCAATTCTTAATGTTTGCATTAACCAATAGCATTTTCTGATATTTTGAATGTTTCACCATTCTCTGCCTTTTGCTTTATATATATAGATTTTTTTTTATTAAAGTTCAAACAAAACAAATTCATATATATATTTTTTAACTGGCAGGGCTGCACTGCATTAATGTAACCCATATATGAACAAGTACATGCATATATATAATTATACATTTAAACCCGACAAGTAGTCTTATAAATACTATTTAATATTCTGATCTGTAAATTGTAATAACATATATAGATATTCTATATACATTGACCACTTGCTAGTTGCTAGCCCTTTCTTTTCACCCTTTTAGTATTTTGAAAGTTTCTTAATATTCTCTTGTTAAGATAGCAATTTTTATTTTTATTTTTCCTTTTGGTCAAAGAAATACCAATCACCCTAAATTACATGCATATATGATATGATTGGCCTCCTGTTATATACAGGAAAGTGATAAGAAGCTCAAGGATTAGATGCTCTTCTTCAAAGACCATAAGGGAAAGAATCTTGAAGTATGTAACAGTACAAATATAGCTGGGGAGATATTAAAGAAACTTTAATTGGGCATCAACTTTCATTCAAAAAACATTAAAATAAAAATAGAGCAAAAGTGAAGTCAGGTTAATAATGAGATGATATATCTCTCTACAATTACTATAAATAAATAAAAAATTGTGTTTGAACAGTTTCTAGTCCAGTAAAAAAGAAGGTCGGCTAGAAATAATATCTCACATCACTCCAACCGAATTGTCAAAGCTGATGTGAAATGAATGCTAGAGGTTCAACCGTTACTTTTGACATCCCAAAAGCAAGATGTCAAATGAATATTTTTATTATTTTTAAAGACAACTGGCTGTTATTTTCATTTTTTATTTTCATTTTTTATTTTTTCTTCTTTATCTTAAATGATGACCGTTACAATAATTATTTATTTCACATATAGGATGGAGTGTAAAACTGTGTAAATGTCAAATTGTCACATCAGTCATCAAATTTAAATTTGATGTTTGGTATTTGACATCTCCCTTGAAGATGCTCTTAAGTTCAAACATACTTGGCACCTTAGTAGTGTGTGTACGTGTGAGAAACTCCCTCTCTCCATTGTAACTATCGCTTGTATTAAAAATATATTAAAAAATCTTGAGTAAAGGGATATTTTCCTTTATAACTTCTCCTACCTTGTACGTTCTACTTTTTATTTTGCAATGTTATACGATAATCAAAAGAGTTTATTTTTTAGGTCGCCTTCAATGATCATTCTTGCAAAAATCAATCAAATTGAAATTTGTTAACACTAAAGTGTGATGATTCAGTGTTTAATAAAAACATTAAGTTTTCTTATTTGTTATACCAATCAAATGACTAAATGGCTTTCGATTTGTTTTTATTTTATTTTTTAACAGAGATGATAGACAATTTTGATCATTAAACTGCATCTAGCTAGAAAAACTTTTGTAGGACTCCCCTTGCCATATCAATGCTCTATCGCAGAAGAGCCAAGTTAAAATACATGTACTTAAAAAATGCTCATTACATTGTTTAACTGAATTGTCCTACCACTATTATTAGGCAGACCAAAGTTGATGTATTTAAATCAGTGTATAGTCTTATTCATATTAATGATACATTAAATACGAATCTACTTGCTGTCGTTCTCTCTCTTGTTTGAGGAGTTCATCATTGACCACAACTCTTAATAGGTGATCAATCCTAAGGTTGGGGAAGGAATTGACAATTGAGAAGAAAATGGCTAACCCCTGTCATATCATCCAAAGTACAACTATTAAACCTATTAATAGGAAAAGAAATATACTTTTATGATGCTAAAGTTTTCAAATTAGGTACGTCAAATTTGAGGGTTTGTATGAATCATAAGTTCGGAAATGAGTATGAAACTACATTATTATGTTTGGTAAATCTATTCTTCTTATGGCATGTTTACTAATCCGTAATTGGATTATGATAAATTGAATTGAGGATGAATTGAATTGAGGAGGAGTTGGATTGAGGAAAATTAGATTCCGGATTCTTAATGAAGTTGTTTACTAAACCATATGGATTGAGGGGAGTTAGATTCCGAATTCCTATTAAAGTTGTTTACTAAACTATATGGAATTGGGGTATGAGTGGTATTAATTACTAAAATGTCCTCATTTTTGGGTTAAAGTAGATGGCATATTTGGAATTTTGAAAATTGTGTGAGGATATAATGGGTAAAAAAGATGAATTCCTAATTGGTGAATTCTCCAGGAATTAGAATACCATCTCCCATTCGGTAATTGAATTTCTCCAAAATCAGGAATTCAATTCATAATTTTGTGTGAGCCATGCTTACTTTTCAATTCATTGATGTGAAGTAAACAAAGGAATTCTCCATAAGCAGAATTCAATTGCTTGTGAGAATTCAAATTCCTGATTAGTAAATACACCATTAATGTAATACCTGACTTATGGGTATGGACTTTTCATGTATGGGGAAATTTTTATTTCATACCCTTGCTCGTTTGGTTCGCACTTTAAACTTCTTGATAATGAACTTCTCATGTATAATCCCATGAGATGGGAATGAAGGATGTTATGTTTGGAAACGTTGGGAAATGATAATTAGGAAAGACCATTTTATCACATTTTCATGTTTCGTTTATGCAGTATTAGGAATGAAAATTTTTCAATTTTCCAATAATATTTTTAACTTTTTTATTAAAAAGAAAGAAATATGAAGAGTTTTTCAAGGGTAAAATATAGTATTTTAAAAATAGAATAGGGATAAGTTAGTCTTAAAAATTTGCTTTAAATGCTTTCCCAAGTGGGGAGAAAATTTTCCCAAGCTCATCCAAGAGTATGAAACTCCCCTTATATGGAAAGTCCATATACCCATAAGTCCATAATTGCATTCCCAAGAGTGCACTTACCAAACATGGAATGCAATTTCAAACTTATTCACAAACTCCTAAACCTTGAATCAAATGGGCCTTTCATGGGAATCTTTTTCCCCCTCACCTGAGAAAGATTTAATTCAATTTTTTTAACTAACTTATCTTTATTCTAAGTTTCATATACCAATTTCTATTAATAACTTTAAATAAAGAATAATAAAGGGTATTTTGCAAAACTGAATAATTTTTTTATTCCTAATACTACTACACAAATCAAACATGGAAATGAGAGAAAATATTATTTTAGGCCGAATGTATTTTGAACTGTCGTTTAACTTAATTGTAATAATCTAACCTTAACACAAAGATTAATATTTTTTGTGTGTATTAAAAGAATAATCATGGGGAATATTTTTTTTCTTCTATCATAGGTTAGTGGGCTCCCAATAAAATAATAATAAATGTTGAAATAGCCTTATTAACCCATCGATTTGTCTGAATAATAAGAGCATCAACAAGCCGGTGTTTATGCCCAGATGCCAACACGTATGACTTGTCTCCTTCTGCATCCACCCTTGGATTAATTTGGATCCATAATTTCTACCTCTACTAAGAAAACCCACTCAAATTTTAATATTCTTCGTCATCGACTTATACGGCAATATAATATTTTAAATCATAATTTAGGGGATGGAAATATATAGGTTTGCATTTACATATTCCACTGCAAAATGCAATTATTTTTCATGGAATTTTATATTTAGTTGATTTCATATATATCTTTGAACAATATAGAACAAATGTGATTACTCCCTGATGCAAATATAGAGCTATGGTTAAATTTTCAAATAAAAAATAAATAAAATGATAGTCTATATTTTAAAATATTTATATATATAAGGCAAAAGGCAGAGAATAGTAGAACATTCAAAATATTGGAAAATACCCTTGGTTAATACAAATATTAAGAATTGAAATTATAATTAAATGGGGATAATATGATAAATTCACACTTTTTCATATATAAAAAATTAAAATTAAAAGAAAAATCAGATAATGAATCCTATTTTTATGGAACAACAACTTTTTTATTATATTTTTTAATTATAAATTTTTTTTTTATTTTCTCACAGAAGCTAGTAAATAATTAAAGGTAAAAAGGAAATAAGAGTCTATGTCCAACAAAAATATCTCTTATTAAAAGAAAAGAATGAATACAAAAAATAAAAAGCCTATTGCTACGTGCATGAACGCTGATTGAGAAGTTAGTATACATTTAGAGAGTAAAGAACAAATTATTTACTAATCATGTTTGTAACTTGGGCCATGTGGTCATCCAAGGAAACAAAAAATAACTAAAACGTGAGCTTTGAGTATCCGTAATGGGTTCTCTAAAATAGGGAGAATTCTATAAGAGCTCCTAAATTTGAGGAGAGATAAAGGACTCCTGAAGACTTCCTAAAATAACTTTTGCGTGTGTTTTAACAAAATTTTAACTAAAATATAAATAGCACATGACAAGGATAGATACTTTGAATTTCGTTGTTGATATGTCGTTTTATGGTATTTAATGTCGGTGCTTCATTATGCTTTGCTTTGGAACTATTCAAATTTGGTGCTTATGACATGATGTAAACGTCGATATTATTATTAGCTCCTCCTCCTCCTACGATTATGTCGCATCTCCTAACTCTTCTACTGGTTTCAGATACTTTATTATCTAACAGCACGAAACAACCTACAATCAATGGAGAAAGAAAGTGTTGGATGAGGAGGTCTGTCCACATCACTTGTACGATCACTTTCATAAGGCCCTATGGTGGTCTCACCCCCAATATGCAGGAAGTCTCTTTTTTGTGAGAATGGTTGTACACGTGATACATGATCGGACCGCCTCACTTAAGACTTCCTTGATGCACTGCTCGGATATGATGTTATATGTCCATGCTAGCATACATTCACCAATCACCATCTTAGTTTGAAAAATGTAGATTTGATTGATTTGGCCGCCTCTATGCTTAGACAGTTGGCCTAACCAATGGTTCATGAGTATTTTGTGACGCGTGATACAAGAGACGGATCAAGAGAATGGAACAACAAGAATACAACCAAATGGAATCTGAGAAAAAAAGGTGCGTACAAGGCTTTAATTTTTCAAGAGACAGCTTCATCAGCTTACGACCAAATTTAGCATAATTTATTCATAACTGAAATATGAAAAGACCAAAGTAAATATTCGAAACTAATTAATATAAAAGAAAAGTGAACGATGAATTCCCATTAGACTTTACAAATAAAATCTAAGAAAGTTGGCAGTGGTGCAATTTTTGAAAGAATCGAAGTTATTGTTGGGCATATTTGGATATTTTATAAAAGGAACTTTAGAAAAAGTTAAACGTCATTCAATTGCAAGCTTTCAAAAAAACTTTAGCAAAGACTCATTTTGTCTTTATTAATGCATGAAATTTAAACTTGGAACCTTTGCACTATGCGAGATTTAGAAACATATTTTCTTCGTGCAACCGGTAGTAAGTGCTCTATAAGCCTTATATTTTGAGTGGTCATGTAGTTTTTCACGTGGTATAACTCTGACGTTTATGTAAGCGAAAAATTGACCCACCAAATGTCACATCAAAAAAAGGATGGATAAACTAATGGTGTACCAATTTGTAACTTTAGGGTGGTTAAAAAAAGATTAAATGATAAGAGACCACAAACTGCAAGGGATCTTGGTCATTTAACCTCTACATGTTGGAAATCAGATGAAAGATGTGAACCGAGGAGAAGGAATGACACCTGTAACGGATTTTAATTTTAGTTTGTTCTATTCTCATTGTTTTCTCCTCACCTTTCCTCTCAAAAAAAACAACAACAAAAAAAATCTTTATTTTAATTCTAAAACAAATTCATAATTACGAACTGTCAAGATGAGAAAGAGAGCAGCTGTGCCGAAATGCACAAGCAACTAGAGCCATCATTTTCAAATTGTAATTGGATAACGTTGTCTCAAATGTGACATATTTTAATGTTTGAATTTTATTAGGGTTTTGTGAGGTTGATATGGGATTGGGTTTGGAAGGAATCTTTGAGTTCGTGGAAACGAGATGCACGAGACATACGAGACAAAACTGGGTTTGTTGAACTCAAGCTTACAGATACAAACACAAGAGTTCGGACTCAACTTCTCAACAGTCAAAACCTAATGACGTACAATTCCAAATTCATGTTAGAGGAATCTCTCACCTCAAAAAGAACACACAGGATTAAACTTTCCCATTTTTGTCATGCATCTCACATGTCACGGATGGATGCATATTGCCACATGTCATAGTTTCATCCATTCATTTGACCAGGTTTATGATGGATACATATTGCCATATGCCATTATTTGTCTTTTGGTTTTTTGTTATTATTATTATTATTATTATTATTATTATATTATTATTTGTAACTATGAATTTCATGTCTGATCAATGGGTATTTTCGGCAGTCCATTTCTAAATAGTTTGACAATGGGCCTGTCTATATATATATTTCTTCATGTAGTTCGAATTTGGAACTCATTTTATCCTATTTGAATGCTAAGTTGGAGCCGAATCACCCCCTCCTTACTTTGCTGAACATGTGCAGAGTTTATTGGAAGGGTTCCTGGGACTGCAGAATCTTTCATGTTTTCAGGGAGGTTAACTTTGCTGCTGACTCTGGCAAAGATGGGGCATGCAATGGAAATGGGTATCACTGCTTTGTTTTGCCTCCTGGTGGTATTACCAGTGTTCTCCAAGAAGACAGGGATGACCTTTTAAGGTCTAGACTGATTTATGTTTAGTTGTTGTCTGGGCTTAGCCCTCTTTGTTACCAAAAAAAAAAAAGAAAGGCCCATTTTGCTTCCTCCATTTAAAGTCCATGCTTCTGTTAGCTGTATATTTGATGTCCCAAAGGACACTGGAGCTTGACATTGCAAGAGGAAAATAAATGAAGAAAACCCAAGGTTCACAATGAAGCGTATGAGTGTTTCAAGTGTGAATGGTTTTACTTTTATATTTAGTCTGCTCTGCTAGATAAATTCTACAACTTGCTAAGTTTAATTTCGCGTAAAATATATGCCGATATCTCTTCAGGTGAGAGCTCAACTATTACAGGAACCTAAGCTACCTGGTAGTACCTTTTGTATTGTGTCCAAACAGAATAATTCAAAATGAAAAGCACCAATGGGTTTGAGACTTATTTACAAGCTGGTCTGAGTTCAGTGGCCTGCAATCTTTGGTGTTTGCTTCTATAACCACCAATGCCAGATCCAAATCGGCTTAAAACAAGTCCTGACGTTTACTCTTTGGTTGGTTTGTTTTCTGTTTTTTGTATTTTTTTTTCAGACATTACCTTCTTGGGTCTAGTTTCATTATGGTTCTTGTCCTCTTGGGTATTGCTCGACTGGGATCAACGTATTGCTCAACTAAGGTCAACATATAAGTTTGATGGCCTGGATAACAAGGGTAACAGGGTCTGGATCCTTGCAGAGTTTCTGATTTGGCATTAGTGATGCTTTACACTCCATAGGTTCTCCACAATTGGAGACGGCTACTCCTACTAGCACAGAGAAGAACTAGACATGGTACCCCAGTCAAGCCATGAAATTGCGGAAATTTCTGATCTTGAGGATTGGGTTCAAGATAAATGTGCCTCGACTCATACACGACGCAGCATGACTAGTTAATTGGTTGAGTCAACGTTAAGTCATCTGCACGATTAATTGAATTGATTCATTTAGGTTCACTAGTACTTGACACGAACTTGAAAGGGTACACATGACCTAAACACGACATGGTACGACCCGGTTCGACTGTCACCCCTAAAAGTGGCCTGGAAAAAGAGTAGGAGATGGCTGGATTCTCTTCTTTCCTTCATCAAATAATTAATGAAGGGAATGAATGGAAAACTGAGATCCCAATAGTATGTTTTAGATTGGCTTGTAGGCCATCTTCCAATAGAATATGTCAAGATAATGCAATAATCATTATAAATCACGCTCCCATTTGGTCAAGTCATCAAAAAATGTAACAAGAACTGCAACTTACGCAACCCTAATTGCTTCATCCAATTCTAGAGGCAAAAAGTGGTACAATACCTAGTCCAATAACAAAGAATATTCCTCTTGGTTTTCTATTAAAACAAGAAAGTACAGAACCAAACAATGATGACAGGTACAAAGAGGGAATATTCCCCATATAAAGAACGAACAAATAGTAAGATCGTTTGGTTACCTGTATTTTTAATTCCTTCATCAAAGATCATGGAGAAGGATGAGACTACTGTACGTGATTTACAAGCCTTCGATTTGCTAGCCAGAAAGTGTACAAAATGTTAACAGGCAAGATCAGTATTTGATAACATGGTGGCGCAACCAAAGATCGTACATGACCATGTGGAATGCATCATATTTGACGGGCGGTGAATTCCACTGGAAGTGCTGCTGGACCTGATAAAAGAACAAGCCACAAAAAGAATTTCTTACTAACCTCCAACTTTTACTTTTGGCATAAGTAACGCTTAAAAACATGCCTTCACAAACAATCACAGACACCCACAAACGACATATGATGGAAACAGATTTATTACATAAAAATTGAAGTGCATAAGATTTTTTTAATTGTAAATGAAAGTTTTACCTTAACCAAGTTTTTGTGAAGTGTAAGAAACTCTGAATACGGTATATCCTTAAGACTTTGTTTAAGGTTATACACATCCTTCTCAGTAAGTATGACAGCAAATTTTCGCCAATCGAGAATGTCATTGAACGGCAGGTCATAGTAATTTGATAATATTACTGCAAGAAATCAAACCAATCAGCTGATAAACAATTATAAGGACTTTGAAAGGTATACATTACATCTCAAGCTAAAACCAAAAGGACAAAGTCAGATAGGAAATTGAACTTCCATGTTTTGTCAAATTAATCACTAAGAATCCCCTCAAGTTACTGTCAATATGTACAGTCCTAAGAGAAAGTGCAACTGCACCCCAAAACCCTTTACTGGTTGAACAGTAGTCATTGATGAGTGGCATGAAAGATTAGACTCGAGGCATACACCCATTGAATAAAAATGAAATAGAAACAAAAATAAAGAGATATCTGCAAGGAGAGGCTGACTTAGCTTGAAATCTCTGGTCAAAATTAAAAATATTTGAAGAAAAAAAGTTATATATATATATACACAGAGAGAGAGAGAGAGAGAGAGAGAGAGAGAGAGAGAGAGAGAGAGAGAGAGAGAGAGGCTGAGAGAGAGATTGCTGGACATAAAAGCAGCAGCCAGAACAGAAGTTTGTAACCAAAGAAACAAAGAAGGGGAAAAGAAAAGATGAAAGATTCCTCGGGCGAAGACAGTCTTTCTTCCCCATAGTATGGGAAAAATTCTCTTTTCTGCTTCTTTTTTCCATCTCTATTTCTCTCTCTTTTTTCAAAAAATAATATGGTCACATGCCTTGATCATTGATTTTTACCATTCAAGCAAGGATAGAAGATAAAATCATTGCATACCTCTCATTGCAATTTGCAAGAAACAAGAAGATTTGAATTCTTACCAGGAATACATCCATAATGGATTGAGTCAGTTATACGAGCGCTGTTGACCTGGGAACCGCCAGGACATATGCAGAACTTGGTGTTGTAAAATTTCTTTTGATATAACAAATTCCCTTCAGCCCTATTTATTCTGTTGTTCAATATGTAAAGTTCTGTGTCATTCTCCCACACTCGTGCCAGTATAACTCTAATTTTGGAGTTCCGATGACCGGCCCAAAAACCGAGGGTTGTCCTGCAAAGCATGCCTCCTATTAATTAATTAATGAACTTATATTATTAGGCTAAATCTAGTTGCAACAAAGTGATAATTACCTTCCATTTGGACACATGTCTTAACTTATAAAACAAATCATCCAATAGGTCAACCACCATGAACTATGGAAATTAATCCAAAAAGGGAGCAATACATAGTGCATGTGTAGTTCATTAAGCGATAACAGAATATATACAAGAAACTGATATCCTTCTATATTACCTGTTTTCCACATCGTTTCCTCCAGCTGGAAGAGCAAATGGCTGGAGTACTTGAGGAAGGGCAACATCTTTGTGTGGAATGAACCCAACGTCATAGCTAGGGGAGCACACAACTCGAATCGAATTCTTTACAAGAAGTGGAAATCCTTCCGTTGCCCTCACCCCAACATCATGACACGTGACAAAGAAGTGGTCTGCACCTAGGGTTCGGTTCCAGTAAGGATACTTGAATATCAAGCTCTCCACATAGTCCCGAACAATCACGGTCATTTCGTCATAAGTTGTATTCTGAAAAATCATTATATACCAACATAGGAAAGGTCAAATTCAGAGTAAGAAGTTTGTCTTCTGCATTTAGGCATTACCATTCCCATTCGAGGTGAAGCAAACTTAGACTCTCAAACAATTACATCTGTTAAAATAAGGTGGCATTGGAACATAAACAAAATCCACCCATGGAGTTTACGTGTATTATGTGTTAGTAGTCACAAACCACCAAATGCTTCGAAGCATTGGTACATAGAGACTAGAAAAACCAATAAGAACAGATGAAACTAATGGAAATTAGCAACAAATAAAACCATGGGTCACTGCATAGTTCATCTCCACAGTTGCACTAGTTGTAGTTATATGTCTCTAGTAAAATTCAAAACTCATCCACACAAAAATTTAGACTTTGAGATATGTCAGATCCACAGCAACAGCAACAATGAAAAGCCCCATATATAAAGCTCTACTTTCCCACAATTTTCTCAGCAACCAAACAGTTCAAACAAAATCAAACAGAATCAGATAAACGTAATACCTTGCCTCGCATCTTGTGGCAGGAGATAGGGATGAAGAAGAGGTGAGCTTGATCCGGATCGTCCGTACGGAACCGACTCTCTCTGATATTCTGGAAGAAGTAGCCCTCGCTGGCGTACTTGCCAGTGAGCTTCCTAGGCGTCTGGTAATACGTCTTTGGATCGCCGTCGGGGTATATGTAGACCTTGAATTTCGCTTCCATCTCGGCAAAATTCAACCGAAACACCTCCGGCGAGTGGTAGATATCGGAAAACTGCTCATTTGTATCGGCCGAGATGTGAATGGTGGGGGAGGAGGAGAAATGGACGGAATTGAGAGAGAAGTAGGTGAAGGAAAGCAAAGTGAAGATGGCGAGAGTCAATAGCGATCCCTGTAAAGAGAACAACATCGGAGAAGACGACTGTGAGTGCGGTTGCGATTGCTTGCCCAAACTCATTTGCTCTCTCTCCACTCTCAAGTGGGAACAAGAAGCTCAGCTAAGCTAACGCCTGCCTTCGCTGCTGCTTCGATTTGGACTTTGGAGATTGATTTTTTTCTTTTTTCTTTCTTCCTTTTGAGTAAAATCAATCAAGATTTCATTGTCAAGTGAGTCCATCAACCAAATTGCAGTTATGAGTTCCTGACTAATATAAATATTTTTAAAATGGAAAAAATTTTTTGTTTTTTTTTTTGGCGTGGGTTTTGGGGAATTTAGAAAAAAGAAATGGAAAAACAAAAAAAAAAAAAAAAAAAAAAAAAAAAAAAAAAAAAGGAAAAAAAAGAGAAAAAACTCTGTTGTTTTGGAAAGTAAGAAATACTCTTTAGTGAATTGGTGGTTTAGACAACACTGGTACTCAGTTTAGGGCCCACTAATTCTCAATTTGAGGTTTGGAATTTTTTTGGCAAAACAAAAGTTTTGGTGTTTGCATCTTTTGGGGTCGTAAAATTGCATTATTCACTTTTTGATACTGGTTACTCTTGTGATAAGCTTTTTTGATGTGTTTTGTTAACCCAAAAAAAACAGTGAATCATAGTGGAAAATGTGCCTACCATTCTGAAAATCTACCAAGGGAAGTTAAATTAATTTTTAAAACACATCTAAGTGGCATTTGGTCTGTGAGAGAAGGTGCAAATTTAGGGTTGTGACATATTTGACGAGGGAGTATTTTTGCCCACATTCACCTAAGGTGTATCATTATCACCTTTCTCAACACTTGACAAGTGTCCATGAACATAACTATGGTTCCACAAATACAAAGCAAATAGTTAACTATAGTATGCCTATGAACACTTCTTGTGTTGAGAAGGTTGGTGAGAGTATACCTTGGGTTAAAGTGATGAACACAAATATTTTCATGGAGAATTGTGTGCTCCTTTTCTTGGTTCATTTTGTTGCTAAAATATGGTATAAATATTCATATTTATAATTGAGTTGGGTCAAGACCCAATCAGAAAACATCAAGTTCGGTTGGAGCCTGAAAAGCTATCCAAGATGGAAAGAACCAGGTTCCGTTGAATGGACTATGCAACTATGCAATCCATTATAAAGTGATTCATTTATATTATGGGCTTGTTGGCCCATGGCTTGAAATTATTAGTTATGTTATATACACCCCAAAGCATGATCACCACACCCAGTAGATGGAGGTCTAAAACCCTCCTAATCTCTGAATACACATGACCCCTTCAGAAAAGGAAACCAGATAGTTTTGATAGGGAGACTTGCACAGATATTGACCATCCCAAAGTGTAAAGAATCACATTAAAGATTTATGGTTTTTAGGCTGTAACACATACAAGAAAATCCCACCTGCAACTGAAACATTGAGTGACTCAAACTCTCCTGCCATTGGAATGCTTACAAGCTCACATAGCCGTTGAGATTTCTCAGACAGCCCACTCCCTTCACTGCCCAAAACCAAGCTCAGCGGCACATCTGCAAAAGAATCTGCAAGCTTTTGAGAAAGGTGAGACACTGGCTTCAGTTTTTCATCGGTCCCTGGATGGCCAGCCAGCATCTTTATTTGGAATTCATTTTTCAGGGATTCAAGATGATTCCAGGTACCAGAAACAATAGGGAGCTGAAACGAGGCTCCTCGGCTAGCTCTAAGTGCCTTCTCATTGAATGGATCACAGCATCCAGGAAGAAGAAAAACACCATTCTGTTGAATATTAGACATCTTTTAAAACATAAATTAAGAAAAAGTGATCAAAGTACACAAGAAAGTGCAACAGATGCATTTTAAGATAGCATCAGAAAAAGGGAACACCAAGGAGTATGTATGATTCATCCTTGCCCCAGCTGTTTATTTAATGGATCTAGTTAAAATATGACGTCGGATTAAGATAACAGGCACATAAGCATTAAAGCATATACATATGAGAGGTTGGGAAAAGCAAAAACATAGCATCTCAAAATAAAAGAATAAATAAAAACTTTAAAAATAAAACAACCAATAAATAAACAGGAAAGAAGAGAGTGAAATCAAATGCCTTACCCATCCAAAAGCCATAGCTGATCTGAGCAGCGTACCAAGGTTACCCGGATCCTGCAGTGAATGATTTTTTATTGATCACTGATACAATTGCCCATAAAGTTAATGAAATCAAATGCCTGATCTCAGAACTAAGACATCACATTTACATTTTCTAAATCAAGCAGCACGGGAAAACAAACTTTACCACAACCTCAGCAATTAATAAAGTACAGAGATGAGAGAAACTTAAAATGAAATTCATTCTCCTTGCAACAATTAGATCGAAGAGATAAAGTTTGCTGCAAAAATACAAGCACATGATTTCTTTATGATAGAAAGAAATATCAAGTGATTGAGTTGCAGAATTTGTGACAAGAAAAAAGCTGTATCAGCAGAATGGCCATTACCAAATGCTTGGATAAAGCCGAATAGAAATGTGGCGCTGGGCTTTAATTTTAGAACAAGAACATAAAGAAACCACAGAATATGCCAAACCAATCAGGGAACTTCCACCCAAAGACCAAACAATTACAGCCCAATATTTAACTTTTAGCTGACAAGTACAAGTTTCAGAGAAAAACGATGCTGAATTTTGTTTGAAATTTCATTTTTGGGCACAGGAAAAACTTTCGCAAAATGCCATTGTTTCTGACAGTTTGCTTCAACACTAGGAAAGCTTTACATGGCAGAAGACTAAATCAGTATCCACACAGCCAAGAGGCACATGATGCCATCTTTAAAATCAAAGGTGCGAGATTACCACACTTGAAAAATTGATAGGACGTAATAATGTTAGGTCAGTGAAAGAGTCACCTGGACACCATCAAGGACTAGAACTCGATGGATTGATGGAAACCATGTCTTACAGTTTACCTCCTTTTCTTCAGAATCTATATCTGAAAAACTGGTAGGCATTCTCATTAGGGCAATTGCTTCAATAGATTCAGTTGATTGCATCCCCGAAAGTTTTTTCATCACAACAGAGCTCACTTCCACAATACGAACAGAGAAATCATCAATCCACTCAGGGACCTCAGCTTTTTCAAGTAGAAGCAAGCAATCTATTATAACAGGTTTCTCTTGCGATGACCTTTGGAACCTGTATATTTCCCTGAAAATGAAAACTTCATCATACATATTACCAGGTTTTATTATGTTTAGGAAAAACAAAATCAAATACAAGGAACACAGTTAGACGGCAATACAGTAGCAGTAACACAAAAAAAAGGACAGAACTATAGAACATTAAAATTAAACCTTCCCTCCAGTTCCATATGCAATGAATAAAGATTTCAACATTGGAATTTTATCTTTTTCATCTTTCTCCAATTTCTCAGCAATCAAACAGGACAAGAAAAATAGCATATACCCATCTGAGTTTTGTGCAAGTAAACTGATTATTGCAAAGAACCCACATAGATTCAAGTGGAAAAGAGAAGGATAAAGATGAAACCTGATAGGTGTAGCACCCACAACGAGAGCTGAACCATGACTGTGGCGATAAGATGAACTCTGTCGAAGCTTGTGGCAGTGTTTCACGAATGGGTTAGAGGTGCTTGTTATGGAGTTGACATGGGAAGGCAGAGGAAGCTTTACATCGTAGTCTTCAAAGTTGCTCTGCCTCTGGGTATGGATTTGGCTTGGACCAACTGATAACTCTGAGTGCAAGTCCCAAACTTTGAGCTTTCTGGGGTGAATGGTTGACAGTGAGATGATGTTAGAGCATTCCATTTTTTTCTCCTTGCAAGTTTACTCACTTAAATAATTCCTTCTCAGCTGAAGATTTCTTTTGGGCTAGGATGGTAGAGGCCGGGTCTCTTGATGTTTTTGAAGAAGTGTTTACAAAAGATAGTATTTTGAACTTCTATAAACGAATTTTTTTTTTCTGTGAAGAAATCTACAATTAAAAAAAAAAAAAAAAAAAAAAAATAAAAAAAAAAAATAAAAAGATTTTGATGATTGGCGGCTAATTTAGTGAACACTGTAGCACATGTTGTTATTTATTTATTTATTTCAATTTAAACACATAAATGTATTATTTTATTCTCGGAGATGTTAGAGCATCTCCACTTTAATGGGGTGATGTAAACTCGAGGGTGTAAAGCCACATCTACATCCTTTTTATACTAGTATGTAAATGTGATTTTTGGTCCAATGTAGGAGATGCAATTTCAAGATGTAAATTTGATTCTCTGATATTAATTCTTTTTTTGTGTTTTTTGGTTAACTTTTAAATGTGGCAGTACATTTGTTCTTAAGCCATTTGAAAATAATCCATGTGACATTTTAAACACGGGAAAACAAAGAGGAACGTCGAGATAAGAGATAAGGAAATTAGGAGGAAGTAGAAAACTGGAGCAAAGAGAGAAGAAGAAGAAAACAAGAAAAAGGAGAGAGAGAGAGAGAGAAAGAAAAACAAGAAAAAGGAGAGAGAGAGAGAGAGAGAAAAAAAACAAGAAAAAGGAGAGAGAGGATAAAAGCACGAAAAAAAAAGGAAATAGAGAGAGAAGAAAGAAGAAAAGGAAAAATAATGAAAAAATCAAAAAGAAAGAGAATAGAGAGTTTGCTTGAATCAATAATTAAAAGGTATTTTACAAATAATGGTGAGTGGAAAGATAGGTTTGTGTTTTTTTAAATTTACATAGTAAGTTGGGAAATAGGACAATGACTGGAAATAGCAACACTCTTATTTTATTTTTCCAAACAAATATACCTAAAGTATATTATTTTTGAAATTTTGAATGTTTCACTTTTAAAGGATTATGACTTTCTGACTGATGGTTATGTGACGGATCTTATGCTCTGTTTGAATGAAGGAATTGCAAATTACATAGAATTCTAAAATAAAGGAATTTAGATTTCCGTCATTTCAATTTCTGACAATTGAAGATTTCAACGTTTTGATTTATGTATGTCGAATTTTGTAAATGACAGAAATTAAATATTTCAAAAGGAAAAAAAAATTGATAATTGACATAGAAAGTATTCCTCAAAGTATTAAAAAAATAATAATAATAATTATCGTTTAATGAACTAAATAACTCAACTTAAACAAACATAGCATATTAGCAAACCAAATCACTCCCCACGTGCAATAAACATCATCAACATACTCTTTTTTTTCTTAATTGGGTGTGCCTTCATCATCTGAAATTGTTTGTCATTTTCTATCAACCAAGCACATGCTTTGAGTTGTTCATTTTCACTAAGACCTAGTACTACTTGTAATTCAGCATATACCTCTACTGGATCAAGGTTTTTAGTATCAGCACGGATAAACTATTCAAATGATAAAGTCATTCTAATAATTGAATCAGCAATAACATCTTTGACAGCACCTCTTTTCTTTATAGGAAGAATATCAGAAGAATTTGATGCATGATTTCTTCTCTTTTGATCATTTGCTGAGGTTTGTGAAATATCATCAATAACATGAATATCTTCTAAATCTTGTGTATCACCATCTAATCAACATAGTCAACTTCATTAGTAGGAGTCATAACCTCAGTTGCATCTACACCTGTTTCGTCGTCCTCTCCAGTAGCTCTACCTTTGCCACACAAATCTACTATATCATCCCAATTTCCTATAACTTTAAATTGAAAACCTCTAGCATCGTCATGAGACTACCAAACAAATAATCAAAGTCAAATAAGAATCTTACAAGTATTTGTTAAAAACAGAAAGAAAAAAGAGAGCACATGATTTAAAAAAGGCTTATTTATGTACATGCCCCCTGTGCTTTCAAACTTGTCTCAGATTACTACATGTGTTTGCAAACGTCTCAAAATAGCCCCTCAACCTTTTCAAAACGGTCTCACGTTACCCGTTCCGTCAGTTTTATAGACGTTCCGTTACCTGTGTTGGGCCCCACTTCGTTTTAATCTTTAACCTCTTCGAATAGGGTTTTTCAGTTCTAAGAAAGGGGGAAATTGGGTGAGAAGGGTAAATTGGAGAAGAGGGCTTAGGGTTTGTGAAAATCTGAGGTTGGCTTCGATTTTGAGAGAATTTGGAGAAGAAATTAGGGGTTTATAAAACTCTTAGTGGAGTTTGAAATTGGGAGATTATGGAGTAGAAGATTTGGGTTTATGGAAACAGGAGAGAAGCAAGGAGAAGCAAGGCATGCCCAATGGTGTCTGTGGGAAGTTAGCACGGATGCAAACTTCTTGGACCAGTTCAAACCAAGGGCAGAGATTTCTAGTCTGTCCAAAGTCAAAGGTAAGCATGTTTAAGATCAAATTTTCAGTCATTGTTTTGGGCATCACAAATTGATAGAGTTCTTATTGATGAAATTGTCAGTGATTGATGAAATTTTCAGTCATTGATAAAATTGAGGAAATTTTCAGTCATTGTTCTTGGTTGATACAGGGAAGTGGAGAAAAATTATGTAGGTTTTTTCAGTGCTTTGATGCAGAAATGTGTGAGTGTTCAAAGTCTTTGATACCTGGTTTGCTGAAGAAGATTGATAGGGTGGAGAAGGAAAATGCAAACATTTGAGCAAAGTCAAAAATATTGTGGGCTGCTATGTTGCTTTCCTGGTTGGTGGTGTTTGCCATGAAGATGAATTAGGCACTTTGGCAGTAGTTCAGTAGGCAGTGTAATTTGAGAACAAATGCTAATGTAATGTAAGGCACTTCGGCAGTAGTTCAGTGGGCAATTTAATTTGAGAACAAATGCTAATGTAATGTAAGACACTTTGGCAGTAGTTAAGTTAGTGTAATGTAATGTAATTTGGTGAAATGTAATGATTAGCTAATGTAATGTAAGGTAATGTTCAATAGTTAAGTTTGTTCATTGTAATTTGTTTATAGTTCAGACCATAACTTTGATCTATGATATGAATGGTAACTTATTTAGAGGTTACAAATGGTGACATACTGAATGGTCAATTATCAAATGGTCAATTATCCATAATAGACATCAATAATCCCACAAACCAAATATAAGCACAAATCAAAACAGGTTTCAACCATAATAGACATCAAATATATGCACAAACCAAAACAGGTTCCAACTATAATAGACATCAAATATTAGCATAAACCAAAACAAGTTCCAACCATAACAGAAATCAAATATACAGGTTCCAACCATAACAGACATCAATAATCCCACAAACCAACAACCATGTCTGGACCATTAAAGTCTTCCACAACATTCAATGATGAAAAAAAGAATCTTTGACAAAATGGCTCCTCTGTTGATCTTTCATCTTCCTCCTATGTTGTTATACTTGAGATAGTTTGGCAGGTTCAGATGCTTGAGATGGTTGGGATTGAGAAGCCTGGGCTATTTTAGATGCCTAGGATTGAGAAGGCCCGTGGGAACCACTTGTTTGTTTCTTTTGCCTTAATTGCATACTCTGTTGTTCGCTACTTTGGTCTCTACCATCTCTCCTTCTTACCTAAAACAAATAATAATTAGATGTTTCCATGATATGAAATTTTAATCGGTGAAAACATAGTTGAAACTGTGGCACTTACTGCAAGTTTTTCCTTGGCAACTTTCTTCTTCCTAGTAGGCTTTATGTTGGGATTTCTAGGTTCCTAATAAGCAAAGTCATCAAGTCAGAAACCAAACCAAATACATTTAAATGTAAAGTAATAAGCCTATAATAACACATACCTTACAACTAATTCAATTATGTAATTTTCCACAGCAATTGCCACACTTTAAAAGGATGTCATACCTAGGAAGCTTATATGGATTAGTAGGTTGTTTAGGTTCATCAACAGCTTGTTTTCTTGTCTTCTTAGGCCTACCAGGCTGCTTATGGTATTTCGGAAGGAGTAATAGAGGTAAATTAATCTTCATCCATTGATCTTGGCTAGTCATAGGCATAATCATTGGTTCATAGGCTCTCAAATAAGCCTCTTTCTTGTACACTGCATCACAAAAGTCCTTTGGATTCCCATAAAACCAACTTATTGCAGCACAAGCATGCAAACATGGTATTCCATTCAAATATCAAGCATGGCATGAACAAGAGTGAGCATTCAAATCAACAGCAAAGTTGCGGTCACTATGGTGCATTACTTCAAACTTATTCTGTCCAGCAACCTTAGGAATGCGCCACTGAGCTTTTCCTTTGTTTTTCTCTAATATCTTTCTAATTCTTGGCTCAACTTGTCCATGCCATTTCTCACAGAAAACCCTTCTTCCAGCCATCAACAACATTATGTACAACCGAATTCTTTCTAGCATAGTCAAAACAGGCTTGTCTCTGGCATCCATTATGCTACAGTTGAATGCCTCACATAGGTTATTCATAAGCATGTCACACTTGGAATCACTCTTGAAATATGCCTTACTCCAATGCTTAGAATCTTTCTCTGCAAGCCAATCATGTGCAAGTTTAGACAACTCCAACATCTTTCTCATCTCTCATGGCACTGTTTTGGCCCTAGCAATTGCTTCCATTTGATGTTTCAAAGCAAGACCTCTATGTTCCAAATAGAAGTTTCCATATAGATGTTTCAAACAATGTCTATGCTCTGCATGAGGGAATAGAGCATCCACAGCATCTATTAACCCTTTTTGTTTGTCAGTCATAAATATATAACCATGACTATAACTAATATTAAGATCACCACTCAATAATTCTAAAAACCACAGCCACGTTGAATTGCTCTCAATCTCTACATATGCATAGGCAAGTGGAAACATTCCGTTGTTTGCATCAACTCCCATTGCAGAAAGCACTTACCCAGGGTAAGGCCCTTTGACATAATACCTATCCAAGCAAACCACAGTCCTAGAACCATCTAAAAACCCCTTCTTGCAGACTGCAAGACAGATGTAAATCCTCTGAAACCGTGGCCTATCACCTTCCATTTCATATTTAATGATAACTGTACTTCCTACATTTCTGGTTTTTAACTCATGACAATAATTTCACAATACTTCATATTGTTTACTATAAGACCCCTCTACAATGTCAACTGCCATAGCTCTTGTTCTATACACAGTTGCTCTAGATGGTCTATAACCATAGTCTTGGTGAACTTGCTCTGCAAAAAAGAAGCAGTCTAATTTGGATTAAGCCTTAACTGCCCATAATATCTTTCAGCCAACCAGCCAGCAGTGGCATGTATATTTTTAGTCTCATTACTACAAACATGTATAGGATTAAAGGTTTTCACATGCAGGTAAGTGCTACCACTAACACTTGAAGCATGGATAACAAAAGAACAGCCCTCTTCACATTATTTTGTTACGGTCATTATCTATAAATATCAACTCCCTTCCATAATTAATGGAGTATATCCTCACGGCTTTTCTAAACAACTCGGCAGTTACAAACTTTAAACCTATTTTGAAACCTGGGTTTGCCATATCAATTTCAGGTCTGAAATCTTCACCTTTTGGCATTCTATTCTTCTTCCTTCTTAGTTCACCTACTGCATCATCTTCACTTGAAGAGTTATTTGGGCAGGTAAGTGTAGGTGACTCTTCTCCATTGTCTGACTCATCATTTTCCTATGCATTAGGATCATTGTCAATGCAGTTATGATCCACATAACCTTCAAACCACTTATCATCCTTCTTCAATAAGTCAATCTCTTTATCACTCTATGCATAGTCACTGTCTTCAAAGTCTGGATCGCTGCTATCATCATCCTCAGAACAAGAATATTCTTGACCACTGCTATCATTCCCCACTTGGCTTGAAGTCAGACTCACTACTTTCAAGTACAAAACTATCACCCTGCTATTGCTTTTAGGTACCGTGCTCATACAAGCTAAAAGCGTACTATCTGATATTATTTGAATGAGTCTACCAGTTCCAAACTCTTCACCATAAAAACTCACATCATACCCATCGTTATATCCCAAATCTTTAGCCATTCCAAATAGCTCTAACATGGACATATAGTCAACCTCACAATCAAACCAACTGACTTCACCACCTAAATAAGACCATTCACTGTCCTTTCTATTTTTAACTAGTTTACCTCCATGGAAAAACTTAAATGTGACAACCTCATCAGCATATTTATCTGTGTAAGAGGAAGATTCACTTAACAAATGGACAAAGGTAACAAAAACAGAACAAGGACCACACAAGAACAATACAAGGAACACACAAGGACCACACAATGACCACATAAGGTGTATTGGGGCCAGCACAGAGTAAAAAAGTATATGAAAAAATAAAAAATAAAACTCCAGCAACACATCAGATTAGGAACACGCAAGGACCACACAATGACCACACCAGAACCAGCACAAAGTCAAAAAGTATACAAAAAATAATATAAAAAAACCCTAACAGCAGTTCAATACACATGCCAAAATCAAGAAAATCAAGAAAATCGAGTGAGAATGGGTCCACTTACATATGGGTTGACAACCTCTAGATTCTCTAAGCACCACCATCTTCACACTTTATAGCCTTAAAGCCTAACGCCAAACAATGATTTCTTCTCTAGATTCTCCCAAAATCGAAGCCAACCTCAGATTTTCACAAACCCGAAGCCATTTTCTCAAATTTCCCCTTCTCACCCAATTTCCCTATTTCTTATAACTGAAAAACCCTTATTCGAAGAGGTTAAAGATTAAAACGAAGTGGGGCCCAACGCACGTAACGGAACGTCTATAAAACTGACGAAACGGGCAACGTGAGACCCTTTTTAAAAGGTTGGGGGGTATTTTGAGACGTTTGCAAACACATGTGGTAATCTGAGACAAGTTTGAAAGCACAGAGGGCATGTACATAAATAAGCCTTTAAAAAAAAGGGTAATGCTAGGCTTACCACATTTTTATATCACATTGTGTACCACATCTCTGATAGAGATGAAGCCCACCAATACAATGGACCCTATCTTTATTAAAGATGTGGTACACAATATGGTATAAAAATGTGATAAGCCTAGTATTTTTTTATTTATTTAAAGTTTTTGATATATTTACCTTCACATATTCTTCCTAGACATGATCTTCATCTACACTTATCATCTTTTTTGTTGAATCCCAACTGAATCCACTTTGACTTAATATGTCATTCACTACTCCATAGAACTTTTTCCATAACTTAACACTATTTCTAATATTATCAGCACTTATCTGGAGATTAAATTGTGCAACTAATATATTTGCAGGAGTATTGTAAGCAACTGCCTTCCATCCACCATCGCTTTTGTGACCTAAGTTGCGCTCCTCACGAATTCAAGTTCCATAGCTATATTCAACTGAAAATAGTTTTTGTCTTCTCCTTCAAGTTCAACTCCTTACTTGTCTTTCCTTTGCAAACCTCTTTTCCTCCAAATTAATTCATGACTTTAGCCCCTGCTTGTTCACTTTTGCATGTTTAAAATACAATTAGAAAGAAAATGAAGTAGAGAATCCCAACTATGGACATCATTAAGCATGACAACATGTGATAGAATAGTTAAGTACTTATAGAAACAAATAACTTAAGAAGTAATAGAAACAAATAACTTAAGAAGTAATGATCATTCTGATTAACTTTTTCAACCAAACAACCATGAAATACACTAAACAAGAGAAACAAAGATCCAAGTGTGAACAATAAATCAAGAATTAATGATGCCTCGTTGCACTTGATAATTATGGAACATCTCTAATGCCAATGTGTCGCGAAAGTTTTTCCATTGATCAGTAACTTGAACACTTGCAATCCTATCATGAGCATTATTTGAATTTCCCTCCAATGTTGAATGATTTGATATGTCAGGATCCATAGAAGCTAAAAATTCCAAATCTTGAACTTCTAAAACATGATCATCAACTTGAGCAGTTCGAATAAAGTTATGCAATATAAAGCATGCATTTATGATTCTAACTTGCGTTTTGATGTTGAAAAATGAAGGTGTACTTAATATACTCCATTGTTTCTTCAATAGACCAAATGCTCTTTCAACTACATTTCTTGCAATTGAATGACGTATATTAAATAATTCTTTGTAATTTTCAGGTTGATTGTTCCCACTCCATTCACTCAAGCGATATCTAGTTCCTCTATATGGTGCTAAAAAGCCCGGTCCATTAGTATAACATCATCCACAAGATAGTACTTATCTACAATAAGGAATTTTTAAAAGCAAATTAGATATAAAGAGCTTGTATTGGAAAAAAGAAGAAGAAAAGAATATCAATCTAATTTAAAAAAAGTATTAAAAATTACCACTTGCAACATGAAATTGGTTGTTCCTATGTAAATCATCTCACAATATACGAGCATCAGATGTGGAGCCCTCCCATCCAGCTAATACATAATTAAATCTTAAATCTGGAGCACAAACCCCTAAAACATTAGTTGAGAGATCGCCCTTCCTATTTCGATATTGTGGTCTTTCTTCTGTTGAAACTGTTATTGGAATGTGAGTTCCATCAAGTGCTCCAAGACAATTCTAAACATGAAATATAAAAAAGTATAAGTATGAAATTGTTGAGGCCCAAAATATTCACGGTTCGGCCCAAATAAATTCTCGGCCCAATGCGATGCTTTACCAAGAAGAAACCCGATTTGGGCATGCAAAAGTTCATCATATGCGCTTGCACACATGCCACGCCAAACGACACGCCACGCTAAGCAAGGAATTATCATTCCGCACCTAATCACGCCACAAGCTTAAGTGGGCCCCAAGCCACTCAAATACCCGGGGCTTGCTTGAGTGGGTTGTGGTATGGATGGTAATAAATTGTCATGAGGCCCATTGATGGACCAAGAAGTGGAGGTTCCGGGTTACTTGGGAGCCTCGGAACCCAAGCCCATTTCTTAGGCCCAAACATGTGGGTGAGCACAAAAGAGAAAGTAGCCCAACCAAAATAGCCCATTACTCCAACCAAAATAGCCCATCACTTCAACCAAACTAGCCCAATACTTGATGAAGTTAGCCCATGTACTTGATAAACCAACTTATTGTCATAGAAGGCCCAAGCAACCCAAAAAAATATATCTGCAAATCTTCAGCACCTAGCTGAAAACAAAAGCCACGTTGAAAGCCAAAATATCCATGTGTGAAAGCTGCTGGAAAGCTCCAACACATGGGAGAAACAAGTTTCAAGCAAAAACTTCCAAATGACCAAGGGATATTGGAGCGCAGATCACCATTTGAACCAGCATGCATACCCATTCCTTCCCTCATCAGACCTAGCCTTGGAAAAGGAGAGAAAAGAAGGAAGAAAGATGGCTGAAAATAGAAGTCTGAAACAGCCGCAGGAAAGGGGGCTTTGAGCTCCCAAAAAGGGATGATTGAAGAGATGAAGGGAGAAAGGAAGGAAAAGCTTAGCCAAAATGGATAGAAGCCATTAGGTTTTCTTGGAAAATATCAGCTTCCAACGGCTATAAATTAGGGCCTCTTCTACCCAACAAAAATCATCCACAACTAGAGAGCAAGCTTCCTCTCATACTTGCAAAAACCAGCAATTTCGTGCACTGTTCATCTTCCTCCATTTTCTTCTTCTGACAAGCTGCCAGAAGAACATAGTTCTTTCCTTTTCTCTTCCTAGCCACATATGCTTGAAAACCTTTTCTTCCTCACCTTAAACACTCTCTTTTCTCCCTAGGAAGCCATATTTCCTTTTTGGTGCTCAACTCATGCTAATTTTGCTCCCATGCCACAAGCCCCTCATGCCAAACTCAAAAGTTTATCTGTAAGCATGAAGAAATTACCTATAAGCTGCCATTATTTTGGTTGGTGAAGATAACCAAAATACTTCCTAAGGCTCTACTGCCTTTTCGAGGTATTTTGGGGCTTAATTTTCGAACTCAGGCTCAAGGGGCAATTTCTTCCATTTTGCCCTTTACGGCAGTCAGGCCCGTAGTAGCTGCCGGAAGAAAAAAAGTCCCCTACAGAAATTAAACTTGGGAATTTGATGCCTCAATTTCCATGATTTTTTCCACGCATTATTTAATAAATTCCACGCTTAAGTTGCCAAAAAAGAGAATTGTCAATTTCTTCTCTTAAATTCCCAATTTTTAGCTAAATTCCGAGTTATTTTCCCTCATCCAAACGGAGTGTTAGAGCACTTCCATCAGTTAGTCCATCCTAGTCAAAAGGCCCTCTAGGCCTCCAAAAGTGGCCCTGTCAAGACATAGGGTCCACCAATCCCGGGCAAGGCCCAAGGCAAGATTAGTTCGAGCTCCTGCCATAGGGCGATGACATCAGCAAACAAAAGTAATTTTTTTACCGTTGGCGCATGATGTACACATGAGGCATGAGCGTGTCACACCCGCTAAAAAAAAAAAAAAAAAAAAAAAAAAATTTTTTTCAATGGCATCAACACCTGCTTTCCTCTTAACGGCTAGAAGCCACATGGCACGACCTGGGGCGTCCGATCAATTTCTTTCCTCGATCCAATGGCTTTTAAAAAAATAAAATAAAAAATGGAAAAAAATACCAAAATTTTTTTATTTATAAATACCCACCACTATTATTTACTTTCCACACCAAATATTCATAAAAATTATTCTCCTATCTTTATTTTCTACTACTAAATTCCATTTGTGTAAAAATACAAATGACCTCTTATATCGAAGTCAAAGGCAAGTGTACAACCATGTAAGATGTTTTGTTGTATGAGTATTGGGTCCAAGTTGGTCATTGCCCGTGAAGTTCTCTTATATGTGTAAATTCATGAAGTTCTCTCTTACCTGAAAATTTTATCCGAATTATAAGATGTGAATTTTATAATTAATATATATGGACACATGGCAACCGAAAATCTTATCAAAAAGTATAAATAAAATTAATCTCATGTGAATAGTGTTGCCTTTGGGTTACCATGGCAATGAGTGGAAAAGCATTAAAAAAAATATATATATATATATATATATGTCATGGCAGGCACTATTCACATGAATAGTAACAACACTTGCTTGCCTTTGCCCTTTGCCATGGCAAATGAAATGTGTCCTTTTTTTTTCTTTTTTCTTTTTTCTTTTTTTTTGGGTCGAAGCTGGTAAATAAGATGTGAGTGAAGTCAGTGATGCTACTCGCTTCTAAAGCATCTCTTTTCTTCCCCGGCACTCGACCTTTTTTTCTTGGCCAGTGCCTGTACTCTCACTTCAAGAAAGAGGACGAGGGTGAAATAATATAGAAGAGAAACTGCTTAGCCAAAAAAGCAAAACTTATTTGCATTATAGTGGGATTATAGTCTACCGATTCCTAAAAAGTAAAACAAGCACTAGGGTCTATCCTATATCCTCTGAGAGGTCGGTAAAGTCAGTGATGCTCCTTGACTGGGAAATTCATCCATCGAAACCATCGAGTTTTGAGGGAACATCCTCTGAGGTGCACCCGGAATATATAATCTCTCAGATGTTGGTGACATACCAGGATTTCTCTGAACCAATGGAGACATATATAATCTTTCCGAGGTGGAAGGAACAGCATCGGCACGTTGAGAGGCCACAGCCAAGTCGTCATTCCTTTGAGATGCTGTGGACATGTATATCCTCTCCGAAGTTGGATGTAGAGTAATATCAGTTCTCTGAGATGTTGAACCCATGTGGTCATGCCGATGAGATGTTTCAGGCATGTATAGCCTCTCAGATGTTGAAAACATGGTGGTGTCATTCCTTTGAAATGTTTGGCCCATACTGTCATTCAGGTGAGATCCTGCCAGCATGTATACCCTCTCCGAAGCTGGATGTAGTGTTGTATCCATTCTTTGAGATGTTGCACTTATCCCGTCATTTCTGTGTGAAATCGGAACCATGTTTTCATGAGAGGCAGGCACATATACCCTCCCAGAAGTCAATGCCATAGAAGTATCAGTCCTTTGAGATGTCAGTGCCTTGTTGCCATTCCTCTGAGATGCAGGCACATGATTCCTTTCAGAACTTGGAATATTTTGAGTCCTTTGAGATGCTGGTATTGAGGTTTCCATCCAATGAGAAGTTTGAGGCATATTCTCAGTCCTTCTAGGTGTTAGTCTTGACGCTTCCATCCAACGAGATGTTTGAGGCATATACATCCTCTCTGAACTCTGGGTCGGTCTCATTGACACACCTTGACTTGGTATATCTCTTTCTGGTTCTGGATGCGTAGCTAGTGAGATCTCTGCACTGGATAGATCTCTCTCAGATGTTGCTGGCCTGACAAGGGGCACTCCTTGACTAGATAAATTCCTATAAGCAGTTGGAGACACGGATAAGACTCCTGGGTTCGGTAGATCTGCCTCAGACGTGGGAGTGATGGACAGTGGAGCTCCATGACTTGGTGAATCACTCTCAGATTCTGGGTGCATGTCTGGTGACACTCTTTGGCTAGGTGAATCTCTCTCAGATGTTGAAGGCAAAGCTGAAGACACGCCTCTACCGGTCAGATCTGTCTCAGATGATGGAGGCAGAGGTAGCGACACTTCTAAGCTAGGTAAATCCTTCCACTGCTGCGCAACCGTCTTGATCTGGGTGTAAAATTGCACACCTGCCTTACCTACAATTTTGAATGGTAACTGCAGTTATGGAAAAGGTTCAACCATCCTCAACCTGTGTGTATGTGAGAGAGAGAGAGAGAGAGAGAGAGAGAAGTTATACCACAAAAATTGAGATCGCTACCAAAAGATGCCTTAGATCCATCAAATGAAGAAAATGGCAATGGAATTGGAACAGGGACATTGATTCCAACCTGAGATATGTCAAATCCGTTTCATTAGTAAAATGCAAGTCACACCATAAATTAGAAAATGTCTACCAGATGAGAGCATTCTCTAATTCCAGTGAAGATTCCATGAAATTACTAAAAGAAATATATTTATTCAACCAGCATACTTTCAGTTCAAACTTCTCATCCCCCTCCTGGAACCAACATGGTTCCCTATACTTCTATTAATATGTATGAAAACCCCATATGTATGCTGGCATAAAAAATTGTAACATCTAGCCCACAGAGAACTATAGGAGGGACGTCATGAAGCATCACCCCATAAGTTCTCATAACCTGCATGATAGAAGAAAGAGTTGGCTTACCAGCCCTGCCTCAACTTCATTCTGGAACTTCCTTGCAGCAATGCCGGATGTTGTGAATATGGAAGCTCCATTACCATACCTAAGGAATCGTAAAACAAGATATAAAACTGATAATTGTAAGTGCCTATATTTCAAACGAAAAGCCTGTTTCAAGAAGTTGCAATTGATGCCAGAATTTTGCAGGGAAAAAAAATTGAAAACATTATATTAAAATAAAAAAAACAAGAAGGAACTATGTTTCTCATAAGTTGCATCCATAAACAAATAATGAGAGTCTTCATTTCACGAATTTAATGGATCTTGGAAACAAAAGAAAGCAAGAGAGCGAGTACCTGTTTCTGTTTATAATTGATATGGCCTCTTCTAGGCTGGCAGCCTGTTGGTCATCAAAAACAGAAAGTTTCGTAACCAATCTACAACTTGTAGCAAACTCACACAAATATGAGAGCGGACAAGTGAGAGAGAGAGAGAGAATACCTGCATGCAAAGAAGAACTGGTCCAAAAATTTCTTCCTGCCCAACACAAGATACAATGCTGTCAAGAATATGCCAATCTCTTTGGTTTCAACTCTTCTTCCACTGAGAATCATAATTAACCAAGTCCATTTATTCTGAAGACATAGAAGAACTGGGAACATGAAAAGATTACCTTAAAGCAATCCATGTTGGTTGTAACATCACATAAGATTGTAGGACCTATAAAATTTCCATTCTCATATCCTGGAACCTACAAAGTCGTGTTTGAAAAATTCAGAGAATGTTTCTAGAAAGCAAGCTCCTTACACACGCTCAGCTTGTGACATATAGAACACTACATGCTCCTCCATTGTTACCATGAGATCGGTGATAAAATGATACTTTATCAGCAAAAGATAATATAAGATACATATTAACAGGAAAGAATATAAGAATATGGAAAAAAGCAGAAAACTGCTAACGGAGAAGCCATGCTACAAAAAGGGAAGGAAAGTAGTCCGTAAAGTACATCAACAATCAGCATTGTTGCCACTAAAACATAGAGTGCATGAAACCAACTTCTGCAAATGTATCGAAACTCAAGGTGAAAATTCACACAGTTTTTCCTTTTTTGCATCCTTTGGATGATTGCATGCATATTTTGAAGAACTTTCAAGATACAGCAAAACTATGCATGAATCATGATTTGCTCATAAAATAGAACAAATTAATGTATCTTATTGCCAGCACCTTAAAAAAACAAAAATATATATTCTTATATTTCTCTTAATTTGATCTGTAAAATTATTAAAAGCTACCACGAGGGAGCAACCAAACTACACAAGCATACAAGAAATAACCACCCAAAGCTAAGGATTCTAAAATCAGGATAGAAGAAAATAGGTGAGGATATTATATGCCATCCATGGAGCTAAAAATTATCCTTCCTTGATATGGTCACGTCAAGAGAAATTACCTAAGTCATATTCCCTAAACAGTGCAGCCAAAAGAAAATTTCAAAAAACACCTCCCAGAGTTTTGGTAATATACTGAAATTAACATGTTTTTCAATTTGTGTTTATGCATGTGCACATGTGTAAAGCATTTCTTCATAGCAAGAATTGATTTATCTCATTTTATCTGATATCAAATACATACCCTAACATTTCTCCCATCAAGCAGAAGTCTAGCACCACTTTCAACGCTGCTCTGAACTAATCTGCAAATGCAATCCTTCACCTGTGAATTTAGAAACCTTGTGAAAAACTAAAAAAAAACTGCATTAAGCATATCATCTAAATAGGTTATACAACATGTTTCCATGAGAAATTTGAAGGATCTTTTAGTAGGAAACTTAATTTATAGATGAAAGAACAAAATTACAAAAAGATATGGACATGTGTTCCACCTATTGCAAGAACAACAAAAGGCACAAAACAAGCAAAGTCACACTCAATACAAAACCCGAGCCCAATCAAGGTGAACTACACTAAACGGAACATATCTAAAGTGCTTAGACAAAGGCATCAACAAAAGGAGGCCAGAAATTTAATTGTTCTCGAACAAAATTCAGTTCCTCTTCCCCATCCTAGAAATTCTTCTATTCCTCTCCTGATACACAACCCAAATAGAACCTAGTACTCCATAGAGCAAAGCTTACAACTCTCTTATTAGCCCCCATCCCAAACATCCCTAAAAATTCCTCGATCAACAGAGAATATGATGCAGGACACATAGGACCTAAATTTATTAGTTTCCTAATGTATTTGTTAGTTTCCTAGATTCTCTAGTTTTCCAAATTCTAGTAGGATTTTTACTTTTCCAGATTTCCAGATTTCTAGTTTTAAGTTTCCTATTTTATTTGGGTTATGATTTCTGTTTAAGCAAGGGATTTTTATCCTATTATGTCTAGGTTTTAGTTTGCTATAAATACCCCCATGTAGTTCTTTAAAATGGAGTTTTGAATATTGATTAAACCTTCTCTTAAAACTATGTGATTTCTGTTCTTCCTTCTCGGTTCTCTGATTTCAGTCCTTTCTTTCATCCCTTCGATCTATATTTTTGTCTCCTCGACCTCCGATATTCTTCTATGTTCTATTGTTTGAGTGCTTACTCTAATACCTACGGGCTGTACTACATCAGAATAGAAATCTCTTGGAACTAGAAAGACCCACTTCAGGCCAAAAGCTAGCTCCTTACAAGACACAGAAACTAAGCTTTCCAATTAGTTCCTTTTTTATAAAGAAAAATGGCAGACAACGCAGAAGGATGTATTCACCTCTTTTGTAATAACTGGGCCAAGGTCTGCACTGGGATCTGTTCCTACATTCACTTTAAGGGCTCTGACATGCTCCAAAATTTCGCTTTCCCTGTAAAACATAAATAGACCACCAAGTTTAGTTGAAAACTAACTTGCTACCTATGCAAAGCACAGGTCAAATAATAGTTTTTTAAGCCAAAACAAATATTGTTAAGTTTATGACAAAATAGAAATACTTTTATAGTTCATATAATAAAAAACAGTTTAAAAATCTAACATGTGAAATAAAAGGAAAATTAATATCAACCCTGCACTACTGACATTCTAAACTTGGTCAGTCTTAATTTGGCTACTCTTTCCAATTTACACTAACCCATGAGAAGACTTGGTAGAAACTTTAACCCTTCCCATTAATATGTTAAACTAATATGGGAAGCCCAACAGGCAAAAGTAAGAACCCCACAGATCACATCTCTTTTAGTACCATAGATGGACACATGTCACTTGTTTAACAAATTTAGCCGAAATGCAACATTGGACGAGCATTAATGTAAATACAAAATCAGATCCAACTGTTAGATGTGAGCTAATATATAAATTACAAATGGATAAAGAATGAGTAACAATAACCACAAGTTGCAAAGGATAAACAAGAAAGTATCTCAAAGTTGTAGGCAAACTCAAGTAGTTACGGACTAAAGACACAACTAAGTTCAGCGGTACATGTTCCAGTAACATTCAAACTTCGAAGAAGAATATAGGCATGTAACTCCTACTATTAGATGCAGTGAACTCAGTAGATGGGAAGATAACAAAAAGAAAAGAAAGGAATGAAACATTATCAGATCAAACAAACAAAATGCATTACCATGGCCTTGAACCTCCAACAAAAACAGCTGTATTGAGAGTCATACACCTTTGTCCTGCACCACCAAAGCCAGCGGTAACCAGAGCATTCAAGGTAGCATCCATGCTAGCATCAGGCATGATGATTGCATGATTTTTTCCTCCTATATTAGACTAGGGAATTCACAGAATCACCGGTTAGAAAGCAAATTTAGTTAAAAAGAAAATGCCGATTGTGTGTGCGCTTGGGTGGGTAAGTGTGTGTGTGTGTGTGTGTGAGAGAGAGAGAGAGAGAGAGAGAGCAACTATTCACCTGAACACGTTTTCCCCTAGCAACTGCCCTCGCATATATGTGCATCCAAGCCTTCACAGTATATGAACAAGAGAGAGTAGATATAAAAAGGAAATTAAACACGTAAGAGTAGAATGGCATATACTCTCATATATTTGAAGTCCAAAGTTAAACATATGTGCTATGACAACCTATTGAATACAAGCAAACCTATTCAATTTCCAAATTGCAGGGAAATGTAAGATTTCAGCGGAAAAAACTAACTACACTTACTCAGATTTATGAGCTCTACTATCAGTTTAATGATTTAATTTCATACCCATGAACTATTGATGCAGAGGCCTCCAAAAGGTTTATTAAAGCCTCTCTCTTGTCCACAAACTGCGAAGGCAGTGAGCTTAAAGTTTTTTTAAGGGCCGGGATTAAAGGGTTATTTTCATATCAATGGCTGGGGCTGGAAGGTCCCCAATATATGTGTTTCTCATTATGAGCCTTTAAAAAAAAATTTGACAGAATATATAATCAGATTAGACAATTGTTCTTGGGCCACTCTTTCCCTAGACATTCAGTTATCATCGTTCCAGCAATGGTCTTAAAGCTTCCTTTCCCTAGAAACTTAGTAGAAAATTTTCTTTTCTGTTGCACCAATGATAAAAGCAGTGGATAGACTAATGGAACACTTCAGCTCACAAGGACAATCACATAAACAAATTCAATTCACAATGACTTTGAGTTTTTCGCCATGTGAAGATGTAGCGAAGGCCGACAAGGTTATATGTGAGTGTGCTGATGTGTCAAGTGAATCTGAACTTCAAGTCATATCTTCAGGCACCAGATAGACATATAAATAATCATGAACCACCAAACTGAAAGAAACTTACCGTATTTGAGCCAACAAGTGATACAGCTTTTATGTCATCATCATCACATACATAATTAATAACGTCCTGCTCAAATTGATTTTCAAGAAAAGTAAATTTTGTCAGTGCTTAGAAAAGATTAATTAGCAACCTACCCCAGAATTCAAATTGACATTACCTAATCATTTACAGAACAGCATAAATCATTGGAAAAGACATAAGGTGCAATGGGAGTGGCCAACAGCTTGGCCACCTGTTTTAATAACATATATTAACCCCGAAAAAAATGGCAACTGCCATTTGTACAACTACATATTAATGTCTTTCATTTTTCTACTTAAAACGCAGGAGATTTCCACGACTAGAACTGTGGCAAATACGTACAAATAGATGGAGATCCTGATCAACAGAACTTACATGGGTGCCATGAACAATATTTAAGACACCATTGGGTAAACCAGCCTCCCTTGCAAGTGCTGCAAGTATCATTGAAGCCCCTTAAACAAAAACAATGTCAGCCATTTCAATTTGTCAATATGGGCACAGTAAAAGAAAAATGAAACATAAGATTGCATTTCTAAGAAGATGCATAAAAAAAAATGAAGTCCAATGATACAAGGTGTAGCATACAACAGCTTCCATATAACAAATGATTGATCTACAGATATCATTGAGACACATTAGAATGACATACACAAAATTTAAGAAGTGCGTCAATATTGATGATCTTTTGTGGTTTCCTATTTGTAGGAAAGATCTAAACCTAGAACCTCACCAACCCCACACCTTAGCATTACCACCCTTATTTTAATGTATGGCTTTCCAACTAACACTAAGGCACAAACACAGTTACTATTGATTAAACGCATTCCCATATGCACATGTATGCATTAGCATCACTTAGTTGTTTAAAATCTTAAATACATACAACTTACAAACATGAATTATATTCAGTATATCACCCACAATTCCCACTGGATAACCTTTTCACCACTTATATTGATTAAATCATTGTCTTCATATCTGGAAACTTGCTAGAAATTTGAATCTGGAAACTTCTCTAAAGATGATTCTTCATGTAAAACTCTGATTCATATGGAAAATCAGAAAAGTGAAGGGGTTGTTATTTTTATTGGATATCACTTATCAGTGCAAGTTTTGTTCCAAACTATTGCCAGTAGATCCATGGACAATGAATGGAATTATAGATGTTCAACGGCCTCCATATTATTGCTTAAAGCAGTACCCAAATACATGCTTTCAATTCACATACAGCAGCAACATGCAATCCAAGTAGAAACAAAATGTCCCAATCTTGAACATAATAGTAACGGATTCAAAGTCACCTGGATTATTTTCACATGGCTTAAGAACAAATGTATTGCCACATGTAACTGCAATTGGGAACATCTGCAAAACCGTGGAACAGTTACTCACAGGAAACTCATCTTATCTTTTTCCACAAACCACACAAATAAAAGACTCCTAAGTACCCAAAAAAAAACAGTTACGTGAATAACAATAGAAACTTAAATGCACAAAAAAGCTACATAATCTAAAAGTTTGTCTTCCGTAGTTTAAAGAAATGACAAAATGCATGAGAAAATAAGCACATCAACCTAAACTAAAATAGGAAGTAAAATCATATAAAATTGTCAACTGAGTCTTGCAGAAGGTTTTTAAAAACAATGAAAAATAAACCACCAACGAAAAGAACTGAGAGGTAATGTAGCCATACCCACAAGGGAATCATTGCTGGAAAGTTGAAAGGGCATATCCCGGCACAAACACCTAGTGGTTCCCTAATGCAGTATGTATCAATACCATTAGATGCATTAGGAACAAACTCCCCCATTTGTAGAGTTGCCATCCCACAAGCATGTTCAACCACCTCTAAAGGCAAAAAAAAGAATAAAACCAACTCACTTTTGGTTAACACTTGTTACAGTAACAGAAATGGCAAAAAGGCATGTGCAAAGACTGACCTAAGCCACGGAGCACATCATTCTCGGCACCCTTCAACGTCTTACCCTGTTCTATGGTGATATTCATGGCAAGCTTGTCCTGAAAAGAGTAGTGTTGTGTTGTCAACATTGAGATTCATAAGTCCAGGATAGAAATCATATAATACAATAATGAATTTATGAGACTCCAATTACTAACGATATCTCTCCGAATGAGCTCCTGGAGCTTAAACATGATACGTTGACGAGTGGTAATAGGAGTGTTTTTCCATGACGGAAAAGCCTGCTTGGCTGAACTAACTGCAGCTTTGAACTCTTCATAGGTAGTTAAAGGAACATGAGAAACAACCTCTTGTGTTGCCTAATTAAGAAATCAAACATAAATTTAATAATATAACTGATAAATGCATCTTTCGAAAAGAGAATAAGATGATAATTAATTGAATTTTGTGAGCTTACAGGATTTACTACATCAATGATTGAACACCCTTGAGAATCAACAAATTTCCCTCCAATAAAATTAGGAACCTTCAGCTACAATTGAATCTAACATAAGTTTATAATACCCAACTCATTCAGCAAAAAGCAGAGAGAGACAGAGCAGAAGCGGAAAAGCAGCCTTATTCGACTACCTTTAACATCAAACCTTACCGGTTGGTTGTTTTGTTCTGATGACCCCCCACTGGTAGTAGCACTTGTACTCACCAGAGCAGATCTGTCAGGTCTCCATGACTTGAAACTTTTTTCTGATGAAATAAGTTAAAAATATAAAGTTGTTAATGATTAGTGATAAATTTTCTGATCTATTCTAGCTATTCTATCCAGAAATCCAAAAGTTTCTAGCTATTCAATCCAGCAATCCAAAAGTTAGTTTATCAAATTTTCTAGCTAAAACCTATACAATCTTTTGGCCCTAAAAGCTTGCTTTTTTCTTACACAGAAATCCCCCGGCTCTGAAACTGGGGCCCCCCTCTGAACCCTACAATCTTTTGGAGGCAGGAAACTCTGGCAAATAGCTAGATAGGTACCTTGAGGAATCGAATCTCAGACCACATGGGAGCAAACCTCTTACATGATCTTAGTGGCCACTCAAAACTAGGGTACCATATGCACATGTCTGCTAACTTTTCAAAGTCCTGCAACTTTCTTCCAATCTTTAAGTATAACTATCAGTTAACCAAATTATTAAAAACTAAAAATCAACACACTTGCGGTATCAGAAACTACTACCAATGTAGATATGACCTAATATTTAGCTTACAAAAGTATGGTGAAAGCTCCCTTTACGTGATCTTAGTGGCCTCTCAAAACCGCAATTTGGATTTCACTAGGAAAATGACTTTTCCTGTTTCCAATGAATAGCACCGTAGTATGAATATGTGCCCTTTATATTAAATATAATTGCTCTTCAACTGCAAAGAAGTCCACCTCAAACCCCAATACTAACTACGCATTAAGAACCTAATAAAAAGGCCACAGTAGCATGCCACTACCCACCAACACACTGTACAATGGTACAGATTTGGTTTTCTAGCAACTTAGAATATGAACTAAATTTTTTTAAATCTTGGGAACAAGAGGAACCTGATAGATTTCCTTGACGGATCTTGGCTTTGAGGTTATACAAATGCCTTGGTGTTGACTGCAGTTCAGGATTGATTTGCTTGAGAGTCTTAAGAACTTGACGTGGTTTCACACCAGCTTCAGTCATTTGCTTGATTTGTCTGACCTCTTCCTCAGTGAAACGACGACTATACGGATGTTCTGACATGTCCTTTAACGCATCATGGTTGTGATCCCCATTTTTTATTGTAAGTACCCATAAATCATCTTCCTTTTTCCCAATGGCTTCAAAAGGACAATTTATAAGGCGTGAACTTGCTTTCCTTTTGCGCTTGCTTTCATCAATTTTACGCCTATTGCGATAAACACCTCCTCTATCACAACCAAGTATGACTCTTCTGTCTTTCCTCGACTTCTTGATGGTCACCACATATCCTTGACTAGCACCAAAATCACGAACATATTTGATGAGGTCTTCACGATCTTCAAATGTACCCGGTTGTGGAGGAAGCATCTTGTTCTGCTTTGTAACCTCAATTTCACTCTGAGCTTCCATTACCAATGGTAGAAAGAAAAAGCTGATAGATAAACAAAAAAGAATATATAAACATGGTATTTTTTGACAAAGAATACGATATAAGAACTTTACTTTTTAAAAGTATGTATATTTGAAAAAATGAAGTCCTAAGGCTTTCACCATAAATAAGTCCATAGACAAATTAGGCATGAAACTTATTTCTTCAAACCTGCTGAGTCTTGAATCTTGTAAAGATAAGGTCAATTTCCTGAGTGAAAAATAAATTGTTGAACCACAGACCCACAAACCAATAACTTTAGCACACCTAAATATTTTGACAGCACCAATCAAATTTAAATTATTTAGGCACATGGTAGCAACATAATGTGCAACCCATACAAGAAACCCGGAAACCTCTCCAGACATATCGAAGACAATTGTTCCTAAAACTCATGTGTGCTGTAGAATACAGACAGTCAAATCAAGGGTTCTACTATTATTCTACATCAAGCAAGAATAGGCGACTTGTTTCAATCACAATGTTCTCATCCTATAAGTTATTAAAGATGAATACCATTATACCATGATAAGTTATTAAACCGACAATGCAATTTTTCAGTGATGTCTTCATTAAGATTGGCCTCAAAACAAAAAGTGGAAGCCCTCCAGTGCAATAGCATCACTCTTGTTTCAACCATTGAGACAAATGTGGATATTCTCACACATCAGAACGCGATTAGATTAAAATTCCACAATGTGCAACATGGTTTCTACTTTATAGAACTCTAGAGAGTAACCATGGGAATGGAAACGATTGCTTAAAACTACTTTCTGTTGCCAGCATAGCTCGTAATCTTTTTTCTTTTTTTCTCTTTTTGTCTGAACTCAGTAATCTTAGTTTAGAACTCAAATTGGACAACTTTCTGTAAATCAATTTTGCAAAGCATAAGTTATAGAAACAAACAAACCCCAAAAGAAAAAAACAACATATATACAATGTTAGAGTGCGACTCTTGAAAACACCAAATACCTCTCTATAACCAGCAATGATTTCTATCACAAATTAACAAAAAAAACTACAGACATAACAGTAACCTAAAACAAAAAACGTGAAGGTGAAAAGCTTACCTGATTGAAAATTCCTAGGTCAGTGAAAACTTGCACTTACAGACCCAAAATTTCACCCCCAAGTGCCAGCACAAAAATACCTGGAAAACAAATTCAATCAACACCAAGAAAATTAATCCCAGAATCAAATCTCAAAGGAAATGAATCTCAATATAGAAACAACAGATATAATGGGGTTATACAGATCAGCAATGCCTTAATGGAGAGTCTTATTGTGTTAATGCATACCAAAAACATATTTGCAGCAATAAATTCATTTCTCTAAAATATATTACCTACCCATAAACGGGAAAAAAGAAAAGCGTAAATATTTGAAAATAAAAATAGAGATTTTGATCTTGGAAATGGAAAGTGAGGGAAAATTTTGAAGGTTACAGAAAAGGATCGGGACGCCCACTAGTTTTGATAAACAGGGACGCCTCACTTGCTTCAACGACAGTGCCCCAGAGACCTTCAGATGCGATCTTCGTCACGCGCTTGAGTGGCGCTTGTGAGTTGGATGGGGTTCGGTTGAATGTTGAGTGCTTTCACGCGCTCGCCTGGGAAGAGTAGGGTTGTGTTTTTTGTATGGTTTCGCAACGGCAGTTTTGGCATTTCGACGCTTCTCGAGACGGGTGTCCCGTTTATCAAAACGGGGATTGTTACTTTAAGTTAGAGCACGACATTGTTATGGATGTCGTTCACTCACTTTCCATCGATGTTTGTTTTTTGTTTGAGCCAAAATCAAGGTTGTTTATAAAAAAAAAAAAAAAAAAAAAAAAAAAAAAGTGCTAAGTGGCTTTTAGCTTAGCTTAAGTTGTTAAAAGCAGTTACCTATGTTTGAAAAAAATAAATTAACAATTACCTAGTTTTTTATTCAAATCTTCCCATATATGCTCAATTGAATATATTCAAATTAATTTAAAGTTGTTTAGACTATTTCTTATATAAATAAATAAATAATATATATTGTAAATTAAGATTATTTAAGTTTGCAATTTCCCACGTAGAGGTGTCAAATGAATCTGATCGGCTCGAGCATAGCTTGAATTTGGCCAGGTTAAGTAAGACTCGACGCTGCACGACCAGTATCTTTGAACGGGCCGAGACATGGTAATTTAGCTTAATGGGTTGAGTCAGACCGAGTTGAAGCTCGTCTTGGGCCGGAGCAAAACCCAATGGGCGAACCTGTTTAAAGCATATTTATTAAATTATATTGTTTTAGAGAAAAATGTTACATAATATTGTTATATTTATATCATAAGTTCAAGTTTATGGCTTTTCTCTAATAATATAATTTTTAAAATGCAATGTTTTCTTTATAAATAAAATAATAATTTTTTAAATCCCAACAATAATCTAGTCCTTTTTTATTTAAATATACTTTAGAAAAAATCATTGGACTCTTTTTGAACAAATAATAAATCTTGTTAGTATATACATAATTGTAAAAGGGATTGAAATGAAATTGTAAAAAATTATAACGAACAAATGCAATACATAAGTTGAGCTTGACATGAGCCCATATCAGCCAGTTTAGGACTGTGGACATGGGCCAAACTTAATAATTTTTATAAATAAACGAGCCGCCTTTTTATTTAGTGGGCCGACCCCATCCGATACGAAACCCTTGACTTGATGAGTAGATATTCTACAAATAATTGAAACTGCAAACGAAGAAGTTCAAGCCAGTTTGGTTCGACTCAAGTGAAATGAGAGAGAAATACAAGAAAATGATCTAACCAACTAGTCAAGTCGAGCCTTTTTTTTTAATTTAAAAAAAAAAATTCTGGTCACTGGTTCACCAGCTTTTTGCCCACCCCTATGTTTGCCAAATACACAAGGACTAATTACCCCATCATATAAAACACAACGAACTATTTCTGGTCACTAGTTTCTTTTTGTTGAAGAAATTATTGCTTGAAAATAAATTGCACAAGATGGGTTTAATTCACATGTCAATGGTAAGGCGTTCCCTAATCTGTATTAAACCAAATTAAATAACATACTATATATTTTCTTTCCTTTTACGGTTGGAGCAACTTTCTAGTAACAGCGGGACAATAACGGTCTTTCATTCCAACGGTAACTAAATTCAAATTTGAAGACACTCAAATTCTCATATGCAAACCCTCATTCTGCTCATTCAAACATCAAACCCACTTTCTTTGCTGCAAGAAACGCTCTTTCCGCTCTCCGTACCACAATAATTTTCTCAGTTCCCAAACACTCTTTTCTTTAACTCCCATTTCCATGGAAGATCTGCAATTCGACCCCGTTTTCCAAGAGGCAAAAACCCCAATTTCTTTGGTTCCTGATTCCGACAGAGTTCAACAGCCAAACCCAGATCTCAAAGATTCTTCCTTGGGCGAGGTTGATGAGTCTTTGGTGGAGTCGATGCTTTGTGACTCGGGTTCAAGACTAATCCCTTCCGGATTATCAAGATCCAACTCTACAGGTTCCTATCTCTGGTCTCATATAGTTTTTATTTTCTTGTTCTGGATAGTATTTGTTTGGTTTCTGAGAAAAGAAAATTAGTCAGATCTGGGTCTTTGTTTTTCCTAGTAACTAGGACCTAAGTTACAAGAAGGTCATCCTTATAAGCGTCTTTGTTAAATTGAAAGAAAAAGATCATCCCTTTGTTTATTCAATTTCGTAGGATGAATATTAGGGCTAGGCTTTTCAACGACTTGATGCCCATTTTTTTCTGGTTTGGTTTGCAAATTTTTGAAACCCTAGGAGTTGCAATCCATGCTAATCATTTTATGTTGTAAATGTTATTAACTTGCAATTGATTTTTGTTTGAGTTGGAAATTTCAGATATTTACAGCTGTTGAGTTGTTCTATTCTAGTGTCACAGTGTTGGTTATAGATGAAATAGACAAGAAAGTATTCTTCACTGAACTGGGGAATCTAATTATAGTGGATTTTGCAGCAGACGAATATGTGATGTTTGTGAATGCTGGAGGTGATGCTTCAAATGAAACAGATTCTAGTGTGAAGTTTCTCGCTGACACTTACTTTGAGGGAGGGAATGTTTTACGAACCAATGAACATATAAATGATGGGGGGGATTATCCATTCATCTATCAGTCAGCCCGAGTAGGGAACTTCTACTACCGTTTCAATTGTCTTCCTCCTGGATACTATTATGTTGATATTCATTTCACTGAAATCATAAACACAAATGGGCCTAAAGGAATGAGGGTATTTAATGTATTCATCCAGGAAGAAAAGGTAAGTCAAATTAAGGGAAATGCATATTTGTGGTTTATTTTCTTCTTCCATTTCCTTTTGTTGAAATTAGTAAATCCAGGGACTGATCCTTAGAACTTCTCTTCTTGGCTAATGTGGCAGGTCCTATCAGACTTCGATATCTTTTCGGTTGTTGGAGCCAATAAGCCCTTACAATTAGTTGATTCAAGGGTCTCTGTGAAGGAGGATGGAGTAGTTGTGATAAGATTTGAAGGGGTTAATGGAAGCCCAGTAGTTAGTGGAATCGGAATTAGGAGAGCACCAAATGTTTCAGGTATTCTTGTATACATTTGTTTTGTTTGAACTGTTTTGTCTGGGTGTTGTACGTTTATATCAGTATTCTAAAGTTAGTTTTATCTTATATTTTATTGTAGTTCCAAAGCTGGTGGTGGATCACTTTAAATGTAACAACTGTGATGCTGAAATAGAAGTTCCTTCAGCTCAGGTCAGGCACATATTACCCAAAGTTGAAAGAGCTTACAACTTTAAGGCTTTTTCTTAATTAGCAACATAATTTTTGATTCACAGATGAAATTAATGCAAACAAAGTCCACTGCCAAATATGAGAAGAAGATACAAGAGCTCACCACTCAGTGCCAACTTAAAACAAAAGAATGCTATGAGGCATGGATGTCTTTGACTGCAGCAAATGAGGAGCTGGACAAGGTCATGATGGATTTTGACAACGTGACATTTAGGACACTGTCTCAAGGTATGGAGAGTGGCTCTCTGGTGTCTAAATTAAGTGAACTAAGAAATTTTTTAGCTAGTCAAATGACAGATAATGAAAAATGTCCATAGTTTGTTACTTTGGGTGACTTTAGTGAAAAATGTCCTTGATATGAAATAAGGCTATCTATTAGTTTAGTTTTGATTTATATTCTCTTGTACGAATTTTGTTATATCAGCTATACATGGATGCCAGTGAGTTCAGAATTAAAGGACTACAAAATCTTTAGACGTTGTCCTATTTAAAGTTCAAAAGTGGGGAGAGCTGGCCCACATATTTTTTTTTTTACAAAAAAATAAAATAAAATAGATATAAAAGATGGTAGTTTCCATATTCATCATATGAGTTGAACATGAAAGAAGAAAGCCATAAGGCCTGCCTACAAAGTAATACCAGAATCATTTTCAATTTAACTAAAAGTTATCTTAGATTTTACACTTCGAGATATTATAATTTCTAATTCTATTGCATGTCCTTAGATCAAACCATTCAGAAACAAGCTGAAGATATAAAGAGCATTTCTAGTAGGTATGAGCGTGACAAGAAGTACTGGACAATAGCAGTCAATGACTTACAAGAAAAGATTAAGGTATTTGGAAATGCATTATTTGTGGGTGTGTATAAGTATTCATAATTTGTTCTCAATATCACGTTTCTGACTTTGGATTTTTGTGCCTGGTTTCTTATGCAGCTGATGCATGAGGAGCATTTGCATCTTTCTCGCGAAGCACATGAATGTGCAGATTCAATTCCCGAGTTGAATAAAATGATTTTTGCAGTTCAAGCATTGGGTATGCTATTGCTAGAGTTCACTTTTCTATTTTTTGGTTTTCAAATACAGGTGAAATAATAAGTTTATGCCACAAGATGTTCCATGGACTCATGAAATTATTTTGCAGTTGCGGAGTGTGAAGATCTTAAAGTGAAGTACAACGAAGAGCAAGCTAAGAGAAAAAAGCTCTTTAATGAGGTTCAGGAGGCTAAAGGCATGTGTCATTTTTCTACCTAGTAATTAGTGATGCAATTAATACGTTATATGTTGACAAGTTCAACTTATTAACTTTGTATGTGCTTAAAAATTATCAGGGAATATCAGGGTATTTTGCCGCTGCCGCCCATTAAGTAAGGAGGAGATGGCAGCTGGGTGTAAAACAGTTGTAGACTTTGAGGCAGCAAAGGATGGATGTCTTGGATTCCTGACAGGAGGCTCCACTAAAAGGTCTTTTAAATTTGATCGAGTGTACACACCGAAAGATGATCAAGGTATCTACATGTGCGTATATATATATATATATATTTCATTTGATTGCCCACTAACAGTATTTAAGTTGGTGAAATCTGTATTGAGTTTGAGCCACAGCTTTTGCTTTTGTCTTGACAGTGGATGTTTTTGTGGATGCTTCCCCCATGGTGGTTTCAGTTCTAGATGGTTACAATGTATGTATATTTGCTTATGGACAAACAGGGACAGGAAAGACATTCACAATGGAGGGCACTGAACAGAATAGGGGAGTCAATTATAGGACTCTAGAGCAGTTGTTTGAAATTGCAAAGGAACGAAGTGAAACGTTTTCATACGGCATATCTGTTAGCGTACTTGAAGTTTACAATGAGCAGATTAGGGACTTGTTAGCTACAGCACCATCTTCAAAGAGGTAAGATTATTGTTGTTTATTTGAACTTAGAGCCACAGCCATCATAGAATTGATGGTTTGAATATTCTGTAGCTCAAAACTTGACTTGGTTCAGCTGAGAAAAGATTCTTAACATTTTGGGTATCACCTCGCAACATAAAGCTTACACAAATTTTCATGGAATTTTTAGGTTGGAGATAAAACAGGCTTCTGAAGGGTGTCATCACGTTCCAGGGATAGTAGAAGCCAAAGTTGAAAATATTAAGGAAGTGTGGAGTGTACTGCAGGCTGGAAGCAATGCTAGAGCTATAGGAAGTAATAATGTTAATGAGCACAGCAGCCGATCTCATTGGTACTATGCTCTATTGTTTTCTCCTTATTCTGTTTCCTTGTGAGATCTATTTAATTTCTTTTAGTCTGTTTTTATACTAATATATATAAATATTGTACCTGTTATTTAGCTTGCTTTCCATAATGGTAAGATCAAAGAACTTGATAAATGGAGAGTGCACCAAGAGCAAGCTTTGGTTAGTGGATTTGGCAGGCAGCGAGAGGCTTGCAAAAACTGATGTACAAGGGGAGCGACTAAAGGAAGCTCAAAATATCAATAGATCCCTTTCAGCTCTTGGTGATGTGATATCTGCTCTTGCAAATAAAAGTAGTCACATTCCTTACAGGTCTGCTTTATCTGTTGTGCGCATTTAGGTCATTCCTCCACCAATCTTCATATTCTGGTTTTTAACAATGCTTGTTGCTGGGTTTGTTTCAGGAACTCTAAGTTGACACATCTACTTCAAGATTCATTAGGTAAAGCTAAGTTGTCCTAGCGGTGTTTGTGTGTGATTGTGTTTGCATGTCTTGATTTGTTTGTTCAAAATTTTGAGGCTTGGGTTAGTACTTGCGTAATTCTCTGATTAAATTAAATGGTCAATCTAGCTCTAAAGGAAGGAAAATTGATTTCTGGTAGTTGTTAACTTGTTTTCACTTACTTTATGACTTATGAGATTATTATTTATGTATTGCAGGAGGTGACTCTAAAACTTTGATGTTTGTGCAAATAAGCCCTTCAGACCAGGATTTGGGTGAGACTCTGAGTTCTTTAAATTTTGCAACAAGGGTTCGGGGAATTGAGTTGGGTCCTGCGAAGAAGCAAGTTGACACAAGTGAGCTCCAGAAAACAAAAGTCATGGTTGGTACATTGATTTTCAGTTGAATCTTTAATAAATTTTCACTTATGTTTTCTTTATTACACTAATGATTTACGTATTAAACATCTTTTCTTTTGTTAAACAGCTTGAAAAGGCAAGGCAGGAAGCAAGATCCAAAGATGAATCTCTGAGGAAGCTAGAAGAGAGCTTACAAAACTTGGAGAGTAAGACCAAAGGGAAAGATCAAATCTACAAAAACCAACAAGAAAAGATCAAAGAACTTGAAGGGACACTTGAATTGAAGACAGCCTTGCACAGCCAGTTAGAGAAGCAAGTTTCGCAACTTTCAGATAGACTGAGGGGGAAGGAAGAAATCTGCTGCAGTCTCCAACAAAAGGTTGGTCTCTACCTTAATAATTATTATTTCTGTGCTTCTCTCTTATTAATGCTGACTGGAACTTTATCTGTTGAAGGTCAAAGAGTTGGAGGTTGAGCTCAGAGAAAGACACAAGTCAGACTCAGAATATGCATCTTTGCAACAAAAGGTCGCCAGACTCATGTTTTGGATTTTTTTTCCCATTTTTATATGTTTCTTTTAAGTCGGAGGCCCTTTTTGTATTGCTTTTCTTTTTTTTAAATGTGAGTTACTGCCTCTTGATATGTTCTAAAAAGATGAAAGCTTAACCTTGTTCTTTTTGGAGCAGGTTAAGGATCTTGAAAACCAACTGAAAGATCAAATGCAAGAGTCTGAGTTTCAATCCACCATTCTTCAACACAAGGTTTTTAAAGACAAGCATTCCCAGTGCATAGTTTATTATACATGTTGACAACGAATTAGGTCATAAATGCTTTTGTTTCTTCATTGACTTAGGTAAAGGAGCTCGAGATAAAACTAAAAGACCAGGAACAAAAATCAGACTCCTCCGCACTTCATCAAAAGGTTCCTGCACTACCCCTTTTTGTCCTTATTTCCATTGAATAGTTACTTTCTTATATGTTTTAATGCAAGCTATTCACGCAATGTTTTTAAAGACAAGCATTCCCAGTGCATAGTTTATTATACATGTTGACAACGAATTAGGTCATAAATATTTTTTTCTTCATTGACTTAGGTAAAGGAGCTCGAGATAAAACTGAAAGACCAGGAACAAAAATCAGACTCCTCCGCACTTCATCAAAAGGTCCCTGCACTACCCCTTTTTGTCCTCATTTCCATTGAATAGTTACTTTCTTATATGTTTTAATGCAAGCTATTCAGTGGAAATGTGCAAAATTCAAATATAGTGAACGGAAATATAATTAGTGGTTGGTATCAAATGTATCATATGTTTGTACTTGTAACAAAATTTCCTTCACATGATAAAAGATGTCTTGTTAAGGAAAATGTATACTACAATGATAATATTCTACATACTTTATTATTCTGAAATTGTGATCCACAATGATAATATTTTAGAACTTTCCACATTTCCTTTTAAAAAAAACATTCTGAAACAGATTGTGCAATTTTTTTAGTTTTTTCTCTGAGAGAAGACGGAAGAGAAACTAAAAGTGCTAGCTAACATTTATTTGACATGTGACACAGATTAAGGAACTTCAAGACAAGTTGAGGGAGCAAGAGAAACAATCTGAGTTTGCTGATGCAATAAGGGCCACTCCTAATGAAGGAAAGACCTGCATAAGAGATGAAATCATGAATGATGCTGAGGCTTGCATCTTAAGGAGTTCGAATTCACTAAATCGTCCAATGAGTCAAGGGTCTATATCACTAAGAGGGAATGATTCTGTCCGTGAGACGAGAAGGAAAAGAGAGTTTAAAAGTGGTGAGACGGAGAACATCATTAGGCTACCAAATTCTTTTAATGATAACAAAGTTAGGAAATCCGACCCGCCGAAGATTGCAAGAATTACAAGAACAGCAAAGCCAGCCACTGCTACTCAAGGGCCATCGGTTAATAGGAGGTTTAGCAGAGATCAGATTCAACTTAAGGAGAGGGATACTGCGAAGAAAATCTGGTCAAGATAGTGAAGAAGGAAAAAAACATCAACTTTCTGTATGTTTTCGTTTTATTTATGTGTACATATATGCATACACATATAGTACTTCTGCATTATGTTTTCAATATATAACTTTTTTTCGTACTATCTTTGCGTGACATTAGAAATTCATTCATTAATGAATTTTCTTTTTTCATTCAGTGTACGGCTTAAGTTTCTGTTGGTTTTCCTGATGTATTTGTGTTTGTTTTCCTTTGTTGACCTCTCTGTAATACCTTTGAGTGTGAAGTGGAATATATTTGATATTTTAGGTAGGTTGAATTGTACATGTTTTAATGGCAACAGAGTTTATTAAGAAGTGCTGTGAATTGAATTATTGCAACCTTTGGAGGAACTAATTTTGAGTCCATAAGCTTTGAGTGGAAGGAACTCAAGGGCTATACTTTACAGTGATTCTAGTGTTGACTAGGGTTGGATGCAAATGTGCATTTAATTTGAAGATGGATTTCAAAGTTGCAATATAATTGTTTTAGGCTTTGGTTCAATTTAAAAAGGCTATATTGCTATGGGGGCCTTTGTTGCTACCTTGCAGCCACTTTATGGGGCAAGCTCAATTGTCAGCTAAGAGGGTCTCAGGTTGTGGTGAATTAGGAGACCAGCTTTGGTAGTAGCATATGTTGAGCCACCGCGCACAGCCAACAAGCATATGCATAATTAATATAGGATTAGCAATATTCACTTACATTAATGCACCGGCTGCTACTCATATTTTTACCTATAGTATTGAAATAGATAACAAATTACTTTGAGAATTGTAGCTCAAGTGATCAAAAACAATTATTCGGTAACAGAGTCGGGCATAATCAGACCAAGCCTAAGGCAAGCACTCCACCTTTTTTTGAATAAAGTCCTCAATTTAGCAACCTTCTTAAACCAATTTCAAACCCAAAGGAATGCACTTAAAATAATGCTCACCATCGGAGGGGCCCGTTTGAAGGTTTGAGGAAGCCTGTTATTTTCTTATTTGTGGTAAAAACGATGGCCTCATTTTTGTTTTATTTTTTTTTAAAAAAACTTATTGGCAAAGGACCCACTAATGTAACGTTTTGGAGCAATTATTCTCCAGAAAAGATGCTGAGTTTGAATCCTAACATCCGTGTTTGTGTGTGTTTAATTTTATTATATCGCTCACTCACTCATCGCTCTCTATTAAGGTATAATAAAAAAAAAAAAAAAAAAAAAAAAAAAAAAAAAAAAAAAAATCCAAAAATTTGAACCCTTCTAGCCTCACTCCTCACGATTAATTAAGGAATCTCCTTCTAGAGAAGAAGGGAAGCAGTGTTCATTAGTTAATCATAGAAAACCATAAATCTCTCTAAAAGAAGTTACACACACAAGCACTTTGGTTTGAATATTGCAGTCAAACATACAGATATTGTGAAAGAAGGGGGAATTTGTAGTTAAAAACCAGTCTAACAGAAGAAGCTATTTGAAGACAAAAACAATGAAATGATGAGGGTTGGCTTGGTGGGAGGAAGGAAGGTGTGTGAGGGCGGTTGTTGTTTTCCGACCCCTAAAGAAAATGCCAAAAAGGGTGACGATATATGAAAGCGATTTTCTCGTTCTAAAGGGGGTCCCCATTGTCCAACAGGTCATCACAGACACAACAAAACAAAATCCCCGAACGTTATTATGTGATGATGATGACATGTTTGATTGCTTAATTGCCACATCTCTCTGTTTTGCTTTGCTGTATGGAGAGAAACAATCTGTCTTTTCTTTTCTTTTCTATTAGATCGACCAAAAAAAAAGAAAAGATAGAGCTAGCAACAAGAAAGAAATCCAAGTCTGCATATGAATTTTGTGCAATTCTTTCAATTAGTTTGACATGTTGTTGTGAATTTTAAATAAGAATCTACATCATTAGCGATTCAGATAAAGAATTTAATAACGGACAACACAATATTTTCCTATGTCGGTAAGATATGTAAAGTCATTTTTGCATTAAAAAAGTATGCCTTGATATTTATATGGATTAGGCAAAAAGCAAGGAGGAGCCTATAATCTCAGTCAAAACCATTATGCATAAAAGAGGTAATTATCTAAAACCTTTTGATTCATGTCATCATGAAGCATTGCCCTTCTGAAATAACGTGCGGTTGAATAATTAAAGAAATGTCTGGCTACTTGTAAGCATGACCTTCGTGCTCTTTCTTGGAAGGGTCCACACATACATGATTGGACGGTGGATGATGATGATGCCAACAAAATTACCAAGCAACACACACACACACAGACAGTATGTGGTGGGGCCAGAGCTGGGCTGAAGGATAAGGCCAGGTGAAGATGAGAAACACTAGATTGTTTCTCAACAAGAAGTCATGAGCTTCTTGCAGCTATATCTATATAGGTTGTAACTTGTAAAATGACAGTTGATACAACGCACAGAAACAGTCTAACAAAAAAAAAAAGTGTTCTCCCACTCAGTCCTTCACGATAATCTCGCAGTTCTTCGTGTTCTTCCGTTGTCGAGCCACTCATCTGTCTCTGTCTCTAAAGCCAAATGTTAATTAACAATTATACATGCATGCATGGTCTATATATAATAGTTCTTTTGTTGTTGTCATAGTTTAGAACGGGAGGGACCATTGAGGTTCGAACTTGGGATTATTAATCTGTTGATAAATGCTCTTATCACTGAGTTATGGACCTGCTGGCATAATTATATAATTATATATATATATATAAATTTATTGATTTGTTTATAGGTTTTTATTGAGTACATTTGGGTCTGAGATGGTATGAAAATGCAGCAACATGTTTATGAAGGATGGGTGGGCTGGCATGTCATGGCAGGGAGTTGGTGATGTTACAGTGCCCTACTATATATATATTTGGATTCATAGAAGCCTAAAAGAATGTTGCACCAGTAGAGGCCTGCAACACCAAAAAATTGGTTTCATGGAAGGAAGCCTGGCACATGTAATTTCTTACTCACCTGGTAGATATACAGCCTTTTTGCCTTGATGTAGCCCAAATTGAAACAAAGGTAAAGACAGAAAGGATTGGTCTTATTATGCAGTACACAAAGTAAATAAGTGGATAGCTCTCTCTCTCTCTAAGAGAGAGAGGTTTTGCTGATGCAAAGAGTAAGAATTCATTGATATTAATATGCATGCAAAGATTTGGTTAAGAATTGAAGGACAAGCAAGCCATTCGTGTATTATGTAAAGAATTAATGGCAAGCATGCTTTTTGGATACATATAGTTGATTATATATATATATATATATACATGGACATATATAAAGGGAAATATAGGAGGAGCTTTATGCAATATTATTTCTGCTAATGTGTTTTTTGAAAGTTATTGTGGGGTCTGTTTAGTTTAACATAAATAGGCAAAGTAAAGAATAAAGTAGGGCAAGGCAGAGGGAGAGAAAGGGTTTGCTTTTCCCTCTCACTTGTCATGAAACAGAATCACAATGAGAGATGCTTTCAGTGGTAGCAATTAGCACGGAGGGAGGAGGGCTCGCTCTCCAAGACTCTAAAAAGCTAAACACACAACATTTTTTTGATACACCAAAAAACGAACCCTAAGCTTTAAGATGCCACATTTTTGTTTCTCTCTCTCTCTCTCTCTCTCTCTCTCTCTCTCTCATTGATTCAAATGTTGACAGTCCTTCATTCAATACACTTTCAAACCACCACTTTTTCAGACAGCACCAAATCATGTACACACCACACTGCCACTAATTATTACGAAGACAGCCCAAGCCACAGAGAGAGAGAGAGAGAGAGAGAGAGAAGGCTGAGGGTGATCAGAGGTTAGCTAGGCTGGCTCAACATTGCAACTATTGCAGGGCTACGGAGGCTTTAAGTAGCTGGCCATTACTGCTACTGAGCTACTGAGCTACTGTGGTGTGTTTCTGTTTCATACAATGACATTGTGATCAGAGGCCGAGGAGGAGAGATGGAGCCTGAGACTCAGTTCCTTGATAGAGATGTATAGAAAGAGAAAGAGATCAGAGGGGAGACAAAGACACACTAATTAGTAGACAGTGAGAGTTGTAGATACTGACTGAACATAAAACAAATCAAAGATATGGTATTAAGTCCCCATTTAATAACAGCCCAAAATCTATATACACAGATCCCTATGGGGTTTTTATTTGAGACAAGGGAAGAAACTAGAAAGAATGAATGAATGAATTAAGTAGTGATCTGAGATTTAAATGCTACATTGTTTAACTAGCATCATACTTGCTACATTCAATCCAATGTTATAGATTCTTAACTACTCGAAGAAACTTGGATACCCACAAAATGATTTCTTTTTGGAGAGAGAGAGAGAGAGATGTTCTTGCATTTTGGTGCAAGGATATTATTTCACTTCATGAAAAGCTAGTGTATTTATTGCTACCATAAACAGCAAACTTTTTCCTGAATCTACATGCATAAGAAATGGGGAAAACTACATGAACTGATGAACATCAACACAAAACACTGCACAAAAAAAAGAACATCATGTAAAAAAGCAATGCAACAAGTTATTTAATTAAACAGATGAGAGTACTATTGATCAACATATTACTGAATAGTACTAAAATATAAACATAAATTTAGGGCAAAAAGTACTTTTCTTTTTGTTACCAATTAAACTTTTACATTTTTGCATATGAACCCAACAAAACCAACAACAAAACATATGCCAAAATGGGTCTTTAGTCTTGGACAATTTCTTAAAATAAACAATAATATAACTTCCCCACTTTTTCATGATCACCCTATGCCTTTTGGATTTGTGTCTACCTCATGATCATCTAGGGCAAAGCATTATATTGCTGCAAATCATGGCTACTCCACGCTTGAATTCCATGCTGCCAGTTGCTTGTGTTTTCATTGCCGCCGCCACCACCGTTTCCACCTCCGCTGTTGGTTGGAGTCGGAGTCACTGGCGGCGCATATGAATTCCCAAAGAACCACTCCGTCGCTGTATCTCCGCTCGCACTTGCACCTTCTCTTCTTCCATGAGTGCCAACAACTTGATGTTGATGCTGATGATCAGCTTTTGATGAAACCTCCAGATTCTGAAACAAGCTTATGGGTGCAATCTGCTGCGTTTTCTGCTGCTGTTCTAGCTGAGACTGCGTTGTCTGAGTTGACTGATCATGATCATTGCCACTCCCAAACAACATGGCCAGCCTCTGCTGTTGCAATTTCCAGTGAAGGTCTTGGTTAATGGAGCTCAAAGACTCAATCGACGACGCAAGGCTACTATGAACATTCATAGAGCTCATCATATTCTGAGTAGCACTAAACCCATCACCGCCACCGCCTGCTCCACCGCCCCCTCCGCCGCCCAAAGTGAGAGGATAATTGAAACCCAGAAAAGAATTACAAGAGGCTGATGTGTCAAGAGGAGTGCTTATAGTCAATCCAGAAGTACCCGAAACGTCTCCAAAAGCCGAAAACTGGTTGTTGTTGTTATTATAACTGATTCCAGATGAAGGGTTATGGTGGAGCCTGCTAGGCAAAGATGATAGGCCGCCGAGCTGAAAATCCATGGGAGGAGAAATGCCATGGAAGAACTTTAAGCCGCCCAGCATCATATTCTCCGAGGAGGAAGAGCCCGCGGAATCTTTCGAGTCGAGGCTGCAGGAGAGCCTGGAATTCGAGGACGACGACCGCACTCTCTTGTTCTTCCGGCAGCCTCCGCCGATGGGGACATTGCGTAAGGCGCCGCCTTTGGTCCAGTATCTCCGGCAGGTCTTGCAGAAGTGACGTGGCTGCGTGAGGCTGTAGTTGTTGTAGTAGCAGAATTTGGTGTTGGGCGAGTCGCATCTCGGGCACTTGAGGGATTGCTCCGGTGGCGGATGCTGCTGCTTTGCTCCTGAGGATGATGATGACGTGGGCTTCGCCCGGCTGCTTGCTCCTCCTCCTCCACCTCCTCCTGCTGCTAGGCTCTCACCGCCTTTTGTGCCGGGCGGAGGCTTCCCTGGCGGTGTGTTGTCGGAGGACATCATGTTTATGTTTTGCTTTGCCGCAGGAGAGGGTGCTTGAATAATCGATTGATTAGTTTTGTGGGGTGGTGTGGTGCTTGGATTTCCTTTTGGAGAGGCAAAGATGTAGTCAATTCATTAGTTTCATGCATGGGATGGAAAGAGAGAGAGGAGGGGAAGGAGGGTTGTTGAAGGTCGATTGGTGCTTGTGATCTTCATCAAAGAGAGGGGAATAGGGATTTTAATTAGAAAAAAGAAGAAAGAAAAAAAATAGTGATAAAAGTAATAAGATGGTTTTAGAACTTAGATCTGATAGAATAAATAAAGCTGAAATATGTGTGTGTGTGTGTGAGAGAGAGAGAGAGAGAGAGAGATCACTAGAAAAAGAAGTCGGTTTATATATATATATATATATATAGAGAGAGAGAGAGAGAGAGAGAGAGAGAGGAAGAGTTAGAGTGAGAGAGAGGAAGAGGACAGAGAAAAAGAGGGAGAAGAGACAAGTAAACTAGATGATCTGAAAACGATCAGCAGCTGGCAGAACAAAGAGATCCATAGGTAATTGGCATTCACAACAACAACAACAAAAACAACAAGAAAACAATTTGGATAGAATCAGTTCTTTGATGGTTGAGGAGATGGAAAATGTGACCATACTGAGAGAGATTACTCTTATACCCAGCAGCACTGAAAATCAAAACCCTTTAATCTTTGGAGGAGCTGTGTGTACACGTGTTTGCGCTTTTATTGATCAGTAAAAAAGTAATTTTAAAACGTGATTAGTAACACTAATTAAGTTGTTTATAATTCTTAAAAAAAAAATCAGGGATGATGAAGTCATCTGAAGGCTGAGTCAGTTAGGCAGCAGCAGCAGCACCAACAGTAAGAGTGGGGGTCTCTCTCTCTCACTCACAGCAGCTTTGTCTATTCTTTCCCATGAAATGTCCCTTTTCAACACCAAACAAAACCATACATCACTTTAAAAGGCATGCATGCATAGTTCCCTTTTCTGTCTAATTATAATTACCCATAGCTTCTAGCATAATTAACCATTAATTATCTTGGTTAAAACTAAACAGTATTCTCAATTATTTTTTGCTCTACCTATGAAATTAATTCAAAGCACAGAGCAAACTTTTAGGCACTGTAGCCTACCAAAAACAGAAGGGTTTCTTTCAATTATGCAAATTTTATGGGCCATTTATGAACAGACACAAGACAAGGTTAAAAAGATGATCAGTCCATTATTAACATTCTCTAAATAATAACTTGTTTGTTGTCTGGAACTAGCTCTAGCTAGGCCTTGACCCAGCATGTAGGGATTATGAGTCAGAGATATACCCATCTCGCCAGTTTTATAAAGACTTTCTTTCTCTCTCTCTGTATAACTCAGGAATTTAACGGTCGCGATCACATTTTTTTTCTCTTTCGAAATTTGTCTTCTTCTTGGTCTGGATATTGATGAATTTTATTACTTTCTGCTGGGAACCAAGAGAGATGTACAATCTCTCACAGAGAGAGAGAGAGAGAGAGAGATTGAATATATATCATTTTCATGCTACTTTTCCATCTCGGTATGAAAAATCTTGAGCATTGATTTTCTTGCACAAAGTAAAGTCAGGAATCCTCTGAGTTTTGAACCTCCCCATCTTCGCATTACTTACAAACGCTTCTATGTTGGAAAAGAGCAACGCTTGTTTGCAACTCTATAAAGGTTACAAAAACTTTTCTCATTCTAATCACTTACATGATGTGCGAGATGTAAATTATTGGCATTCGAATAATATTGTTCCTCATCCAAAAGCAAAAATTAAGCTAACGAATATGATCATCGTTTACACGCAATTTAATTGGTCACATGCGATAATGAAAGTTTCGTCCCAACATATTTTTAATTATTTAATGTAGGATGAGGCTGCACTTCCGTATATTTGTATCTCTCCACTTGCATGATGGAGTCCAGTGGAGAGCTGGACATATATTGTTGACTCCTTCCGGCACGGTTGTCTAACAAAATCGTAGATAGTGCTGTTCAAGATTTAGTATCATAGTGTTGTTGAAGTCAAGCAAGCTAGGTTAAAATTGACAGTGTGTGGCTATAGAAATTAATAGTAGTACTACTGATTTAGACATAGAGCCAGGCAGGGCACTACCGACCAAAGACGTTAAGGAAGGAAATGGTGGTGGAGAAACGTGGACCGCCGTAAAACTAGTCTAGCTAAGCCAAACATGTCCATATTTAGAGAGAGAGAGAGAGAGAGAGAGAGAGAGAGAGAGAGAGAGAGAGAGAGAAACACGTGATAGAGGTGGCCAGATTCCCGTGAGAGACCAAACCAGAAGCCAAGCTAAGTCCATAACCTCCCAAATCAACACATAAAACCAATGTTTCCATCTGCCCTGCCACTATTACGTACGACCCAGACGTTACAATTATATCTCACGGGCCTTCCATCCATCCCCCCCACAAATAGCCATCATCTAACCACTTCCAAGTTCCATCCATCATTTTATTATATCCATATTTGTTTTGTGTTTTTTTTTTCTTTCTTAATTATTAGTTAGTGTTGTTTTTCATGTGGTAATGATGGTTATTTGTCAGATAATCGTAAAGCCTTCAAGAATGGCGGAAAGCGCTTTAGTTTAAATGTCAATTAAGATAATGTTTGATTTTATTTACACTTGACAGATGATTGACATGGCATATTTAACGATTATCAAAAGTTTCTTTCTTAATCAAATGACTTCCTAACAAGGAAATATGTGAACGCTTTGATACTATACGGCTATATGATGTTACCCATCCACATGTTTTAAAATATAGCGAAAATATGACAAGAATGGCTACTAGAGAATAATGTTATATATATATATATTTTTTTTTTTTTTTTTGACAAAACGAACTACTCTAATATCCGGAGAGAGTGATCAAATTTGAGTACAAGAGAACGAACTCACTATTTTAGTCAACTGATCTAACTTACATATGCAATAACGAACATCCACAACATCAGATGAACTGATTGTAAAAATTATTAATTAATAAACCAGGTTATGACTTTTGTCCTATATCTCCATCGGCGTGCTTTCACTCTGCTCCTGCTCTGTTCTGCTCCATGGACCATGCAGGGTGTTCTGGTCATTTCATATATTTTGGAACTGTGAAGTCGCTCTCTAGTCCCTAATCTCAATTAGTCACGACTTTCAAAGGTTTGACTTTTAGTACTTCACTGCTACAAAGCTCCACTGCATGACATGCTTCAGCGTATTGATTTTTGGGGCAAATTAATTTTAATTTTAAGTCATAATTATATTTTATATTTTATATCAATAAACATGCACTGCAAACTGCATCATAAACATGTCACGTGGCAAAACACTCTAAATTAGGTTTTGCTCACCATTTTAACTCAAGTGTATCATTGTCATCATTTTCAACATTTGACACATGTCCATGTGCATAACCATTGTTCCATAAATACGAAGTAAAAGGTTAATCATTGTTATGTCTATGGACACGTATCAAATATTAAGAAAGATGATGATGATACACCTTAGATTAAAGCAGTGAACAAAAATATTTTTGGAATACATAATATCATAATAATGGTAGAAATTGACTCGCTTTTCGTTTTGATATTCTATACAAAATTGCATAAGTCTAAGTAGAATTTATCAGTTTCGTTCCATCTGTTGCAAATCTCAATTTGAGTACAAAATTTCTCTTTATTCCTCCGTTCATATGTATTTCAAACATTACATATATTATATGGGGTTAGGTAAAATTTCATGTGATTCAGTTCTAAACAGAATATAAATTCCATCATTGTTAAATCGATCCATATGATTCGATGAAGAATGAGCAAATAGTGGGATTTTTGTCTTGAAATGAGAAATTAAAAAAATTGTTTGGGGGTGGAAATGAGGCAATATCTACAATACCTGGATTTAATCAGATATGTTCTGAGTTCAACTTGCTAAAACACCCAACCCTTAGAGCAACTCCACCCATTTGCCCCTTGCCATGGCAAGGGTGGAGTTAGGGCAGCCACCATTCACATGAATAGTGGTTGCCTTTGCAAATAATATTGTGTGTTTCCACCCATTGCTATGGCAAAAGGCAATTACTATTTTTTTTTCGTTTTTTCAAAAATTTGTTTACCTAAACAATTAATTTGGATAATATTTTCGGATAAGATTTTTGGGTTCGTACGTGTCAATATTTATTATAAAATTCATATATCAATCGGATAAAATTTTGGTATTTATAGGAAAAAAAAAGCAGTTATTTTTTGGTTTTTTTTAATAAAAAAATTCGATTTTTTTTCATTTTTTTATTGCACAAAAATTGGCTGCCGTTGGGTTGGAGAAAAAAATCTGATTGGAGAGCTCAGAGCGCGACACGTGGACTTTAGCGGCACTGTAGCACGTTAGCACTGTAGCGGTAATGTAGCGTTGACGTCAACACCAAAACGAGGGCTGGAGCTCGGGCCAACCTTGCCCTCGGGCCAGCCCAGGTTGCTGGGTCCCACCTTGCGCCCGAGCTTAGGCTCCTCGCTGGAAACGGATTTTGGCATTTTTTTTCCCCAGCCCGAGGCTCTGTCATGCCGCTAGAGTTGCTCTTATACTCTGATGAATGATTAGGTTATGATCTTTCACACTTGAAACTGACCCAACATAAATAGAAACAAATCCAATAAAGATATCCCAGGTGGTTGAGAAGTTGGGTTTAGAGGCCTATATTCTTTTGAAATATTCTAGGCCCATATATATCAACCCAACATAGAGATTTTCTTTTGCAATCTACCTATTATCTTTTATGAATTATAATTTACCTATTATTGTGAGTTAATAAAAATAGTATCTATACTATTCAAAATATTATGTACATGTCTTTAATTTATAACAAGTGCACATAATTTTTTCAAAGTAACGCACTTATTTTTATTCTTTTATATATATATATATATGTGTGTGTGTGTGTAGAAATAACGTACCACGGGTAAAAAAAGAAAAAGAAATAATGTAACTATGTTTTAAATCAAATGATTTAAGGATTTTTTTGGTCGAATTTGTAGGGATATTTTTGGGTCAAAATTCAAGGGTTTTTATTTTCTCGAAATTTTAGGATTAGAGGGAACACCAAACAAAAAATTGGAGTCTGCTAAAAATCAGGGAGTTAATGAAATACTTTAAAATAAATTAAATATAAAACATGAAGGTACATCTCATATTGTAAGTTACTTAATAATAATAGGGCATATCTATCTTACAAGTTTGGGTTTTAGTTAGATGTTTAAAATTATGTGAGTGTATGTCTAGGATATAAAAGTTGTAAGGACATCTATGCGAAGAACCCAAGACGGCACATTGTAATGGGAAGCCTGAGCACACAAAAAGCCAAGATAATTTTATTCAACTAAAGAAGGGTACATATGCTTGAAATTGGAGATGATGATCCAGGCTAGTAGGGGAGGAGCCCCCCTACCCAGCCAACTTAAGGATCTTAGATAAAAATGTTAACTAATTAATAATATTATGGAATAGTGTTGAAAGAAAATCAACATAAGCAATGACAATGATGACGGTCGCCAAATAGCTTGCAGATGCCTCCTTTCTCACAATCTGAAGTGCAAAATTTCCAGCATTTCCCACTGTTTGGGTTGTCATCCGCACCAGGGACACACTTTCCAAGTTCAGGATGATCAGTACAACACTTGGAACCTTCAACAGTTGCTATCTTCCAAACTACATTTATATATAATAAAAAAAACTATTAATTAATTCTTCAAAAAGATTATAGTTCTAACGCGACATGAACCAAAAATTAAAAAACAAAAAGCCTCTTAAGCGAAAAATGGTAACCAATATATAAAATTATATTACAAGATATTTATGAAAAAAACAAGTGTAGATATGGGTTTACACACTTGAACAAACTTTAGATTATTAGATTAATAGTAATTAAAATTAATCCAATTTGGGTTTTCTATCGATTCATACACTGATATGATCAACCAAAAAGGAAAAAGAAAAAAAAAACTTCTAGTTTGTATGCAGACATCAGTTTGACCATATATATAGGAGATTGTATATACTTAATTGAAAAGCCTAACTAACAGGAAAACAATAAAATATATATGATTGAAGATCATTGAAACAAACCATTGGTGGTTGACAAGAGCACCAAAATGAGGACGAAACAAGGGATTGTAAACTTAGCCATGGATTTTTTTTTCTAGAATTCACTTCACTTGTTTCTGCTAAAAAGTTGAGATGATGTGCAATTTATATAGAGAGTTAAAATATATAGTCATAAATATATAATTACGTTCAAAATATATATGGTATTTTTAGGCAAATAGTGGGATTTTTGTCTTGAAATGGGACATTAAAAAAATTGTTTGGGGGTGGAAATGAGGCAATATCTACAATACCTGAATTTAATCAGATATGTTTCGAGTTCAACTTGCTAAAACACCCAACCCTAATACTCTGATGAATGATTGGGTTATGATCTTTCACACCTGAAACTAACCAACATCAATAGAAACAAATCCAATAAAGATCCCAGGTGGTTGAGAAGATGGCTTTAGAGGCCTATATTCTTTTGCAATATTCTAAGCCCATATAGATCAACCCTAACATAGAGATTTTTATTCAAGTAAAGAAGGGTGTAGATGCTTCAAAGCGCAATTTTATGGTGACTAATGATAAGTAGAAGATGAGTTTACGCACTTCACTTCTTAAGTCACTTCTTCTGCTAAAAAAAGTTGCGGTGATGTACGGTTTATATGGAGATTCGAAACAGTAGAATATAAAATATATATGGTCTTTTTAGGGAATTAATTGACCTTAATTACGTTGTTACAAACGCTACCAATATATAAAGCTAAGTTGACTACTGAAACGTTTGAGAATTAACCCAATCTTAATCTTTTATGGGGTTTTTATTATTATTTCGAAATCAATTATCTTTCCTCTAAAGATGCATGCTAGTTATTCCTCGTATGATACTTTCCTTTTAAAAATTAGAGTCATTGATGTGCTAGAAATTAGGGAGTATCAATAAGAAATCAAGGAGTTTATGACATTCTTTAAAATAAATTAAATACAAAACATGAAGGTAGATCACATACATTGTAATTTAGTTAATAATAATATAGCATATATATCTTACCAGTTTAGGTTTTAGTTAGATGGTTAAAATTATGTGAGTTGATGTCTAGGATATAAAAGTTGTAAAGACATCTATGTGAAGAACCCAAGATGGCAGATTGCAACAGGAAGCCTGAGGACACAGAAATGACAAAAAGCCAAGATAATTTTATTCAACTAAGGAAGGGTATATAAGCTTGAAATTGGAAATGACGATCTAGTCTAGTAGGGGAGAGCCCCCCTACCTAGCCAACTTAAGGATCTTAGACAAAACTGTCAACTAATTAATAATATTATGGAATAGGGTTGAAAGAAAATCAACATAAGCAATGGATCCCTAACTTTATATTTCTATAAATAAAACATGATTTTTAAAGTAAAACCTTAGGATCCAACTTATTAAGTTACCTAATCAAACTTAAAATATGATTTATTATACTTTTCAAATTCCAAATGTACCCCTAATTACATTTTAGGCTTAAATACAAAAATGGTCCATGTGTTTTACCACATTGGCCAATTTAGCCTGTGTTTTCTATTTGGCCAATTCTGTCCCTATGTTTAGTAACCGGCCCGTTAGCCAATATTGTCCATTTAAAAAAACATAAATATAAATTTTTAAAAAATAACTATTTGAATACAATTTAAAGTTAAACAAATAAGATCAAAACTTTAAAAATTAAAAATCTAAAACTAAAAAAATCAAAAAAAGAAAGACCCCAACTCTAATCCCAACCGCCGCCACCACCTTCAATCCCACCCACTAGCCATCATCTCCAATCCCAGCCACCGTTCACCACCCTTCTTTCTTCTTTCTTTCTCAAGAACAATCCTTACCTTCATGTTTTTGAATGTTTTAGTATGTAGTGCCCTGTGGGGTTTTCCTTGTATTAGTTTCTAGTTTCATTAATGTCTCTCTCCTGCTTGGTCTTGGCCATCCGCTCATCACTCTCCTTCCCACCTTTCCATTCGCTGGGCAAACCCTCCCCTCCCCTACAACATTTTTTTTCTTCAATATTTTTAGATTAATTTAAAAAAGTTTTATAGGTTTTTAAAAGACCAAAGATGTAAATTATGTGTATTTAACAACAAATTTTACAGAATAGTCAATATTGACTAACGGTGCTAAACACTAGGACTTAATTGGCCAATTTAAAAACACAGGGATTAAATTGACCAATGTGGTAAAACACGTAGTGAAACGACCCGATCCAAATTCCACTTTGAGAATCGGGTCTAATCCTGTTTAAGACTGACACCTGGAAACTGTGGGTCGTAAAAGACCAAAATACCCTAAAAACAGTAACATAAATCCTGAGCCCCTAACTCGTGGCTGCGCCTGATAACTGTAGGCTGCCTACGTACCCTTCTTGGGGGATCAAGCCACACGTAGTTCTTTCCTCTGTTCTTGACGTGCAACTGGTTCGTTATTTTGTAACTGGTTTAATTATCCGTAAAACATACTATAGGGTTGACATTTCTGGAGTATCCGGGACTCCGTTTTACGATCCGTCAAATACTATACGATCCTGGAAATACCTAGATCAACATACTTGAAATTGACTACGATCCAACGGTTCAAACGTATAGAACCCGGAAATCGCATACTAGGCGAGATCCGTTCGGGGTTCAAACGTTATCCGAATTAAGATCCGCGAAATCCTACGCGCTCGTGAGGACTAGGAGATCACTCTAGGACTGACTGTGGTCCCCACCCTGCTGCCCACGCGCCGCCACACGCGCTGGCAGCGCCTGGTGCCTAAAGCGATAACGCCTCGCCGAAAAATCTCAACATCTAGGCTCAAGACTCCTATCCTAGGTATAACACCCCATTTGGAGCCACTTTTGTTCTTGGATCTACCCCAAAAAGTGGCCGGAAATGGCCGGAATAGTAGCCCGAAAAATCTGTCAAAACCTAGGTTTCAAAATCGTTCTCCTACACGTGAAATCAACCAGTTCCTATCCAACAGGCAGCTAGAGCTCGAGAAATAGGTGAGAAACCATACCTCACTCATTGGAAATGGTGGCCGGATGACGGAGAACGAGCGCCTGAAATTTTCTCCAGAAACCGATCGGGTTTCTGCAAAATCCGGCGGATTCCGGCGGTTTCGACGGCTGGGCTTGGCCGGGAAGGGAAGAGGGACGCTTCCCGGTTCTTTTCGATCCGGTCCCAAGGCCGGAGGTGGGGTGTGGCGGCGACGGTGGCTTGGAGAAGCCACCGGCTGGAGAGAAGTATCGGGGGGGGGGGGTCGGGGTGCCCCCTCCAGAGAGAGAAACTGAGGGTTTAAAAATCTGACTTTCCAAAATTACCTTTTTGCCCTTGAGCGTAATTTGACCGTATTTTCTTCGTTATAATTCCAATTCGAGCCTAATACGTGTCTACGGACTCATTTCGTCGCGCTCTACGCAACGGTGTAATTGAAATCTCCAATTTCCTTCTTGGTCGAAAGGTCAACATTCACCTAATAAAACTCTAAGGGCATTTTTGTCTTTTCCTCCAATAAATTAATAATTAAATATTAATTTTAGGTTTGGGTTATTACACGTAGTGTTATATGAGGTGAATTAAGTGATCTTTAAGAAATTGTCATCATTATCTATCATTTTAATAGTGTTGTAATTTCAAATAGGGGTTTTTAAATATATATATATATTCTATATCTATATATATAAAGCAAAAGGCAGAGAATGGTAAAACATTCAAAATACCAGAAAATGCCTTTGGTTAATACAAACATTAAGAATTGAAATTATTAATTAAATGAGGATAATATAGTAAATTCACACTTTCTCATATTTAAAAAAAATTAAAATTAGAAGAAAAAAATCCTATTTTTATAGAACACAACTACCCATTATCTTTTTAATTTTAAAATAAATTTAAATTTAAAAAATAAAAAATAATAAATAAAAGCCACTTGCAAGCCCGGAAGCGCTTGCAGAAATGCTAGTATATATATAAAGCAAACGGCAGAGAATGGTGAAACATTCAAAATTTCAAAAAATGTCATTAGTTAATGCAAACATTAAGAATTGAAATTATTAATTAAATGAGGATAATATGGTAAATTCACACTTTTTCATATTAAAAAAATTAAAATTAAAAGAAAAATAAGATAATGGATCCTATTTTTGTGGAATACATCTACCCATTATCTTTTTTTAATTCTAAAATATATTTAAATTTTTTTTAAAAATGCCTCTCGCAGGCGCGGAAGTGCGTGTGAAGAGGCTAGTTGGCATAAATTTAAAGATTTGTTAAGCAAATTGTTTTCTTTTTTGTTAGGGCAGTTTTCGTTGGGATTTTAATACCCTAGGTTTTATCTATTAAGAAAATTCCTATGTTTTGGCCAGAAAGGTTCTATTTCTTCCTTTTTTGTTGTCAAATTTAAAATAGGAAAAAGTCATTTGTTTAAATGATTTTTTCAATTTGAGAATAATAATGTCCATATTTTATATTAATTTATTTTCTTTTTAATGAATGATAATATACTTATTAAATTTTTATTGTATCTATAAACTTTTATCAATAATAATCTACCTATTATATATCTTTTATGAATTATAATTTACCTATTCTTGTGAGTTAATAAAAATAGCATCTGTAGTATTCAAAATATTATGTACATGTCTTTAATTTATAACAAGTGTACATAATTTTTTCAAGTAACGCACTTATTATTATTCTTTTATATATATATATATATATGTAGAAATAATGTACCTTGGGTAGAAAAATAAAAAGAAATAATGTAACTATGTTTAAATCAAATGATTTAAGGATATTTTTTGGTCGAAATTCAAGGGTTTTTTTTCTCTCGAAATTTTAGGGATTAGAGGGAACACCAAACAAAAAATTGGAGTCTGCTAAAAATCAGGGAGTTAATGAAATACTTTAAAATAAATTAAATACAAAACATGAAGGTAGATCTCATGTATTGTTATTTAGTTAATAATAATAGGGCATATCTATCTTACAAGTTTGGGTTTTAGTTAGATGTTTAAAATTATGTGAGTTTATGTCTAGGATATAAAAGTTACAAGGACATCTATGTGAAGAACCCAAGACGGCACATTGTAATGGGAAGCCTGAGCACACAAAAAGCCAAGATAATTTTATTCAACTAAAGAAGGGTACATATGCTTGAAATTGGAGATGACAATCCAGGATAGTTGGGGAGGAGCCCCCCTACCCAGCCAACTTAAGGATCTTAGATAAAAATGTTAACTAATTAATAATATTATAATTATGGAATAAGGTTGAAAGAAAATCAACATAAGCAATGGCAATGATGACGGTCGCCAAATAGCTTGCAGATGCCTCCTTTCTCACAATCTGAAGTGCAAAATTTCCAGCATTTTCCACTGTCTGGGTTGTCATCCGCACCAGGGATACACTTTCCAAGTTCAGGATGATCAGTACAACACTTGGAACCTTCAACAGTTGCTATCTTCCAAACTACATTTAAAAAATAAAAAAAACTACTAATTAATTCTTCAAAAAGATTATAGTCCTAACGCGACATCAACCAAAAATTAAAAAATAAAAAGCCTCTTAAGCGGAAAATGGTAACCAATACAGTAACATGGCCTTCTGCAATATATAAAATTATATTACAAGATATTTACAAAAAAAAACAAGTGTAGATATGGGTTTACACACTTGAACAAACTTTAGATTATTAGATTAATAGTAATTAAAATTGATCCAATTTGGGTTTTCTATTGACTCATACACTGATATGATCAACCAAAAAGGACAAACAAAAAAAAACTTCTAGTTTGCATGCAGACATCTGTTTGACCATATATATAGGAGATTGTAAATACTTAATTGAAAAGCCTAACTAACAGGAAAAGAATAAAATATATACGACTGAAGATCATTGAAACAAACCATTGGGGGTTGACAAGAGCACCAAAATGAGGACGAAACAAGGGATTGTAAACTTAGCCATTGTTTTTTTCTAGAATTCACTTCACTTGTTCTGCTAAAAAGTTGAGACGATGTGCAATTTATATAGAGAGTTAAAATATATAGTCATAAATATATAATTACGTTCAAAATATATATGGTATTTTTAGGCAAATAGTGGGATTTTTGTCTTGAAATGGGACATTAAAAAAATTGTTTGGGGGTGGAAATGAGACAATATCTACAATACCTGGATTTAATAAAAAATGATTGGGTTATGATCTTTCACACCTGAAACTGACCCAACATAAATAGAAACAAATCCAATGAATGTCCCAGGTGGTTGAGAAGATGGGTTTAGAGGCCTATATTCTTTTGCAATATTCTAGGTCCATATATATCAACCCCAACATAGAGATTTTTATTCAAGAAGGAAGGGTATAGATTCTTCAAAGCGAAATTCTATAGTGAATAATGATAAGCGAAATTCTATAGGGTGATGTGCGGTTTATATGGGGAGTCGAAACAGTAAAATATAAATATATATGGTCTTTTTAGCTGACTACTGAAACGTTTGAGAATTAACCCAGTCTTAATCTTTTTTTGGGGATTTTATTACTATTTCGAAATCAATTATCTTTCCTTTTAAGATGCATGCTAGTTATTCCTGGTATGATACTTTCCTTTTAAAAAATTGGAGTCATTAATGTGCTAGAAATCAGGTAGATTGCACATATTGTAATTTTGTTAATAATAATGGAGCATATATATCTTACCAGTTTAGGTTTTAGTTAGACGGTTAAAATTATGTGAGTTTATGTCTAGTATATAAAAGTTGTAAAGACATCTATATGAAGAACCCAAGATGGCACATTGTGTAGGGGGTTTTTTGTTCCAGCAGCCTGACGAATGGGCCTGGGCTGCTGTGAGAAGACAACGAGCAAAATCCCCCAAATGCCTGAGTTCGAAAAACAAGCTCCCAAGAGAGTTTTTAGAAAATCTAATGAGATTTTAAAAGAACACTCTCAGGATCACTTCACTAACACCCAAATAAGCATGAGGATTTCATTAATGGCTTAGCTTGAGGAGCATGTGGCATGGGAGCTAAGCTTTCACAAGTTTAGCAATTTGAGAGAGAGAAAACAGCGTGGGTTTCTTACGGAAGAAATATCAGTGCGAGCCCTATCCTAAGAAGAAGAAAGATGAACAGAAGAGAGGTTTGGGTGGCTTGAGAAAATTCCAGATTTGCTTGACAAAGCTTGGTCAAGGTCTGGATCGTTGAGTTGTGGATGTGTTTTCTGGGTAGCAAAAGTCTCCTTTTATAGGCGTTAGGAGCTCTAATTTCGTCTGGTTTTCTTCCTCCTTTTTCCTTGGCAGCTCCTACTTAGCCCTATTTTGATGAATTTCTCCATCCAAGGAGCATGGGTAAGGAACCCTTTATGGTTCCAACGGTTTGACGCAGCTGGGCTTTCCCATAGAGGGGAAGGCGCCACCTGCTTTCCTTATGTTTTCTCCAAGGCAGAGCTTACAGAGGAAAAGGGGAGAGATGGAGCCTTTTGTCTGATGGACACTTCCCTCACCCCCATGGATTTCCTCTGGTCTTGCCATGGCTCCCTTATGACCATTGTTTGGAATTTAAACGGGCATAGGACTTGACGCCAGATTCTTGTAAGTTGCTGGGCTTGGGCTTGTACATATGGTATTGGGTCCTCTGGCTTTGTTGCTTTTATTGTTTGGCAGGCTTTCGTCAAGCTGCTGGAAAGGCTTTCCCTTTAATTCTATTGATGTGGGCTGGGCTAAATATCTTGGTGGGTTCTTTGGTGTCTTCCTAGAGCATGGGTCAATTTTTCTCCTCTCTCTCATGCTAACCCATATGCTTGGGTTCTAGGAACGGGCTTGAGTTCCAAAGCCCCCAAGTGGCTTTGAAACCTACGTTCCTTGAACCCTCAATGGGCCCCGTGATTGCTTGTCACCTTCCATACCACAACCTTCTCAGTAAGCCCCGGTTAATTTTGTGGCTTGGGCCCACTTAAGCTCGTGACGTAGCTTGGTATTAGAATGTGCATGATTTCTATGCTCGTGCTTGGGGTTTTATTATGCCATGATAGGCTATAGTCGGGCCAAGTAGCACTAAATGAGCATGTGAGCGTGATTTAGTAATATCGGTATGTCCTTGGCTCCTTCTGCACGTGCTTGTTTAGCATGATTTGTGGTTTGTGGCTTGTAGCTTGTGTTGGCGGCTCTTATAAATTTTCTTTTATCCCGATTGAGCTTATTTTGCATCCAATTACCCATATTGGGCTAAGGATTGATTTGGGCTTAGCCCCTTGGATTTTTGGGCCTCAACATTAGCCCCCTTGATTATTGGTGCCATGAGAAGCTTTGAGATGGGTCAAATAATCAAACCTGGCCCAAAAGAAAAGTCAAATCCAGGCTGTTGACGTGACCTTCCCGTTTCCCGCGTGTGTGCTGCCATGATTATTTTCCAGCGGTCTCTTGCATTCTCCAGGTACGCTTCCATCAATCCTGTTTTATTTTATTTTATTCTTCTTTCCTTTTCTTCTCTTCCTTTTTTCTTCTCTTCGTCTCTGACTCCCCTCTTTTGTGCACGCGAGCCCTAAAACTAGTTGCCCCCTTTTCGTTTTTGCTGGTTCCTTCTCATACACAAGTCTAGGGAATCCTTGGGAAACGAGAAATCTCAGTGAGGCCCCATCCACAACCGCTGGTTGGTTACGTTCAGGAAACCGCTCGCAACCATCGGGGAAAAGCCACAATTCTTCTTTAAAATCCCTCAAATTTCTTCAATTCGCTCTTCAATCCGTCCAAAACCAAGCTTAGCAGAGTCACTTGGCAAAGTGTGGAGCAATTTCTGCGGTGGAATCGCAAGGCAGTTCCCTCCTCTTTCGACTTCGGCAAGCTGCTGGAAGAATTCCATCGATAGCAGTGGTAAGCATCGTTCCCCCATTTTTTGTTTTCTACTTCTTGTTACTCTGGGCACATGCATCTATACACATACACACATACATACGCATATATGTGCATGTGGAGGCACCATTTATATTTTTTGAGAATTCCTCATGAACAGGGCACCTTTCTCGGTCTGGGTTTCATCTAATTTCCCAAACCCTAGGCTCGAATTTCGGGCATAGACCACTGATCTGGGATTTTAAGCGTGCTCGAGGCGATATCTTGCCTTGATTAACCACAAAACCTCTAAATGGTGTCGACGCATGGTGGAAGGAACGGGAACAGCCACTCCATGGCTTCCTTCGCATATTTTATCCCTGTGATTCGTTCCTCTCCCTTTTTTTTTATTTATTTTTTTTTAGCACCAGATAATCTTATCCCCTCTCATAGGAAAGATTTGCATGATGATATTGAATTGGTCCCCCTTTTTTTTTGATATGGTCTTGGCATGATATTACAGAGATGTGCGTGCGTTCAACAATTCGTGAAGGTGCTGGAACTTATGCATTTTGTTCTTTCTTCCTTTCTTGCAGGTGTCCGTGACTTAGTAGGCCTGCCATGGCGTCCACTAACCTTCCGCCGATCATGCTAGACCACCTCTACTCCATGGATGACGATCTTAAAACAGAAGGGCCGCTCCTGTTGCTTAAAGATGCCCGTAAAAATCCCGTTGTTGGTGATGAGCCATCCCTGAGACTGCTCCTGTAATTAATCCTGCCTCCATATCCAGATGCTGCATTGAAAAGGGCCTCTTTCCAGCCGTTCCCCTATTCTTCCAGTATCCTTGCAGTATCAGTAAAGGTTGGTCAGAATGGGTCGATCGTGAACTGCGGGATCCATCCACATGCAACATCCTGCGCAGAGCACAAGTCCTTGATGCCATCTTCCTTTCCAAATTGTGGGACATCCATATCGAAGCGAAGATGCTTCGTCACGTGGTCCGGAGGTGGAGCACCGCTACTCACACCTTTGTGTGCTCATGGGGGGAATTTACCCCTACCCTTGAAGATGTGGCGAATATCTCTCGCCTTCCTGTCTGTGGCGACCGTAGTCCTTTCGGCATCGCCCTCACTCCAGAAGAAATAGATAGCCTTGCAGTCTTGCGAAGAGGCGCTCCCACCTCTCCCAGCACTTCACTCCGGTTTAGCAACTGGATACAATATTTTGGGGACGCAAACAGACAGAGTCCCTGCCGGTTGGCTGCCTTTATAGCTCTGTGGCTTGGGCGGTTCGTGCTCTGTGACTTTTCTCAAGATTGCCTTCATGAGCGTGTATTTCCTTTGGCTTTGGCCATAGCCCGAGGCGATACGATCCCCTTAGCCCCCATGTTCCTGGGACATCTATACCATCTTCTTAATCGAACCCAGCTTCTGGAAAAGAGTGCATCAGGAACCATGGGTGTGGAGACCCTCCTAAATTCTGGTTTCTTGCAGGTGTTCTTGTGGGAGCGTCTCAAAGGGTTGGATGTGTATTCACTCCCTCACTCGCACGCTATAAAGTTGGCTGACTGGGGCAATGGTTCCTTTATGCCAAACAATCTTCCATTAGTTTGCAGGTGGTTCAAGAGAATGCAGAGGAAAGGCCAGAATTTCTTAAAGCTGCTAGACAATGTCGAGAATTTTGTCTTTCGCCCTTACGGCACCTCAGCAGAGACCTTCACTTTCGTGCCCTTCTATACTGACGCCAGTGATACGGTTGAGGTTCCAGCAGCCGTGTCGCAGAGTAACCAGTTTCGGAGGCATGCTTTGTTGAATGTTGCTCCCATCCCCTTACCTACTCTTGGAGACCACTGTGCAGAGGTTTCCGTGACCTACTCTCCACACCGAGTCAGGAGGCAGTTCGGGCTTGACCAAGGGGTACCCAGCAGTCCTAACCATGATGACCCTTTTGCTTTACACAGGATCTTCTGGAGCAATGACCACATACCAGCCAGTTGCAGGCCCCTCGTTCTAGCAAGCAAGGCGAGGGTTGGTGGCTTCTCTAGAGGCTACCAAGCCTACTGGAACCGCTGTCTCTCTTCCTTCCGTGAGTTCCAATCCTTTCCCGGGGACAGACTGCCTCCTACAACGGCTCGTCTTGTGGGCTTGGTTTCGGAAGAGAAAGCCATCCCTCTTAGCCAGAAACGCAACTTGCCCTTCATTTCCAAGAGTGGTGACATCGTTGGAGAATTTCCTAAGATGAAGCCAAAGCCGGGGGCACAGAGTCCTGGCGGCTCCGGAAAAAGTGCAACGCCAGTGTCAGGCAAAAGGAAGCGAGAGGAGGAGCGAAATGTGAGTGAGAAGCAGACTGCCGGTAAACCCAAAAGGTTCATTCCGAAGGTAGCCCCGAGTGGCCCTCCTCGAACCAAAGAAGCAACTCCCCCGGAACAGCCACAGTCTTCGAAGCTTGCTGCATCCGGGAGCCGGGGTCGTGTTGGCAAGATGCTGGAAACTACCCCTCTCCGCCGTAAGTGTTCTCCACTTCCAGTATTTCTTCATGCCCCTCTTTTTGCTTTGCGTGCATGATATGTGGGTAGATACTTATTTATTATATACATATTTTTTTTATAGGGAAAATGGGTACAACCCCGAAGAGAAAAAGAAGGGACACACCCCCGGTATCTCCTCAGGTGACCCCTAAACGTCGAAGCGTGCGCATTCTACATGCAAGATTTTCTGGAACACGCACCAGTACTGTTGAAGCTGCCGGAACCCCAACTGTAGTGACAGTTGACGATGATAGTGATGATAGTGACACCACCGAATCCGAGGCTAATGTTCCAGAGCAAGAGAACGTTGACGATGCTAGTGAAGATTCTGACAGGGACTCCAATGAGGGTTGCAGTGAGGATGCATTTGCTTATTCCAGCGACTATCCAGGAGGACAAGGTGGTTCAGATGTTTTCTTCGAGCCCGCCGGTAGCAGTACACGCCATTTTAGCGCTGAGCAGGTAACTGACGCGTTTTAAGTTTTGTCCCCTTCTCCTTCCTTACACCATAATCTGTACACTCGACGCGTGCTCATCCTGCAGGTTATTGACGTTGCTGAGGACCCAAACCCTGCTGCGGCCATTGCTGATCCTGCCCGGACCCCCCTTGAGGTATCCGTACCGATAATATTCTATTTACCTTCTTCTCCTACTCATCTGTCAATACCCATTACCTGTCAATTATCACGTACTAATCCTTGCATGCACCCCTTTCTCTTTTGCAGGCTAAGCATCTCGCTTCAAATTTAGAAATTGTGCCCGCAGTACCTTCTTCCTTCAACACATTCGATACACTGGTCGAGGCAGGCCCTCGCAGGATCCTCTCCAACCATGACACCAATGGATTCTCGGGATGAAATGCCTACGCTTCAAGTTACAAGCCCTTTACCACCTATCTTCCAGCATTTTCTCCAGAGAGACCTTGATCCTGCCATTTCGCCAGCCTTTCCAGCATCCTTTCGGAGCAACACCTTTGTCGTCCATACAACCCTGCCCGTTCCATCTCACGTTCAACCACTTCTCCGGGCGACAGGGCCTAGTCCCCTAGCACTTCTTCCAGCGGTTCAATGTGACAATGCGAGCACTGCTGAAAACACCCAGGCTATTATTACCGTCGCCGGGAATGCTGCTGCAGAAGACCCTCGCAGCATGTCTTGGCTGGAGTGGGAAGAATCATTTACTACCTTCATGGCTTTCTTTGACAGCAGTGCTCAGGTCCTTCGATCTGCAGATGAACTCCTGCCGCTCTACCATCGGTTTAATGGTTACGCACTTTTCCGGGGAATTCTTGTTTATCCCGAGACAGTTGCGGCTTTGAAGAAATTTCTGGACAAGTACGGGGATTTCATGGACATGACTGGTATTACTTCTTCATTCTCGCGATGTGCTGCTTTTCGGGCCCTCGGCTTGGTGCTCCATGGGATGGATACCGTGCAGCTGCTGGACATTACTGATCACAGGCTCCTTTGCTGGCGAGATGCAGTTTGCGAGGCTATGACTCTGGGCTTTCGAGCAGAGCCTCTTCTGAACCTGGTGAAGGGTTTGGCACGTGCTGCATTTGGGGCACGGGCTGCTCATAACATGAAGTCAAATCCCGGCCCTGATGAAATAAGGGCAGCAACAGAGGCTTTGGTCTTCAAGCAGCACGAACTGGAAAACCAGCGCAGGGAATTGCGTGGCCTCCTTTCTGCCCAAGGTGTCTCTTCCGACAGTGCTGACTGCGTGATGGAGGCAGTGACAAGATCTTCTCATGGGGCCTCCTCCGTTCCCTTCTAGCCATCCTTGATGGTACTTTGAGGTTCGTGACTCTTCGTCCTTCCCTCATGTTCCCTCATTCTACATATGTTCAATGTTACTTTGATTTCTCCTGACATTCCCTTTTTTGTTCTGTTTTGCAGGTCGCATTTTGCTTGGCGTAGGATTGACTTGCTTGACACATTCTGGAGTTTCGTTCGAGATTGAAGCACACATTACTTCTTAGCATGTATAACTTGATTTTGACTTATGTTGTAAAACTTGTACTGTGGCAGCTTGGCATTTTAGTGCTGTTGTGTTCCAGCTGCCGGAACCTATGTTCCCTTTTTTTTTCTTTTGCCAGAAACACATTGTAGCTCTTATTTCGACATGTATAAAATGTCTGGTTGATAGAATCCTTTGCTTGAATTTTAGATCGGGTATCCTTTTGAAGCATGGTGGTTGTTGCCAAAATTTTGTTAGGATGGCCCTTTGACACTGCCTATTTTCTTTGAAGGTTCTCGGACCTTATGAGCATGCTAGCTTCCTTTTGCGGGTGCTTAGCTTGGCTTGTTCCTTTTCATTTTGCCCAAGCGTGAAAGCTGCTACAGAACTAGGATCCCATTCAAATGGCTTTGCTTGGCATGTCTTTTGCTAAGTAATATTTTCCTCCACTTTTTTTTTAGATATCCGCTGTATATTTATATGTAATTGTAAACGCCTATCCAAAAAGAAATTCGAGGTACGAAAAAGGGAAAACTTCCAGAGACAATTTTTTTCAAAATACTCCTTCATTTTCATTTCAAACCCCATGCTACCATGATGATACAAAAGCTTTTCAAAACAAAGAGCACATAGAAGGAGACATCATTTTTTAGATAAAAGGAAATGCAATAATACGAAAATAAGATATTATGCCTACTTAGCAGTAGTAGGGCTTGAGCCATTTTCCATTGATGGGATCCATTAGCATGCCTTCCTTGACAGAGATCAAGCGATAATAACCGCTGCTGTGTACCTCCTTGACTGCGAATGGACCCTCCCATTGTGGGGCAAATTTGGAAGGTCCTGACATTTGCCTTCTCACATGTTCAACGACTTTTAGCACGAGATCTCCTTGCTTGAAGGCTTGAGGCTTAACGGTCCTGTTATAGGCTTGGGCAACAGTCTTGTTGTAAAGTGCCATCCTTCTTTCAGCTTCCATCCTTTTCTCATCAACTGCTTCGAGATCTAGCAAACGCCAATCCGAGCATGTCTTTGCATCCCATTCAAGATCATTGACAGCTGCTATCCTGGTTGTCGGGATGGTGATTTCCACGGGTGAAATAGCCTCAGATCCGTACACAAGTGAGTAAGGTGAAAAACCTGTAGCGCTCCTTGGTGAGGTGCGATAAGCCCACAAAGCATCCGGCAGGTGAACACTCCAGCCTTCTTGATACTCATATACCATCTTGCTTAGAATCCTCAATATCGTCTTATTGGTAGCTTCTGCTTGACCGTTTCCCTGCGGGTAATAAGGCGTAGAGCGACGATGCTTGATACTGTACCCACTAAGGGTTGAACTCACTTGCTTGTTGACAAAAGGTGTGCCATTGTCGGTGACCATCTTGTATGGGATTCCGAACCTACACACAATGTATTCCCGAATGAAATTCGAGACAGCAGCTCCTGTGGCCTTTCGAAGGGGAATTGCCTCAACCCATTTCGTGAAATACTCCGTAGCGGTAAGGATCCATATGTAGCCATCGGAAGGGGAATGGATTGTCCCAATTAAATCAAGCCCCCAAGTATGGAAGCCAGGCCAGGGAGTGCGCATGTCTTGCAGCAATGTAGGAGGTTTGTGGCTTAGATTAGCATAGATTTGGCATGTGTGGCATTTCTTAACAAAGTCATGCGCATCCCTCTTCATGGTAGGCCAATAATACCCAATGCTTAGTAGCTGCCGGTGAAGCTTCTTCATTCCTTGGTGCTCTCCGCACTCTCCAGCATGTATCTCTTGCATGGCTTGACGTGCCTCTGATTCTCCCAAGCATTTTAATGGCTCACCATTAAACCCCTTCCGATAGAGAGTTGACCCATCAACAAAATACCTCTTCATGGTCTTTTTGAGCTTATAAGCAAGCTTGGGGTTAGTCGGCAGAGTTCCTCCAACAAAGAATGCCAAGTATGGAGCCCGCCAATCTTCTGCAAATGAAACAGTGAATGACTCCTCTATAGAGGGTATCGTAGAACAGGTGGGACAATCGAATTGTAGTTCAGCTGCTTGCTTCTTCATCTCTGGCCAATAATAACCTTTGCGTTGCAAGCGCCGGTACAGGCTGATTACTGGTTCCAAGCCGCAAGTGGCATCGTGTACCTCTTGCAACCTCCTTCTTGCTTCTGCCATCCCAACACACCGGGTTAGAACACCTCCCGGAAGACGTCTGTAGAGTTCCCCAAAGATAGTCACATAGTCTTTCAAGTCTTTAATGCTGCTCTCTTCACCTAATTTTTTCTTCAGTGGCTTTCTCCAATCATCCTCTTCCAGCAGGTCCCCTGGGCCATTGCTTCGACCACTGGTGTGCTTCTCCTTATCACGGTGATGTTGGGCTGTTCTTGCACAAATGAGAGCTTCGATCCCAACTTGGCCAGAGCATCAGCGTACCTATTGGTGGTTCCTGGAATGTGCTCCATCACGATTTGCTTGAAGGAATTAATGAGCCTTTCAGCAGCTGTCCGATATGGTGCCAAGGTTGCTTCCTTCACCGCAAAGCTTCCTTGCAATTGACTTAGTACCAGGTTCGAATCGCCAATGATCTTCACCTTTTCTGCGCCCATTTCTCTTGCTGTGGACAATCCCACAATAAAAGCTTCGTATTCTGCCACGTTATTCGTGCATGGAAAGTCTAGCTTGAATGAGAGAGCCGTAGCTTGCCCGTAGGGATTAATGAGCACAACACCTGCCCCTCCACCTTTTGATGTGGAAGACCCATCGAAGTAGAGGGTCCATGGTTCCTCCTCTGTAACAGTAGCAACCATTTCTGGCAGCTCTCCCAGGACTTCCTTGGAAAGGGTTGATCCTTCTACTTCGGGGAATAGAGCTAGCATGTCAATCACAGCTTGTCCCTTGATGGCCTTAGGAGTTGTGCATATGATATCAAATTCGGAAAGCTGCAATAACCAACGTGCGAGACGACCGGATAATACCGGCCTTGTGAGCAGATATCTTACGGGATCAGACTTTACTATGAGTTGTAACTTGTGAGCAAGGAAGTAGTGTCGCAAGCGCTGCGCAGCATAGACAAGAGCAAGGCATAAGAGTTCCGTTTTCGGGTACCTTGCTTCAGCTCCTCTCAGTTGTCGGCTTACATAATAAACAGGGCTTTCCTCCCCGTTATGGCCATCCTGCGCAAGCAAAGCTCCAACCGCAGCATTTGTCGCAGCCAAATAAAGTTTGAGTGGAAGTCCTGGAATAGGTGCCCTATCGTGGGCAGCTTTGTGATCAGTTGTTGTACCCGCTGGTAAGCTTCTTGGCATTCCTGGCTCCATATATATGGCTTCCCCTTTTTTAGGAGAGGAGTGAAAACACTTATCATTGCAGCAAGGCCTGGAATAAAACGCCGAATGTATGACAATCTTCCCATAAAACTTTTCAATTCCTTTGGATTCTTAGGTGGTGCAAGGGAGCATATGGCTTTGGTTTTCTCAGAATCCACATCTATACCACGCTGGTGTACCTGAAAGCCCAGGAACTTGCCAGATGAGACTCCGAATGCGCATTTCTTTGGGTTCATTTTTAACCCATACAGCCGGCACCTTTCCAGCACCCGCCTCAGAACTCCCTGATGACTTTCTTTGGTTTTGGATTTTACTACGAGGTCATCCACATAGTCTTCCACCTCTTTTCCCATCATATCATGAAACACCGCCGTCATGGCCCGTTGGTAGGTAGCACCGGCATTCTTGAGACCAAATGGCATGACCGTGTAGTAGAAATTTCCATAAGGTGTTCGAAAGGCTGTTTTCTCGGCATCCTTGGGAGACATCTTGGTTTGATTATAGCCACTAAATTCGTCCATGAAGGATAGCATGCCTTGACCCGAGGTTGAATCAATCAAGATATCCATGTTGGGCAGCGGGAATTCATCTTTTGGGCAGGCTCGATTGAGATCACGATAGTCTGTGCATATTCTGATTACCCCAGTTTTCTTCTTCACGGGTACGATATTTGCTAGCCATGTCGGGTGTTTGATTGGCTTGATGAATCCAGCGGCTAGCAGTTTTTCAACTTCCACCTTGATTTGTTTCTCAATTTCAGGATGAAAATTCCTTCGTGGTTGTACAACAGGTCTTGCACCGAGCTCAATATTCAGCGTATGACTTACCAAGTTTGGATTAAAGCCGGGCATCTCTTCATAACTCCAAGCAAACACATCTCGAAATTCCTTCAATAACGACACCAAAGCTTCCCTTTCTTCCCCTGTTAAATGAACACTGACAGAGATGGGTCTTGGGGCAGAGGGGTCATCACTTAAATTAACTGTTTCCAACCGCTCAGCTACTGCCGTTGAGCCATCTTGCATGTGCTTGGGTGCTATCATTGGTTCTTGGAAAGGACAAGGCAAGGGTGCCTTGCCATCTAGACTCCCGCAGCTGTCTGCTTGCATAGCTTCTCCACCATACTCGGGGCTTTCCCATAGGATACGGTCAAGCCCCCAATCCCGTCATAAGCGATATACAGTGCGCCCATCTGGCAGCGTAACCTTTGAGCATTGAGGATGATCGTAGGCATGGTTGTTGGCCTCCGAGTGCCTTTTTCTTTCTCGATCGATGGTTATGAGCTCCTCGTTGCTCAGATCACGAATCTCGGTCCATAATGGCAGGTAAGTCCCAGAATTCTTGGATGGGTTGCTTTCGGCGCCTGTGCACTCAGTGTAGAATTCTGCCTCGGAGTAGTGAGCTTCGCTTTGATTGAACGGTGCTTGATTCCCTGGTATACGGAGTGGTCTTAGCCCAATTCTTCCCTTTACACATTGATGGTACGTAGAGACCACAAGTTTATGTTTGTTGAGCCATGGCCTTCCCAACAAAGCATGATAAGCCACATCTACGTCCACCACATAGAACTTGGTAAGTGACCGGATGGGCCCTACCTTCAAATTTACTTGCATATATCCAACCGTAACCTCACTTTGATTCCCAAAACCGCTAATGCTCGTTTGGGACTGCACGATCTTGGATAGTGGAATACCAGCTGCTGTAAGTACAGACAGAGGCAAGATGTTAACAGAAGAACCCGTGTCTACCAGAGCCCTCCGTATGAACACATCATTGATTTGTCCCTCCAGGTAAAGCGGCCTCCTATGATCCGGGTATGGAACTTCCATGTCCTCGTCTGTGAAAACGATAGCATTGTCATTTTCCAAGAATGACCTTTGAGGTTGAGCAGTGAAGCAATGGGGGTTGGCTCCTGCAGAAATATTCATAAGGGTTACAGCAGCTGCTTCCCTCGCTTGAGGCCCGAAACCAAGTTGGTCAAAGAGTGACCTAACTCTAGGATTCCTCTGGAGGGCCTGTGAAGCTGTGGGTCCTTGCTTCGAGCCCAGATATCGCTCCATTACAGTCGCCTCAGCTTCTGTAAGGGTGTGAAATGTCACAGCAGACGTTTCCCGCTGTCCGGACGAGGCTTTCCGGCATTGTTCTTCCGGCATGTCCAACATGAACACCCCATTGTCTGCACAGTCATCCCATCCATCAGCGAGTGGCCATGGCGTGTCATAGCTTGACGGTTTCGAGTATTTGCACCAGTAAGCTTTATCCATGTTTCCACAAGGCTCCCAAATAGCCTCTGGTGGCTTTGGATCATTCCTCCATGGGTGGCACAATTCGTCATCGTCGAGCAAATCATCTGGACACGTAATAACGGCAGCTGTTTCTTTCCCCCTCCGTTTTGGCAAAGGGTCCTCATCAATAGCCTGCTTCCTAGAGGGAAGCTCAAGAACTCCCTCATGTATTTTGCCATGTAAGATCCTCCTTAAACTCTGACAAGCGATGGTCGGATGTCCTACAAACTGGTGGTAGCGACAGTATCTGGGATCACCTTTTTCTTCCCTGGTGGGGACCTTGTAGGGCCTGAGAGGTTTGATTGCGCCGTCAGCAATCATTGTGTCGAGGATGGCATGAAATTCTTCCTCTTTGCAAGGCAATGGCGGGTACGTCTCCCTATCTTTTCGTTTGCGTGAGCTGTAGTCATTAGATGGCTTCTCATCCGTGGCTAACACCTGATGGGATTCCTTCTTCTCACTCCTCCAGCCCCTTTGTCCAGTCGGTCTGACAGACATGCTTGTCTTTCTTACCGCTTCCAGCAGCCGGGAAAATTGGCTGGTGCCAATATTCTCCAAGTATACTCTATAGTCTGCCACAATGTTGCTGATGCAAATCTCAACAAGTGCATCCTCATCTCTTTCGTCATAGCAATCGAGAGCCAAGTCCCGGAATCTTCTCACGAAGTCCACAGGATCCTCCCCTTGCTTTTGGCGAGTGTTGTTGAGCTGCGTGGTGGTGACCCTCTCCTCGTGCTGAAAATATTTTTTTACAAAACCTGCTTGCCAAATCGTCCCAAGAACGCATAGAGCCTGGTGCCAATGTGGTGTACCAGGTATAAGCCCGATCGGTGAGGCTCTTTGAGAATTCTCGGAGTCGCAGATTATAATCACCAGCGTGTGGCCCCAAAGCATCAAGGAACAGATTTGTTGCTGTCAGCAATGACGTTTTTTCTACCTACTTTTCAAAACCTTTACCTTCTTATGATGTGTATGAGAGATTCAAACCGCGAAAATGGACTTAGGTGTTGGATTTTTATATTTGTTTTTTATTATAAGATTCAAACCTTTATTATTAGTTACATAATAATATGAAGAGTAATAATTGTTGGATTTAAAAGGACAGTCATAATCTTTTATTAAAGATTTTCGGGTTATTCGCAGCAATGGTATCTCAATTATACCTATAGTTACAGTTTGGTCACTCAATTCAATTATTAGTTGCAGAGGTCACTCAAGTAGGTGTTTTGTTGCACCATTAGTCATTCCGTCAAGTTTGTGACTTTTTCCGTTAAAAATGAGGGCAAATTCGAAAATTCATCCACAACCCTCCTTTTCCTCCACAATCCTCCATTGCACAACCCAATGAATGGAGGAAGGATTATGAAGTCTTGCATTCTACTAGCAAACCAATCTCATGGTATTTGATGAATGGAGGAACTATAACCCAGTCAAGGAAAGTTCAGAGCTTTCGATGTGCTATTAGGCTATTGTTTTCTATGAATTCTGTCTACTTCTTTGTCCTCTTATACACACTTTGTTTGATTTTCCTTATCTCTTTTTCTCGGAAAATCTGTCTTCTTTCCAAGAAATTTTATGGGGAGGACTGGTTTGTTTGATCTTGAAAGGCACTTCACCTTCTACAGCGCATACCACAACAACCTAGTTAACATTTTGATACACACTGTGTTTGTGTGGCCGATATTTTTCACCTCTCTGGTTCTTTTGTACTTCACATCTTCTCTGTACACTTTCCCAGCTGGGCTCAGTCATGATTTTCTGTTGAATTTTGGGTTTGTTTTCACCGTGATCTGTGCCTTGTTTTATGTCTGCTTGGATAAGAAAGCTGGATCTTTGGCTGCTTTGCTCTGTGTTCTCTGTTGGGTTGGAGCCAGTTTGCTTGCTGGTCGCCTTGGATTTTCTTTGGAGTTACCTTCGAAGGCAGATATGATATCGTCACTGTCTATCTCGGGTATGACTCACTCCTTCTTGCTCCAGACGCTGGAGCCTTAGGGCCAGGTGGTCTTGCTGACGTGGGAGTCGAAGAGGTCGCACCAGTTTTTGCCGTCGTAGTTCTTGAGGGCGGCCTTGTCGTGTTGGACGTCGAGGAGGATGCTGGAGTTGGATTGGTAGACGATCTCATCAAGAGAGTAGGACTCGGAGTCGGTGGCGGCAGCAGAGGAAGGGTCGGTGTTGAAGGGGACGTAGTGGGCAGAGAAATAATGGGTGTTGGTTGTGTTGTGGTAGCGAGCTTTGTCGCGACTGTTGCGGCAATGGAGGATTGTGGATGAAGGGGAGGGTTGTGGATGAATTTCTTAATTTACCCTCATTTTTGACAGAAAATTGAACAGAGTTTGACAGAGGGACTAATGATGCAACAAAACACCTACTTGAGTGACCTCTGTAACTAATAATTGAATTGAGTGACTAAACTGTAACTACGGGTATAGTTGAGGGACCATTGCTACGAATATCCCAAGATTTTCGTAAAGTCATGTCTCATTTTTGTATCCCTATAGTTTTCTCTTACTTTTCTTCTATTAATGGACAATCTGATAAACTCTTGGCATCCCGATTACAGTGCATCTCTTGACATCACATGTCAAACTTTGTAGTTCGATTTTTGTTTTGTATAATGGTTTATATTTTATATCAATAAGCATTGACTGCAAACTGCATCATTAACATGTCACTGGCAAAACACTCTAAATTAGGTTTTGCTCATCAATTTAACTTAAGGTATATCATCGCCATCATTCTCAACACTTGACACATGTCCATGCATAACCATTATTTTATAAATACAAAGTAAAAAGTTAACCATGGTTATGCCTATGTCCGTTTTGAGTTCAACTTGCTAAAACACCCAACCCTAATACTCTTGGCATCCCGATTATTGTGCCCATTCTAATATCGTACCTCTTAATTCTGAAATTTAAAAATCATGGAGTATCAATAACAAATCAGGAAGTTAATGACATGCTTTAAAATAAATTAATTACAAAATATGAAGATAGATTGCATATATTGTAATTTAGTTAATAATAATAGGGCATATATATCTTACAAGTTTGGGTTTTAGTTAGATGTTTAAAAATATGTGAGTTTATGTCTAGGATATAAAAGTTGCAAGGCATCTATGTAGAAAGCACACCATAAAACACAAATGAAAACTTTCATTTACGACGTGCACTAAATGCACGACACGCCATAAATACTGACCTATTATGGGGAGTGCTGAAAGCACGGTGTAAATGACGCACCGTAAATACTTAGTTTTCTTGTAGTGTATGAGAAGAACCCAAAACAACACATCGTAATTGATGGACAAAAAAAAAAAGAAGAAATACGTAAGTGAATTGGGAAGGGAAACTTGAGCACACAAAAATAACCAAAAAACCAAGATAATTTTATTCAACTAAAGAAGGGTACATATGCTTGAAATTGGAGATGACGATCCAGGCTAGTAGGGGAGGAGCCCTTCTACCCAGCCAACTTAAGGATCTTAGATAAAAATGTTAACTAAATAATATTATGGAATAGGGTTGAAAGAAAATCAACATAAGCAATGGCAATGATGATGGTTGCCAAATAGTTTGCAGATGCCTCCTTTCTCACAACCTGAAGTGCAAAATTTCCAGCATTTTCCACCATCTGAGTTGTCATCCACACCAGGGACACACTTTCCAAGTTCAGGATGATCAGTACAACACTTGGAACCTTCAACAGTTACTATCTTCCAAACAAAATTAAAAAAAAAAAAAAAAAAAAAAAAAAAAAAAATTGATTAATTCTTTAAAAAGATTATAGTCTTAGCGTAGCATGAACCAAAAATTAAAAAACAAAAAGCCTCTTAAGTGAAAAATGGTAAGTAATATAGTAACATGGACTTGTGCAATATATAAAATTATATTACAAAATATTTACGGAAAAAACAAGTGTAGACATGGGTTTATGCACTTGAATAAACTCTAAATTCTTAGATTAATAGTAATTAAAATTGATCCAATATGAGTTTTCTATCGACTCATACACTGATTTGTTCAACCAAAAAGGAAAAAGAAATAATAAAAAAACCCCTAATAGCTTGCATGCATGGACATCTGTTTGACCATATATATAGGATTTTGTAAATACTTAATTGAAAAGCCTAACTAACAGGAAAAAAATAAAATATACATGATTGAAGATCATTGAAACAAACCATTGGTGGCTGACAAGAGCACCAAAATGAGGACGAAACAAGGGATTGTAAACTTAGCCATCGTTTTTTTCTAGAATTCACTTCACTTGTTCTGCTAAAAAGTTGTGACGATATGCGATTTATATAGAGAGTCAAAATATATAGTCATATATATATAATTACGTTCAAATTATATATGGTATTTTCAAGGAATTAATTGAGCTTAATTACGTTGTTACAAATGCTACAAATATATGGTCTTCAATCACGTCGGCTGCAAAACTAGGAAAGGAAACGCATACTTTCTTTCTTTTATGGGGTTTTTATTATTATTTCAAAATCAATTATCTTTCCTTTCAAGATACATACTAGTTATTCCTGGTAGTATGATACTTCCCCTTAGGATAGGATCATTTTTGTTCTTGTAATTTGCTCCACAATAAAGTTTCCGGTTCTTCTATAAAAAGTAGAAAAAGAAAATAATACCAAAATCAAGCAGAAATTATATCTTTTCCAGCTCTTCTTCTAATAGATATTTGGTACCAAAGCAGAAATTATACCAAATAGATATTTCAAATCCCAAACAACCATTGAACTAAAGCAGAAAATAATACCAAAGCAGAAATTATTCAACTAAAGAAGGGTACATATGCTTTTCCAAATTTCAATTTGCAATATTGATAAATAGTTGTTTTGGATTATTGAAAATTGAAATTTTAAGAATTTATGTGTTTCGCATCAACTAAGTGAGGATTGGATTGGCTCTAGTTTGGTTGTATTTATGTGTTTTGTAATTTCTTGCTCTGCTGCTTGTTATTTTTGTTCTTCTTCTTGGAATTTTTAATAAATTTCATTACTTAATTATGTTGAATTTAATTTTCCAGATTGTTTGGTTTGTTTATCTCTTTAAAACTGAAATTATTTTGTGTATTTATTATATATATGAATTTATTATGTTATATAAGTGTTAATATCCATTTGATTGGGTTTTAATTTCGTGTTATTGCTGTGGTCTTATAATTGCTTTTAATATCATTTCCATACCGTTGGCATTTAAATATTTGAGTCCAAAAATTATTTGTGTCAGTTTTGGTTCACCAATCTATTTTGCACATTCAATATTTCCTAAGAATCAACTTAGTGCATTTCTTATTTGGGGTGATAAGTGATTTTTAAAAAAATTTGGGAAGCCCAATCCGTTTGGTAAACTAGAAAAAATAACTTATTGTTGAAAATTACATAGAATTTTAAATGACGGAATTTAGATTTCCATCATTTCAATTTCTGGCAATTGAAGATTTCAATTTCTGGCAATTGAAGATTTCAATGTTTGGATTTATGCATGTCGAATTTTGTAAATGACGGAATTTTGTAAATAGCACCATGGAAATTGTGAAATGATGCCTATATCGGTGGAAATTAAACTCGGGAATTTGATGCCATAATTTCCACAGTTTTTTCCTCACGTCATTTAATAAATTCCACGCTTAATTTGCCAAACAAGCAAATTCTGAGTTATTTTTCGTCATCCAAACGAAGGGTAAGAGAAAGCAACTAATGAGGTGCTTTCATTTTCTGATTATGCGGGACTCAGTTTCGAAGAAATGCTAGGTTTAATGATTATGCGGGAATCATTTTCTAATTATGTGGGAATTAGTACCAACAACACTTATAACAAAAAGTTTACCAAACGCCAAACTGCTTTTCCTCACAGCTGATTTCTCTTACAGCAAATCTGACAGCGATTATTTTCACGGCACAGTAATGCCAAACTAGCCCTTAGTGAATTCCCATCTCCCGCTATTTTTTGAGCTAAGAACTAGTACATAGATTAGGTCAAAATGTACCAAACTGTCGGCAATAATTGGCCAAATTCGATACAAATGTTTCAGTTTTTTTTTATAACAAGTGAAATATGTTTAAACAAGGTGAGATGGTTTATAGTTGGCTTGTAAGTTTCATTAGACGTGGGTTAGGCTAGTTGACAAATGCAGTGAGCCTATTCCTTTGTACTGAACTTTAATTTAGAATAGTCTATTGCTTGTATTTTAAAATTAAAAAAAAATACCTCTTAAGTTTGATGCAAATTGCTACTAGGTCTAGATGCTGCTTCAATATGGTTTGTTTAATTTGTCAAAAGTAGCCCATAGGGAAGCTGCCAGTCCAAGACGTTGCGTTTTGCGTGCTGTTTTATTTTGTTGCAACGTGCCACGGAACGAGAGAGGCTGGGTGGGCCTCCTAATTTAAGCAGCATCTGGACCTAGTAGCAATTTGCATCAAACTTAAAGTGCCACAATTAACTAATTTTCCGTTTGGTTCCACAAAAAGAAACTAAAGCAAAATTTAGAAAATCAATTATAATAAACCAAAACTACGGTTTTGAAGCCTGTTTATGATTCACTTATATATATTCTTAACGCTTCTTTCATTGTTTGTTCATATATGTATCTATGTGTTTGTATTTCAGTTGTTATTATGACATACTCTTGCTAGTTTTGTGTGAAAATTGTCGTTGCTAAAATATGAAAACTATGAGAGAATATGTGTTTGTGGGAATTTTCTGTGTATTCTTCTCCTTGTAGGAAGTCATATTTATAATACAATGAAACTTGAATGGACAAGTAAATAATAAATTTCTAAATCTATTTATAGTAGGAAATCATGAATTAAAGTAAATCAATTACAATTATAATAGGAATTCTTGGTGTCTAAGGAAAGTAAGTCAATATCCACAAGTTACGCCAACACTCCCTCTCACATTGGTGCATAGATGTCGCTAATGCCCAACTAATCCAGTGAATTGTGGAATGCTTTACTAGAAATCGTCTTTGTCAAAATATCCGCCAATTGATCCTCGGATTTCACAAAAGGAAACTGGAACACTTTAGCCTTAAGCTTCTGTTTGATGAAGTGTTGATCCACCTCAACATGTTTAGTACGATCATGCTGCACTGGATTCTGTGCAATGGCTATAGCAGCCTTGTTGTTACAAAAGAGATTCATTGTGAATTTAGGTTTATACCCAAGTTCAATAAGCAAATTTCTTAAACAAAGAAATTCACAAAGGATCCGGATCCTCTGCTTTGATTTTCTCTGCCATGATCTGCTTTACTTTTATTCTCCACATGCCACCTTATTAAAATTTAATCTAAGGGACTTAAAAGTTGACACATCATTCTTCAAGCAAAAACCCAATTTACTTCTAATTAAAAAAGAAAAACAATATCCTAACCCAACTAATCAAACTTAACGTCCGATCCCTTTCTTCTTCTATTTTTTTGCTTCTTCCCGTCACACGATTTCTTCCTGTCTATAATCAGAATCCATTCTGGTTGTTGCAGCGTTTGTTTAGTGGTGGAGCTCTGGTTGTTTAATATTGTTAATATTGAACTCAATGCCACCAGGTATGCTCAAGTGTGTCTTCAGAGTCGACAAATATGAAGGAGCTCCTCCAATGGAATGACCTATATGGACAAGGCGGATCCATAAAGAAAAAATCTCTCAACTATTTTATGTAAAATTGATTTTTCTTTTCTTTTCTTTCTATGTGTAGAAGTCTTCGTTTTATTTATTCTTCTTTGTTCTGCTTAAAGGCGTGGCAAGATGGGATTTTACATACATATCCATGGTGGAAATCCCATTGGTCATGTTCCCATCTATCAAAAGAACAAAAAGCAAACTTATTTCCCCATATCCTTTGATGTGACGTGGGTGGTTGAAGAAAAAAAATTCCTTCGCTGTTTTCCTCTGGATAAAAGAGGAATTAGGTTCCAAGACTTGGATATTGGGATTGTTTTGTAAGGTCTATTGACTGATGAGTTATGGTTATTTTCTCGAATCAATGGCTACTGAAAGATATATATATATATATATATATTATTTTGATGGAGGAAAGAGAAGGCTACAGAATTTTTGGAGAAACGAAAGCTTGGTGAGAGATAAGATTTTGGGGGCAAAGGCAGGAAGAAGATGTGCTAATAAGAAGGTAGGAAAAAAAAAAGGGAGAAGATGTTATATTTGATGTTAGTTGGGTTAGGGTATTGTTTTTCTTTAGGAGTAATTTTTTGCTTGAAGAATGATGTGTCAGCTTTTAAGTCCCTTAGATTAAATTTTAATGAGGTGGCGTGTGGAGAACAAAAGTAAAGCAGATCATGGCAGAGAAAATCAAAGCAGAGGATCTGGATCCAATTCACAAATCCCTTTAGTCATGCCTCTGAACTCGGCTTCTGCATTGGATAAAGCTACTACATTCTGTTTCTTGCTCCTCCATGTCACCAAATTACCTCCAACGAATGTGAAGTAACTCGATGTGGATTTTCTATCTGTTACATTACCTACCCAATCTGCATATGAATAACCATCAATATTTAGATGACCATGCTTTGAGAACATAAGTCATTTTCCAGGTGCAGACTTCAAATATCTAAGTATCCGAAGAACTGCATTCATGTGGTCTTCACTTGGAGAGTGCATAAATTGACTGACAACGCTCACCGCATAAGCAATGTCTGGTCGAGTATGTGACAAATAGATCAATCTTTCCACTAACCTTTGGTATCTTTCTTTGTTAGTTGGAACTTGATCCGGATATTCTCCAATATGATGATTCTGAACAATAGGAGTGTCCGCAAGTTTGCAATCTAGCATCCCTGTGTCTGTCAACAAGTCCAAGACATATTTCATTTGAGAGAGAAATATGCCTTGCTGCGATCGAGCCACCTCAATTCCCAAGAAATACTTGAGTCCACCTAGATCATTCATCTCAAACTCAATAGCCAAATAGTCTTGTAGCTGTGATATTTCCTGTTTATCATTCCTAGTAATAATCATATCATCAACATAGATTATTAATGATGTTACCTTCCTTTTCCGATGTTTCAAGAATAGAGTATGATCTGAGTTGCACTGTTTGAAACCATTGTTCTTCATTGCCATGGTGAACCGTCCAAACCATGCACGTGGTGATTGTTTCAATCCATACAATGCTTTTCGTAACCTGCAAACTGTTAAAGTTTGAGTAGTATTATATCCAGGAGGAATGTCCAAGTACACCTTCTCCGTGAGTTCACCATGTAGAAAAGCATTCTTTACATCAAACTGGTGTAGTGGCCAATCCAAATTAGCTGCAAGGGACAATAAGACTCTGACGGTGTTTAACTTTGCAACTGGAGCAAAGGTTTCTTCATAGTCTATACCATAGGTTTGTGTGTACCTTTTTGCCACACGTCTTGCCTTGTATCGCTCGATAGATCCATCTGCATTGCGTTTTATAGTAAACACTCATCTACATTTGATAGTCTTTTTTCCTCGTGATATAATCTCCAATGTCCAAGTCTGATTTTTCTTAAGAGCTTTCATGTCCTCTTTTATAGCTTGGACCCACTTAGGATATTTCAATGCTTCAGAGACCTTGGTTGGAATACGCATAGCAGACAATTGGTGCACAAAAGCCTTGAGTGGTTCAGACAGCTTCTCAGTGGATACAGGATTTGCAATTGGATACTTGGATGTCTTGCCAATATCAGGTGAATAACGGTTTGGTGGCTTCCCACGATTTTTCCTGAAAGGTAATTGATATCCAATAGTTTTATCATCTAAATGCACAGGTCTAGTAGGAGTAGTTACCTCAAGGATATTCTTAGGAGATTGGTCTGTTGGTACTATTGAGTTAGAGGGGGTCTTCATCTTGTTGTTCTGTATTGTCTGTAGGTGTGAGACTCATATCAGAAATATCTTCGCATGAATCAGGTGGGTCAGGCAATTGATCGCTATGAATGGGCGATTGATCGCATTTCGGCAGAGAGTAATCTCGTGCTCCAGACTCGGGACGATTGATCATTTCTGTACAGAGGAGAATTTCTTCGTTTTCCAAGTTGCTCTAATTCTGCTATTCACTTCGTATCTCCCCCTGAAGCATAGAATTGGATGATGGGTCAAGGAAGAACAGCTCAGATTATAGAAAGGTCACATCCAAAGTGACATAGGTACGTCGGGTAGGAGGGTGATAACAATGGTAGCATTTCTGATGAGTGGCATAACCCACAAAAACACAACGAAGCGCACATGGATCAAGTTTGCTATGTTGATTTTTGTGGAGATGAACGAAAGCCACACATCCAAAGATTCGGGGTGTGAGTACCAAAACAGAGGGCAGAGGTCTGTGTTGCACAAGCACTTATAAGGGAGTTTTAAAGGTCAATACACCAGAAGGCATGTGGTTGATCAAGTGAACTGCAGTGACAATAGCATCATCCCAGTGATGGCGAGGAACATGAGCGCCAATCAGAAGTGTGCGGGCGGTTTCAAGAAGATGTCGATTCTTTCTTTCAGCAACACAAGTTTTGTTGCAGTGTCTGAGGACAAGTCGTCTCATGGATAATTCCATGTTGTTGGAAGTAAGTCTGAAAGTCATGATTGAAAAATTCTCCACCACGGTCTAAGCGAAGAATCTGGATTTGAGCATTAAACTGAGTTTTTATCTGTTTGTGGACGGACTGAAAACAGAAAAACACTTCGTTTTTATTCTTCAGCAAATAAAGTCATGTCATCCGTGTACAATAATCTATGAATGTGACAAACCATCGAACACCAGAATGAGCAATAATAGGTGAAGGTCCCCAGACATCAGAGTGAATTAACGTAAATGGAGTAGTACACTAGTCCGTACTCAACGGGTAGAGCATATGGTGACTCTTGGCCAAAATACAAGTATCACATGTGAAGTCAGAGTCCTTGAAACCTGAGAATAAATCTAGTATAAGATGCTTCATATAACTAAAAGACGGATGTCCCAATCAACGGTGCCACAACTAGATTTGCTTTTGTTTGCTATCAAAGGGATGCGTCATACTGTTAGCCACGTCGAGACTGAAGTCATCGACATAATATAGGCCCCCTATCTTAGTACCACGACCGAGAATCTCCTTAGTGTAAATATGTTTAAGCAAACAAAAACTCGGGTAAATGAGTACACAACAATTCAATTGTTCAGTAAGCTGAAGTGCAAAATGTCCAGCATTTTCCCCCATCTGGGTTGTCATCCGCACCAGGGACACACTTTCCAAGTTCGGGATGAGCAGTACAACACTTAGACCCTTCAATTATCTTTCCTTTTAAGATGCATGCTAGTTATTCCTGGTATGATACTTTCCTTTTAAAAAATTGGAGTCATTAATGTGCTAGAAATCAGGTAGATTGCACATATTGTAATTTTGTTAATAATAATGGAGCATATATATCTTACCAGTTTAGGTTTTAGTTAGACGGTTAAAATTATGTGAGTTTATGTCTAGTATATAAAAGTTGTAAAGACATCTATATGAAGAACCCAAGATGGCACATTGCAACGGGAAGCTTGAGCATACAGAAATGACAAAAAGCCAAGATAATTTTATTCAATTAAAAAAGGGTACATAAGCTTGAAATTGGAAATGACGATCTAGTCTAGTAGGGGAGGAGCCCCCCTACCTAGCCAACTTAAGGATCTTAGACAAAACTGTTAACTAATTAATAATATTATGGAATAGGGTTGAAAGAAAATCAACATAAGCAATGGCAATGATGATGGTCGCCAAATAGTTTGCAGATGCCTCCTTTCTCACAATCTGAAGTGCAAAATGTCCAGCATTTTCCCCCATCTGGGTTGTCATCCGCACCAGGGACACACTTTCCAAGTTCGGGATGATCAGTACAACACTTAGACCCTTCAACAGTTGCAATCTTCCAAACTGAAAAAAAAAGAAAAAGAAAAGACAATTAATTAATTTAGTAAATTTGGCTTACACCCTTCAAATTCAATTTGCCATACCTAAAACCCTTCACTTTTTGTTCCTATAAATAATACCCAATTTGTATAAGTAAAAACCCATGACTAGAATCAAACTCAGCAAGTTACCTAATTAAGCATAAAATCTGATTTATTGTACTTTTTAGATTCCAAAAAACCCCCAACTAAGCCATTATTGCATTTTGTATATTAATGTAGGAATCAATATGGAAACAGTTTTTAATTGGATTGTATATAATGACAGATGTTGAATTTGGAAAGATCTCCAAATGGTTGTAATGGATGTAGGAATTAATTTTGAAACATTTTAAAAAAAATTTAACAATAAATTCAAATTTAGGTAATCGGTTTGTTTAATAAAATGTTTATGTTATTTTCTTTTTATGAATTATACATGACTAATAATCCACTTTATAATTGTTTATGAATAAAACTGTACATACTAATTATGTTGAAAAAATAATGTAACTATTACTTGTTTGTTTTATAAAAAACATAATTTACCTAATATGAAAAGTGTACATAATTATCTATTCCAAATAATGTACCTATACACATTTACAGGTATATTGTAAAATAATTTACTTGTGGATAAATAATGTACCTATATTTTATATAAATTATTGTGTACCTATTTTTAATTATGAAAAATATACGCAATTACAAAGTAACTGAATTTTTTTTTTTGGTAAATAATATACCTATATTTTATATGTATATATTTATATTATATTTTTCATAGGTACATTATTGGATATGTAATTTACAGATTTTTTGTTTTGTTTGTAATTTTAGGGGGCGAGATGTGAGAGGGAATGACAACTAAAAGAAATGGGGTGATTGATATGCTATTAATAGGGAGTATATTAATTACAATTATGGCAGTTAATGAAATGCTTGAAATAAATTATAAATAAAATATGAAGTTTAGTGGCAATGATGTAAAAGCATAGAAATACTACGACCTCTTATATCATACTAGTTATTTAAATTTGAAATTGGGTTTTACACATAGATTTATAGAGTGATGGGTATATGTCTAGGAAATAGAAAATGTAAGGATCTATATTGGACAAGCCCTAATTAATTCTCCAAAAAGATTATAGTCTTAGTGTGATATGAACCAAAAATTAAAAAACAAAAGCCTCTTGAACAAACTCTGCAATATATAAAATTATATTACAAAATATTTACGGAAAATACGAGTGTAGACATGAGTTTACGCACTTGAACAAACTCTAGATTCTTAGATTAAAACTAATTAAAATTGATCCAATTTGGGTTTTCTATCGACTCAGACATTGATATGATCAACCAACAAGGAAAAAGAAAAAAAAACCTCTAGTTTGTATGCAGACATCGTTTGACCATATATATAGAGATTGTATATACTTAATTGAAAGCCTAACTAACAGGAAAACAATAAAATATATATGATTGAAGATCATTGAAACAAACCATTGGTGGTTGACAAGAGCACCAAAATGAGGACGAAACAAGGGATTGTAAACTTAGCCATGGATTTTTTTTTCTAGAATTCACTTCACTTGTTCTGCTAAAAAGTTGAGATGATGTGCAATTTATATAGAGAGTAAAATATATAGTCATAAATATATAATTACGTTCAAAATATATATGGTATTTTTAGGCAAATAGTGGGATTTTTGTCTTGAAATGGGACATTAAAAAAATTGTTTGGGGGTGGAAATGAGGCAATATCTACAATACCTGAATTTAATCAGATATGTTTCGAGTTCAACTTGCTAAAACACCCAACCCTAATACTCTGATGAATGATTGGGTTATGATCTTTCACACCTGAAACTAACCAACATCAATAGAAACAAATCCAATAAAGATCCCAGGTGGTTGAGAAGATGGCTTTAGAGGCCTATATTCTTTTGCAATATTCTAAGCCCATATAGATCAACCCTAACATAGAGATTTTTATTCAAGTAAAGAAGGGTGTAGATGCTTCAAAGCGCAATTTTATGGTGACTAATGATAAGTAGAAGATGAGTTTACGCACTTCACTTCTTAAGTCACTTCTTCTGCTAAAAAAAGTTGCGGTGATGTACGGTTTATATGGAGATTCGAAACAGTAGAATATAAAATATATATGGTCTTTTTAGGGAATTAATTGACCTTAATTACGTTGTTACAAACGCTACCAATATATAAAGCTAAGTTGACTACTGAAACGTTTGAGAATTAACCCAATCTTAATCTTTTATGGGGTTTTTATTATTATTTCGAAATCAATTATCTTTCCTCTAAAGATGCATGCTAGTTATTCCTCGTATGATACTTTCCTTTTAAAAAATTAGAGTCATTGATGTGCTAGAAATTAGGGAGTATCAATAAGAAATCAAGGAGTTTATGACATTCTTTAAAATAAATTAAATACAAAACATGAAGGTAGATCACATACATTGTAATTTAGTTAATAATAATAGAGCATATATATCTTACCAGTTTAGGTTTTAGTTAGATGGTTAAAATTATGTGAGTTGATGTCTAGGATATAAAAGTTGTAAAGACATCTATGTGAAGAACCCAAGATGGCAGATTGCAACAGGAAGCCTGAGGACACAGAAATGACAAAAAGCCAAGATAATTTTATTCAACTAAGGAAGGGTATATAAGCTTGAAATTGGAAATGACGATCTAGTCTAGTAGGGGAGAGCCCCCCTACCTAGCCAACTTAAGGATCTTAGACAAAACTGTCAACTAATTAATAATATTATGGAATAGGGTTGAAAGAAAATCAACATAAGCAATGGATCCCTAACTTTATATTTCTATAAATAAAACATGATTTTTAAAGTAAAACCTTAGGATCCAACTTATTAAGTTACCTAATCAAACTTAAAATATGATTTATTATACTTTTCAAATTCCAAATGTACCCCTAATTACATTTTAGGCTTAAATACAAAAATGGTCCATGTGTTTTACCACATTGGCCAATTTAGCCTGTGTTTTCTATTTGGCCAATTCTGTCCCTATGTTTAGTAACCGGCCCGTTAGCCAATATTGTCCATTTTAAAAAAACATAAATATAAATTTTAAAAAAATAACTATTTGAATACAATTTAAAGTTAAACAAATAAGATCAAAACTTTAAAAATTAAAAATCTAAAACTAAAAAAATCAAAAAAAGAAAGACCCCAACTCTAATCCCAACCGCCGCCGCCACCTTCAATCCCACCCACTAGCCATCATCTCCAATCCCAGCCACCGTTCACCACCCTTCTTTCTTCTTTCTTTCTCAAGAACAATCCTTACCTTCATGTTTTTGAATGTTTTAGTATGTAGTGCCCTGTGGGGTTTTCCTTGTATTAGTTTCTAGTTTCATTAATGTCTCTCTCCTGCTTGGTCTTGGCCATCCGCTCATCACTCTCCTTCCCACCTTTCCATTCGCTGGGCAAACCCTCCCCTCCCCTACAACATTTTTTTTCTTCAATATTTTTAGATTAATTTAAAAAAGTTTTATAGGTTTTTAAAAGACCAAAGATGTAAATTATGTGTATTTAACAACAAATTTTACAGAATAGTCAATATTGACTAACGGTGCTAAACACTAGGACTTAATTGGCCAATTTAAAAACACAGGGACTAAATTGACCAATGTGGTAAAACACGTAGTGTGTTATATGAGGTGAATTAAGTGATCTTTAAGAAATTGTCATCATTATCTATCATTTTAATAGTGTTGTAATTTCAAATAGGGGTTTTTAAATATATATATATATATCTATATCTATATATATAAAGCAAAAGGCAGAGAATGGTAAAACATTCAAAATACCAGAAAATGCCTTTGGTTAATACAAACATTAAGAATTGAAATTATTAATTAAATGAGGATAATATAGTAAATTCACACTTTCTCATATTTAAAAAAATTAAAATTAGAAGAAAAAAATCCTATTTTTATAGAACACAACTACCCATTATCTTTTTAATTTTAAAATAAATTTAAATTTAAAAAATAAAAAATAAATAAATAAAAGCCACTTGCAAGCCCGGAAGCGCTTGCAGAAATGCTAGTATATATATAAAGCAAACGGCAGAGAATGGTGAAACATTCAAAATTTCAAAAAATGTCATTAGTTAATGCAAACATTAAGAATTGAAATTATTAATTAAATGAGGATAATATGGTAAATTCACACTTTTTCATATTAAAAAAATTAAAATTAAAAGAAAAATAAGATAATGGATCCTATTTTTGTGGAATACATCTACCCATTATCTTTTTTTAATTCTAAAATATATTTAAATTTTTTTTTAAAAATGCCTCTCGCAGGCGCGGAAGTGCGTGTGAAGAGGCTAGTTGGCATAAATTTAAAGATTTGTTAAGCAAATTGTTTTCTTTTTTGTTAGGGCAGTTTTCGTTGGGATTTTAATACCCTAGGTTTTATCTATTAAGAAAATTCCTATGTTTTGGCCAGAAAGGTTCTATTTCTTCCTTTTTTGTTGTCAAATTTAAAATAGGAAAAAGTCATTTGTTTAAATGATTTTTTCAATTTGAGAATAATAATGTCCATATTTTATATTAATTTATTTTCTTTTTAATGAATGATAATATACTTATTAAATTTTTATTGTATCTATAAACTTTTATCAATAATAATCTACCTATTATATATCTTTTATGAATTATAATTTACCTATTCTTGTGAGTTAATAAAAATAGCATCTGTAGTATTCAAAATATTATGTACATGTCTTTAATTTATAACAAGTGTACATAATTTTTTCAAGTAACGCACTTATTATTATTCTTTTATATATATATATATATATGTAGAAATAATGTACCTTGGGTAGAAAAATAAAAAGAAATAATGTAACTATGTTTAAATCAAATGATTTAAGGATATTTTTTGGTCGAAATTCAAGGGTTTTTTTTCTCTCGAAATTTTAGGGATTAGAGGGAACACCAAACAAAAAATTGGAGTCTGCTAAAAATCAGGGAGTTAATGAAATACTTTAAAATAAATTAAATACAAAACATGAAGGTAGATCTCATGTATTGTTATTTAGTTAATAATAATAGGGCATATCTATCTTACAAGTTTGGGTTTTAGTTAGATGTTTAAAATTATGTGAGTTTATGTCTAGGATATAAAAGTTACAAGGACATCTATGTGAAGAACCCAAGACGGCACATTGTAATGGGAAGCCTGAGCACACAAAAAGCCAAGATAATTTTATTCAACTAAAGAAGGGTACATATGCTTGAAATTGGAGATGACAATCCAGGATAGTTGGGGAGGAGCCCCCCTACCCAGCCAACTTAAGGATCTTAGATAAAAATGTTAACTAATTAATAATATTATAATTATGGAATAAGGTTGAAAGAAAATCAACATAAGCAATGGCAATGATGACGGTCGCCAAATAGCTTGCAGATGCCTCCTTTCTCACAATCTGAAGTGCAAAATTTCCAGCATTTTCCCACTGTCTGGGTTGTCATCCGCACCAGGGATACACTTTCCAAGTTCAGGATGATCAGTACAACACTTGGAACCTTCAACAGTTGCTATCTTCCAAACTACATTTAAAAAATAAAAAAAAACTACTAATTAATTCTTCAAAAAGATTATAGTCCTAACGCGACATCAACCAAAAATTAAAAAATAAAAAGCCTCTTAAGCGGAAAATGGTAACCAATACAGTAACATGGCCTTCTGCAATATATAAAATTATATTACAAGATATTTACAAAAAAAAACAAGTGTAGATATGGGTTTACACACTTGAACAAACTTTAGATTATTAGATTAATAGTAATTAAAATTGATCCAATTTGGGTTTTCTATTGACTCATACACTGATATGATCAACCAAAAAGGACAAACAAAAAAAAAACTTCTAGTTTGCATGCAGACATCTGTTTGACCATATATATAGGAGATTGTAAATACTTAATTGAAAAGCCTAACTAACAGGAAAAGAATAAAATATATACGACTGAAGATCATTGAAACAAACCATTGGGGGTTGACAAGAGCACCAAAATGAGGACGAAACAAGGGATTGTAAACTTAGCCATTGTTTTTTTCTAGAATTCACTTCACTTGTTCTGCTAAAAAGTTGAGACGATGTGCAATTTATATAGAGAGTTAAAATATATAGTCATAAATATATAATTACGTTCAAAATATATATGGTATTTTTAGGCAAATAGTGGGATTTTTGTCTTGAAATGGGACATTAAAAAAATTGTTTGGGGGTGGAAATGAGACAATATCTACAATACCTGGATTTAATAAAAAATGATTGGGTTATGATCTTTCACACCTGAAACTGACCCAACATAAATAGAAACAAATCCAATGAATGTCCCAGGTGGTTGAGAAGATGGGTTTAGAGGCCTATATTCTTTTGCAATATTCTAGGTCCATATATATCAACCCCAACATAGAGATTTTTATTCAAGAAGGAAGGGTATAGATTCTTCAAAGCGAAATTCTATAGTGAATAATGATAAGCGAAATTCTATAGGGTGATGTGCGGTTTATATGGGGAGTCGAAACAGTAAAATATAAAATATATATGGTCTTTTTAGCTGACTACTGAAACGTTTGAGAATTAACCCAGTCTTAATCTTTTTTTGGGGATTTTATTACTATTTCGAAATCAATTATCTTTCCTTTTAAGATGCATGCTAGTTATTCCTGGTATGATACTTTCCTTTTAAAAAATTGGAGTCATTAATGTGCTAGAAATCAGGTAGATTGCACATATTGTAATTTTGTTAATAATAATGGAGCATATATATCTTACCAGTTTAGGTTTTAGTTAGACGGTTAAAATTATGTGAGTTTATGTCTAGTATATAAAAGTTGTAAAGACATCTATATGAAGAACCCAAGATGGCACATTGCAACGGGAAGCTTGAGCACACAGAAATGACAAAAAGCCAAGATAATTTTATTCAATTAAAAAAGGGTACATAAGCTTGAAATTGGAAATGACGATCTAGTCTAGTAGGGGAGGAGCCCCCCTACCTAGCCAACTTAAGGATCTTAGACAAAACTGTTAACTAATTAATAATATTATGGAATAGGGTTGAAAGAAAATCAACATATAAAAAAAAAAAAAAAAAAAAAAAAAAAAAAAAAAAAAAAAAAAAAAAAAAAAAAAAAAAAAAAAAAAAAAAAAAAAAAAAAAAAAAAAAAAAAAAAAAAAAAAAAAAAAAAAAAAAAAAAAAAAAAAAAAAAAAAAAAAAAAAAAAAAAAAAAAAAAAAAAAAAAAAAAAAAAAAAAAAAAAAAAAAAAAAAAAAAAAAAAAAAAAAAAAAAAAAAAAAAAAAAAAAAAAAAAAAAAAAAAAAAAAAAAAAAAAAAAAAAAAAAAAAAAAAAAAAAAAAAAAAAAAAAAAAAAAAAAAAAAAAAAAAAAAAAAAAAAAAAAAAAAAAAAAAAAAAAAAAAAAAAAAAAAAAAAAAAAAAAAAAAAAAAAAAAAAAAAAAAAAAAAAAAAACCGAATTTTTCACAAACCCGAGATGAATCCTGCGGAGACCCCGACATCACACCCCATGCCGGGTTCACTCCTTAAAATGGTAACCTCCTTCTTCAAAAGGAGTAAGGGCATGAGACTTTCTGCCGAAAATTCGGCAGAGTCTCCCCTGTAAATTGAACATTTCCCAAAATTTCCACCCCAAATTTCCACCTGCATAAACATAGTTTTATAACCCAACCGGCAGCACGCACAATGTAATTTCATACAATTCATCTAATTTGCCTCCGGCCTTCAAATATTCCGAAAAAGAGCTGCCAACAAAGTCTTGAGATAAAAATTTCCTTAAACACGGCAAGAATGAGCTCAAACACACTTAAAATTGCCGAAAGCAAAACTCACCACTAACTTTCCCCAATCCAGCAGGCGAGGTTTTAACATGCATCAATTATCATCTATAAATTATAACCATTATTCCAGGGCCTCAGCTCATTATATCACACACTTTATTCAATAGTACACATACACAACCCCCCCTTAGCCAGCCGGGAGTATGAACAAAAATCTAAACATACCTCGATTTCAAACGAGTTTCAGGACCAACAACAAGGTCCGCATCACACTCAACAAAATACATCATTAGAGTTTAACCCGCGGCTGCGCCTAGTTACTTCAGGCTGCCTACGTACCCTTACTGAGGGATCAAGCCACACGTAGTTCTCTCGTATCAACGGTCACATCTCCGATAATATACGATTATTTAAAGCAGAACCAACAAATGCATTTCAAATTTATCACCGATCAATTTATCAAATCAACCTGCAACCATACCCTATCCAAGGCGTCTGTTGCCACCCATTACTCCCCAATCCGGGACTCAAACCATGCATAACAATATAGGGTAATCACAAAGCACAACCTTACGAATAAACATATATAAACATATAAACATATAGAAATCCAGAAACAAATCCACGTATAAACATATATAAATAAGCACACCCACCTCTCACCATCATCATGTACCAGGGGGAAAACAATCCAATTCAGGGATTGTTTGACTAGTCAACATGGCAGAGCCATTCCTCAATTCACCATGTGGCTAGGGAGCGAGCCATCCAACCGGGGGATTAACTCTCAGCCAGCACGTACAGCCGACACAGTCAAAGCTTGTACGCCTGAAATACCAGTCCTACGCGCGCAGACTACCCCAAATCCAGGGTCCACAGCAACATCCCCTCAAGGATGTCCTGAGTTTCTAATAACTCCAAAAGTATCCAATGTTCGTAACCAAATGCAGATCAGGGGAGGTACATATGATGATGTACATCATGTACTAGGGAAAACAATCCAACTGGGGATTGTTTGACTAGTCAACATGGCAGAGCCATTCCTCAATTCACCATGTGACTAGGGAACGAGCCGTCCAACTGGGGGACTAACTCTCAGCCCAGCACGTACGGACGAAGAATCAAGACCCGTACGCCTGTAAACAGTCCCACGCGCGCAGACTACCACCCCTCAGGGTCCACGGCAACATCTCATCAAGGATGCCCCGTATTTCAACATATCCAAACCATAGTATAATATTCCCGGCATCCCACAATTCCAGGATCCGTAACCAAGAAAGCCCACACGCCCGAAACACGGCACGTGTGAATAGTAACCAGGGAAGGTACGTATGATGGTGGAGTTCGTAACCCTTATTACAACATTATAAAATGATATTTTCCTAAATCAGATAAAAACACATGGACACATTAACACTTTATTTCCAAGGCATCGTATCAAGAAGATATCCGAAGGGCCTGGACAAACTCCGACGGGCCTGGGCAAAATAAATCTCAAACATAAAACCCAGAACCGAGGAGGTATTTAAGATAGTGCGTATAGCACTTCGAACTGACAATCTATACTCTTTTCATACCTTTATAAATACATACAAAAATATATAAATTTCTAATATTGTAAGCACCTCAACGACAATTCACAGGGTGGCACTTATAGTGCCCTCAAGCATCTTTATAACAATAATAATATATATTTAAATATAATCCACTAATGCATCAACCTCAACCCCAAGATATAACATCCGATAAACCCCCAATTAATCACCATACAAACGGGCCCTCGGGTCCACGACCTTCAAATTCCGATCCGACAATTCCTATAGGTCCTACAAGGTTTAGGACACACGTCCTGCAAGTGTGATCCGGATCGGACGGTCAGATCGTTCACGATCGGACGGTTACTAAAACCCTAACCCTAGGGTTGGCTTATCCGGAGTATCCGGGACTCCGTTTTACGATCCGTCAAATCCTATACGACCCTAGTAATGCCTAGATCAACATATTAAAACCTCAGGACCATCCAACGGTCCAAACCTAGTGAACCCGGAAAATGCGCAATATGCGATATCCGTCCGAGGCTCTAACGGTATCCAAATTTAGATCCGCGAAATCCTACGTGCTCATGACATCAAGGGGATCACATTGGGACAAAAATGCCCCAAGCTACCGTGCCCACGCGCCGCCACACGCGTCGGCAGCGCTTGGGTGTCCAAAGCGACATCGCATCGCCGGAAAACTTCCAAATCGAGAGCCAAGACTCCTACCCTAGGTAATACACCTAATTTGGAGCCACTTTTGTTCTTGGACATACCCCAAATTATCAACGGAAGTGGCCGGAAATTCAATTTGAAAACCGGCCGAAACCTAATTCCAAAATCGAACTACAAACTCTCAAAATTTCTGGAATCCTATCCAACAGGCAGCTAGATCATGAAAAATAGTCCAAAATCCATACCTCATTCGTCCGTTTTGGTGGAGAAATGAGAGAGAACGAAGACTTGGAAAATCTGTCAAAATCTGTCCAAAAACAGCTCGGATTTCTTCAATTTCCGGCAAGTACCGGCGATTCCAGCGGCTGAAATTGGTCGGGATGGGAAGAAGGAGGCAGCCCTGTTCCTTTGGGTCTGATCTCGAGGCCAGCCGTGGCCTGTAACGGCAGTGGTGGCTCCTTGGAGCCACCGGCTGTGTAGAGCGGGCTGCTCCCCCCACCCACCGAGAGAGAGGGTTTTCAGCTTTTATTACAAACCCATTTCAAAATATTTACGATTATGCCACTGAGGGTATTTTGATCGTATCTCTCTCGTTACAACTCCGATTCGAGCCCACTACGTGTCTACGGACTCATCTCGCTGTGCTCTACGCAACGGTACTGTTGAAATTTCCAAATTCCATTCCGATCAAAAAGTCAACTCTAAACCACAAAATATTCTCGGGGCAAAATTGTCCTTTTATCTGAATAAATTAATATTCACCAATTTATTTAGGACCAGGTCATTACAATCTACCCCCCTTATAAGAATTTCGTCCTCGAAATTCCAAACCTGTCACTCAAAGGGGGAAAGGTACTGAGTCCGCATTTACTACTCAGGTTTCCAAATTCCTTCCTCCTTAACCAAGTTGACAACCAAGGCAAAAGCTCTAGCTAAACGAACGGAGGAAAAGACATCCATCCATGTCAAAGAGTCCTCCACGTCACATGATGACGTCCCGTGACGGAACCCATCATGATCCCACAACTTAAGGAAGCACACAAGGTGCGGGTCCACAAGAAATTGAAACCAGGCTCTGATACCAATTGACAAGACCCGCCCCGAATTTTTCACAAAACCCGAGATGAATCCTGCGGAGACCCCGACATCACACCCATGCCGGGTTCACTCCTTAAAATGGTAACCTCCTTCTTCAAAAGGAGTAAGGGCATGAGACTTTCTGCCGAAAATTCGGCAGAGTCTCCCCTGTAAATTGAACATTTCCCAAAATTTCCACCCCAAAATTTCCACCTGCATAAAACATAGTTTTATAACCCAACCGGCAGCACGCACAATGTAATTTCATACAATTCATCTAATTTGCCTCCGGCCTTCAAATATTCCGAAAAAGAGCTGCCAACAAAGTCTTGAGATAAAAATTTCCTTAAACACGGCAAGAATGAGCTCAAACACACTTAAAATTGCCGAAAGCAAAACTCACCACTAACTTTCCCCAATCCAGCAGGCGAGGTTTTAACATGCATCAATTATCATCTATAAATTATAACCATTTATTCCAGGGCCTCAGCTCATTATATCACACACTTTATTCAATAGTACACATACACAACCCCCCCTTAGCCAGCCGGGAGTATGAACAAAAATCTAAACATACCTCGATTTCAAACGAGTTTCAGGACCAACAACAAGGTCCGCATCACACTCAACAAAATACATCATTAGAGTTTAACCCGCGGCTGCGCCTAGTTACTTCAGGCTGCCTACGTACCCTTACTGAGGGATCAAGCCACACGTAGTTCTCTCGTATCAACGGTCACATCTCCGATAATATACGATTATTTAAAGCAGAACCAACAAATGCATTTCAAATTTATCACCGATCAATTTATCAAATCAACCTGCAACCATACCCTATCCAAGGCGTCTGTTGCCACCCATTACTCCCCAATCCGGGACTCAAACCATGCATAACAATATAGGGTAATCACAAAGCACAACCTTACGAATAAACATATATAAACATATAAACATATAGAAATCCAGAAACAAATCCACGTATAAACATATATAAATAAGCACACCCACCTCTCACCATCATCATGTACCAGGGGAAAACAATCCAATTCAGGGATTGTTTGACTAGTCAACATGGCAGAGCCATTCCTCAATTCACCATGTGGCTAGGGAGCGAGCCATCCAACCGGGGGATTAACTCTCAGCCAGCACGTACAGCCGACACAGTCAAAGCTTGTACGCCTGAAATACCAGTCCTACGCGCGCAGACTACCCCAAATCCAGGGTCCACAGCAACATCCCCTCAAGGATGTCCTGAGTTCTAATAACTCCAAAAGTATCCAATGTTCGTAACCAAATGCAGATCAGGGGAGGTACATATGATGATGTACATCATGTACTAGGGAAAACAATCCAACTGGGGATTGTTTGACTAGTCAACATGGCAGAGCCATTCCTCAATTCACCATGTGACTAGGGAACGAGCCGTCCAACTGGGGGACTAACTCTCAGCCCAGCACGTACGGACGAAGAATCAAGACCCGTACGCCTGTAAACAGTCCCACGCGCGCAGACTACCACCCCTCAGGGTCCACGGCAACATCTCATCAAGGATGCCCCGTATTTCAACATATCCAAACCATAGTATAATATTCCCGGCATCCCACAATTCCAGGATCCGTAACCAAGAAAGCCCACACGCCCGAAACACGGCACGTGTGAATAGTAACCAGGGAAGGTACGTATGATGGTGGAGTTCGTAACCCTTATTACAACATTATAAAATGATATTTTCCTAAATCAGATAAAAACACATGGACACATTAACACTTTATTTCCAAGGCATCGTATCAAGAAGATATCCGAAGGGCCTGGACAAACTCCGACGGGCCTGGGCAAAAATAAATCTCAAACATAAAACCCAGAACCGAGGAGGTATTTAAGATAGTGCGTATAGCACTTCGAACTGACAATCTATACTCTTTTCATACCTTTATAAATACATACAAAAATATATAAATTTCTAATATTGTAAGCACCTCAACGACAATTCACAGGGTGGCACTTATAGTGCCCTCAAGCATCTTTATAACAATAATAATATATATTTAAATATAATCCACTAATGCATCAACCTCAACCCCAAGATATAACATCCGATAAACCCCCAATTAATCACCATACAAACGGGCCCTCGGGTCCACGACCTTCAAATTCCGATCCGACAATTCCTATAGGTCCTACAAGGTTTAGGACACACGTCCTGCAAGTGTGATCCGGATCGGACGGTCAGATCGTTCACGATCGGACGGTTACTAAAACCCTAACCCTAGGGTTGGCTTATCCGGAGTATCCGGGACTCCGTTTTACGATCCGTCAAATCCTATACGACCCTAGTAATGCCTAGATCAACATATTAAAACCTCAGGACCATCCAACGGTCCAAACCTAGTGAACCCGGAAAATGCGCAATATGCGATATCCGTCCGAGGCTCTAACGGTATCCAAATTTAGATCCGCGAAATCCTACGTGCTCATGACATCAAGGGGATCACATTGGGACAAAAATGCCCCAAGCTACCGTGCCCACGCGCCGCCACACGCGTCGGCAGCGCTTGGGTGTCCAAAGCGACATCGCATCGCCGGAAAACTTCCAAATCGAGAGCCAAGACTCCTACCCTAGGTAATACACCTAATTTGGAGCCACTTTTGTTCTTGGACATACCCCAAATTATCAACGGAAGTGGCCGGAAATTCAATTTGAAAACCGGCCGAAACCTAATTCCAAAATCGAACTACAAACTCTCAAAATTTCTGGAATCCTATCCAACAGGCAGCTAGATCATGAAAAATAGTCCAAAATCCATACCTCATTCGTCCGTTTTGGTGGAGAAATGAGAGAGAACGAAGACTTGGAAAATCTGTCAAAATCTGTCCAAAAACAGCTCGGATTTCTTCAATTTCCGGCAAGTACCGGCGATTCCAGCGGCTGAAATTGGTCGGGATGGGAAGAAGGAGGCAGCCCTGTTCCTTTGGGTCTGATCTCGAGGCCAGCCGTGGCCTGTAACGGCAGTGGTGGCTCCTTGGAGCCACCGGCTGTGTAGAGCGGGCTGCTCCCCCCACCCACCGAGAGAGAGGGTTTTCAGCTTTTATTACAAACCCATTTCAAAATATTTACGATTATGCCACTGAGGGTATTTTGATCGTATCTCTCTCGTTACAACTCCGATTCGAGCCCACTACGTGTCTACGGACTCATCTCGCCGTGCTCTACGCAACGGTACTGTTGAAATTTCCAAATTCCATTCCGATCAAAAAGTCAACTCTAAACCACAAAATATTCTCGGGGCAAAATTGTCCTTTTATCTGAATAAATTAATATTCACCAATTTATTTAGGACCAGGTCATTACAGCTGACTACTGAAACGTTTGAGAATTAACCCAGTCTTAATCTTTTTTTGGGGATTTTATTACTATTTCGAAATCAATTATCTTTCCTTTTAAGATGCATGCTAGTTATTCCTGGTATGATACTTTCCTTTTAAAAAATTGGAGTCATTAATGTGCTAGAAATCAGGTAGATTGCACATATTGTAATTTTGTTAATAATAATGGAGCATATATATCTTACCAGTTTAGGTTTTAGTTAGACGGTTAAAATTATGTGAGTTTATGTCTAGTATATAAAAGTTGTAAAGACATCTATATGAAGAACCCAAGATGGCACATTGCAACGGGAAGCTTGAGCATACAGAAATGACAAAAAGCCAAGATAATTTTATTCAATTAAAAAAGGGTACATAAGCTTGAAATTGGAAATGACGATCTAGTCTAGTAGGGGAGGAGCCCCCCTACCTAGCCAACTTAAGGATCTTAGACAAAATTGTTAACTAATTAATAATATTATGGAATAGGGTTGAAAGAAAATCAACATAAGCAATGGCAATGATGATGGTCGCCAAATAGTTTGCAGATGCCTCCTTTCTCACAATCTGAAGTGCAAAATGTCCAGCATTTTCCCCCATCTGGGTTGTCATCCGCACCAGGGACACACTTTCCAAGTTCGGGATGATCAGTACAACACTTAGACCCTTCAACAGTTGCAATCTTCCAAACTGAAAAAAAAAGAAAAAGAAAAGACAATTAATTAATTTAGTAAATTTGGCTTACACCCTTCAAATTCAATTTGCCATACCCAAAACCCTTCACTTTTTGTTCCTATAAATAATACCCAATTTGTATAAGTAAAACCCATGACTAGAATCAAACTCAGCAAGTTACCTAATTAAGCATAAAATCTGATTTATTGTACTTTTTAGATTCCAAAAAACCCCCAACTAAGCCATTATTGCATTTTGTATATTAATGTAGGAATCAATATGGAAACAGTTTTTAATTGGATTGTATATAATGACAGATGTTGAATTTGGAAAGATCTCCAAATGGTTGTAATGGATGTAGGAATTAATTTTGAAACATTTTAAAAAAAATTTAACAATAAATTCAAATTTAGGTAATCGGTTTGTTTAATAAAATGTTTATGTTATTTTCTTTTTATGAATTACACATGACTAATAATCCACTTTATAATTGTTTATGAATAAAACTGTACATACCAATTATGTTGAAAAAATAATGTAACTATTACTTGTTTGTTTTATGAAAAACATAATTTACCTAATATGAAAAGTGTATATAATTATCTATTCCAAATAATGTACCTATACACATTTACAGGTATATTGTAAAACAATTTACTTGTGGATAAATAATGTACCTATATTTTATATAAATTATTGTGTACCTATTTTTAATTATGAAAAATATACGCAATTACAAAGTAACTGAATTTTTTTTTTGGTAAATAATATACCTATATTTTATATGTATATATTTATATTATATTTTTCATAGGTACATTATTGGATATGTAATTTACAGATTTTTGTTTTGTTTGTAATTTTAGGGGGCGAGATGTGAGAGGGAATGACAACTAAAAGAAATGGGGTGATTGATATGCTATTAATAGGGAGTATATTAATTACAATTATGGCAGTTAATGAAATGCTTGAAATAAATTATAAATAAAATATGAAGTTTAGTGGCAATGATGTAAAAGCATAGAAATACTACGACCTCTTATATCATACTAGTTATTTAAATTTGAAATTGGGTTTTACACATAGATTTATAGAGTGATGGGTATATGTCTAGGAAATAGAAAATGTAAGGATCTATATTGGACAAGCCCTAATTAATTCTCCAAAAAGATTATAGTCTTAGTGTGATATGAACCAAAAATTAAAAAACAAAAGCCTCTTGAACAAACTCTGCAATATATAAAATTATATTACAAAATATTTACGGAAAATACGAGTGTAGACATGAGTTTACGCACTTGAACAAACTCTAGATTCTTAGATTAAAACTAATTAAAATTGATCCAATTTGGGTTTTCTATCGACTCAGACATTGATATGATCAACCAACAAGGAAAAAGAAAAAAACCCCTAATAGCTTGCATGCATGGACATCTGTTTGAGCATATATATATATATATATATATATATAAATAGGAGATTGTAAATACTTAATTGAAAAGCCTAACTAACAGGAAAAAACTAAAATATATATGATTGAAGATCATTGAAACAAACCATTGGTGGTTGACAAGAGCACCAAAATGAGGACGAAACAAGGGATTGTAAAGTTAGCCATGGATTTTTTTTTCTAGAATTCACTTCACTTGTTCTGCTAAAAAGTTGTGACGATATGCGATTTATATAGAGCGTCAAAATATATAGTCATAAATATATAATTATGTTCAAATTATATAAGGTATTTTTAAGGAATTAATTGAGCTTAATTACGTTGTTACAAATGCTACAAATATATGGTCTTCAATCACGTCGGCTGCAAAACTAGGAAAGGAAACGCATACTTTCTTTCTTTTATGGGGTTTTTATTATTATTTCAAAATCAATTATCTTTCCTTTCAAGATACATACTAGTTATTCCTGCTAGTACGATACTTCCCCTTAGGATAGGATCATTTTGTTCATCATTTTTGTTCTCGTAATTTGCTTCACAATAAAGTTTCCGGTTCTTCTATCAAAAGTAGAAAAAGAAAAAAAAACCAAATCAAGCAGAAATTATATCTTTTCCAACTCTTCTTCTAATAGATATTTGGTACCAAAGCAGAAATTATACCAAATAGATATTTCAAATCCCAAACAACCATTGAACTAAAGCAGAAAATAATACCAAAGCAGAAATTATTCAACTAAAGAAGGGTACATATGCTTTTCCAAATTTCAATTTGCAATATTGATAAATAGTTGTTTTGGATTATTGAAAATTGAAATTTTAAGAATTTATGTGTTTCGCATCAACTAAGTGAGAATTGGATTGGCTCTAGTTTGGTTGTATTTATGTGTTTTGTAATTTCTTGCTCTGCTGCTTGTTATTTTTGTTCTTCTTCTTGGAATTTTTAATAAATTTCATTACTTAATTATGTTGAATTTAATTTTCCAGATTGTTTGGTTTGTTTATCTCTTTAAAACTGAAATTATTTTGTGTATTTATTATATATATGAATTTATTATGTTATATAAGTGTTAATATCCATTTGATTGGGTTTTAATTTCGTGTTATTGCTGTGGTCTTATAATTGCTTTTAATATCATTTCCATACAGCTGGCATTTAAATATTTGAGTCCAAAAATTATTTGTGTCAGTTTTGGTTCACCAATCTATTTTGCACATTCAATATTTCCTAAGAATCAACTTAGTGCTCGTTTGACATTTCTTATTTGGGGTGATAAGTGATTTTTAAAAAAATTTGGGAAGCCCAGTCCGTTTGGTAAACTAGAAAAAATAACTTATTGTTGAAAATTACATAGAATTTTAAAATGACGGAATTTAGATTTCCATAATTTCAATTTCTGGCAATTGAAGATTTCAATGTTTGGATTTATGCATGTTGAATTTTGTAAATGACGGAATTTTGTAAATAGCACCATGGAAATTGTGAAATGATGCCTATATCGGTGGAAATTAAACTCGGGAATTTGATGCCCTAATTTCCACAGTTTTTTCCTCACGTCATTTAATAAATTCCACGCTTAATTTGCCAAACAAGCAAATTCTGAGTTATTTTTCGTTATCCAAACGAAGGGTAAGAGAAAGCAACTAATGACGTGCTTTCATTTTCTGATTATGCGGGACTCAGTTTCGAAGAAATGCTAGGTTTAATGATTATGCGGGAATCATTTTCTAATTATGTGGGAATTAGTACCAACAACACTTATAACAAAAAGTTTACCAAACGCCAAACTGCTTTCCCTCACAGCTGATTTCTCTCACAGCAAATCTGACAGCGATTATTTTCACTGCATAGTAATGCCAAACTGGCCCTTAGTGAATTCCCATCTCCCGCTATTTTTTGAGCTAAGAACTAGTACATAGATTAGGTCAAAATGTACCAAACTGTCGGCAATAATTGGCCAAATTCGATACAAATGTTTCAGTTTTTTTTTATAACAAGTGAAATATGTTTAAACAAGGTGAGATGGTTTATAGTTGGCTTGTAAGTTTCATTAGACGTGGGTTAGGCCAGTTGACAAATGCAGTGAGCCTATTCCTTTGTACTGAACTTTAATTTAGAATAGTCTATTGCTTGTATTTAAAATTAAAAAAAAACCTCTTAAGTTTGATGCAAATTGCTACTAGGTCCAGATGCTGCTTCAATTTGGTTTGTTTAATTTGTCAAAAGCAGCCCATAGGGAAGCTGCCAGTCCAAGACGCAGCGTTTTGCGTGCTGTTTTATTTTGTTGCAACGTGCCACGGAACGAGAGAGGCTGGGTGGGCCTCCTAATTTAAGCAGCATCTGGACCTAGTAGCAATTTGCATCAAACTTAAAGTGCCACAATTAACTAATTTTCCGTTTGGTTCCACAGAAAGAAACTAAAGCAAAATTTAGAAAATCAATTATAATAAACCAAAACTACGGTTTTGAAGCCTGTTTATGATTCACTTATATATATTCTTAATGCTTCTTTCATTGTTTGTTCATATATGTATCTATGTGTTTGTATTTCAGTTGTTATTATGACTTACTCTTGCTAGTTTTGTGTGAAAATTGTTGTTGCTAAAATATGAAAACTATAAGAGAATATTTGTTTGTGGGAATTTTCTGTGTATTCTTCTTCTTGTAGGAAGTCATATTTATAATACAATGAAACCTGAATGGACAAGTAAATAATAAATTTCTAAATCTATTTATAGTAGGAAATCATGAATTAAAGTAAATCAATTACAATTATAATAGGAATTCTTGGTGTCTAAGGAAAGTAAGTCAATATCCATAAGTTACGCCAACACTCCCCCTCACATTGGTGCATAGATGTTGCTAATGCCCAACTAATCCAGTGAATTGTGGAATGCTTTACTGGAAATCGTCTTTGTCAAAATATCTGCCAATTGATCCTCGGATTTCACAAAAGGAAACTGAAACACTTTAGCCTCAAGCTTCTGTTTGATGAAGTGTTGATCCATCTCAACATGTTTAGTACGATCATGCTGAACTGGATTCTGTGCAATGGCTATAGCAGCCTTGTTGTTACAAAAGAGATTCATTGTGAATGTAGGTTTATACCCAAGTTCAATAAGCAAATTTCTTAAACAAAGAAATTCACAAATCCCTTTAGTAACTCGGCTTCTGCACTGGATAAAGCTACTACATTCTGTTTCTTGCTCCTCCATGTCACCAAATTACCTCCAACGAATGTGAAGTAACTCGATGTGGATTTTCTATCTGTTACATTACCTACCCAATCTGCATATGAATAACCATCAATATTTAGATGACCATGCTTTGAGAACATAAGTCCTTTTCCAGGTGCAGACTTCAAATATCTAAGTATCCGAAGAACTGCATTCATGTGGTCTTCACTTGGAGAGTGCATAAATTGACTGACAACGCTCACCGCATAAGCAATGTCTGGTCGAGTATGTGACAAATAGATCAATCTTTCCACTAACCTTTGGTATCTTTCTTTGTTAGTTGGAACTTGATCCGGATATTCTCCAATATGATGATTCTAAACAATAGGAGTGTCTGCAGGTTTGCAATCTAGCATTCCTGTGTCTGTCAACAAGTCCAAGACATATTTCATTTGAGAGAGAAATATGCCTTGCTGCGATTGAGCCACCTCAATTCCCAAGAAATACTTGAGTCCACCTAGATCATTCATCTCAAACTCAATAGCCAAATAGTCTTGTAGCTGTGATATTTCTTGTTTATCATTCCTAGTAATAATCATATCATCAACATAGATTATTAATGATGTTACCTTCCTTTTCCGATGTTTCAAGAATAGAGTATGATCTGAGTTGCACTGTTTGAAACCATTGTTCTTCATTGCCATGGTGAACCGTCCAAACCATGCACGTGGTGACTGTTTCAATCCATACAATGCTTTTCGTAACCTGCAAATTGTTCAAGTCTGAGTAGTATTATATCCAGGAGGAATGTCCAAGTACACCTTCTCCGTGAGTTCGCCATGTAGAAAAGCATTCTTTACATCAAACTGGTGTAGTGGCAAATCCAAATTAGCTGCAAGGGACAATAAGACTCTGACGGTGTTTAACTTTGCAACTGGAGCAAAGGTTTCTTCATAGTCTATACTATAGGTTTGTGTGTACCTTTTTGCCACAAGTCTTGCCTTGTATCGCTCGATAGATCCATCTGCATTGCGTTTTATAGTAAACACCCATCTACATTTGATATTCTTTTTTCCTCGTGATATAATCTCCAATGTCCAAGTCTGATTTTTCTTAAGAGCTTTCATGTCTTCTTTTATAGCTTGGACCCACTTAGGATATTTCAATGCTTCAGAGACCTTGGTTGGAATACGCATAGCAGACAATTGGTGCACAAAAGCCTTGAGTGGTTCAGACAGCTTCTCAGTGGATACATGATTTGCAATTGGATACTTGGATGTCTTGCCAATATCAGGTGAATAACGGTTTGGTGGCTTCCCATGATTTTTCCTGAAAGGTAATTGATATCCAATAGTTTTATCATCTAAATGCACAAGTCTAGTAGGAGTAGTTACCTCAAGGATATTCTTAGGAGATTGGTCTGTTGGTACTATTGAGTTAGAGGGGGGTCTTCATCTTGTTGTTCTGTATTTCTGTAGGTGTGAGACTCATATCAGAAATATCTTCGCATGAATCAGGTGGGTCAGGCAATTGATCGCTATGAATGGGCGATTGATCGTATTTCGGCAGAGAGTAATCTCGTGCTCCAGACTCGGGACAATTGATCATTTCTGTACAGAGGAGAATTTCTTCGTTTTCCAAGTTGCTCTAATTCTGCTCTTCACTTCGTATCTCCCCCTGAAGCATAGAATTGGATGATGGGTCAAGAAAGAACAGCTCAGATTATAGAAAGGTCACATCCAAAGTGACATAGGTACGTCGGGTAGAAGGGTGATAACAATGGTAGCATTTCTGATGAGTGGCATAACCCATAAAAACACAACGAAGCACACATGGATCAAGTTTGCTATGTTGATTTTTGTGGAGATGAACGAAAGCCACACATCCAAAGATTCGGGGTGTGAGTACCAAAACAGAGGGCAGAGGTCTGTGTTGCGCAAGCACTTATAAGGGAGTTTTAAAGGTCAATACACCAAAAGGCATGCGGTTGATCAGGTGAACTGCAGTGACAATAGCATCATCCCAGTGATGGCGAGGAACATGAGCGCCAATCAGAAGTGCGCGGGCGGTTTCAAGAAGATGTCGATTCTTTCTTTCAACAACACAATTTTGTTGCAGTGTCTGAGGACAAGTCGTCTCATGGATAATTCCATGTTGTTGGAAGTAAGTCTGAAAGTCATGATTGAAAAATTCTCCACCATGGTCTGAGCGAAGAATCTGGATTTGAGCATTAAACTGAGTTTTTATCTGTTTGTGGAAGGACTGAAAACAGAAAAACACTTCTTTTTTATTCTTCAGCAAATAAAGCCATGTCATCCGTGTACAATAATCTATGAATGTGACAAATCATCGAACACCAGAAGGAGTAATAATAGGTGAAAGTCCCCAGACATCAGAGTGAATTAACGTAAATGGAGTAGTACATTGGTCCGTACTCAACGGGTAGAGCATATGGTGACTCTTGGCCAAAATAAAAGTATCACTTGTGAAGTCAGAGTCCTTGAAACCTGAGAATAAATCTGGTATAAGATGCTTCATATAACTAAAAGTCGGATGTCCCAATCAACGGTGCCACAACCAGATTTGCTTTTGTTTGCTATTAAAGGGATGCGTCATATTGTTAGCCACGCCGAGACTGAAGTCATCGACATAATATAGGCCCCCTTTCTTAGTACCACGACTGAGAATCTCCTTAGTGTGAATATGTTTAAGCAAACAAAAACTCAGGTAAATGAGTACACAACAATTCAATTGTTCAGTAAGCTGACTAACTGACATCAATTTAGTGGATAAAGATTAAACAAGTAAAGTATTAGACAGTGAGAGAGAGGATGAGAGTGCAACAGTGCTAGCCCCTGTCACAGGACAAGTAAGTCCATTGGCATTTGCAATACAAGTTCGTCGAGGTTGTGTAGTATTCAGAAAATCATTAGGATCAAATGTCATATGATCAGTTGCACCGGAATCAATTATTCAGCTCATGGAATCAATCTTATCGGAAGTATGGAATCCAAAACCAGTACCATTATTGTTCGTATTGCGTTGTCTTTGATCTTTAAGAGTAGCCCACCAATCGGGGTAGCCATGCAATTTAAAACAAGTCTCACGAGTGTGTCTTGGATCACCACAATATGCGCAATCTGGTCCATGTGTCGGGATCGTTAGTCGAGAAGTCATAATTTGTGCAGCGGAAGAGGCATAGGATACATGTTTAGTAGGAATTCGGATTGGATCTGATCTTGAGTCGGGCTGGAGTCAGAGTCGAAGCCAGGATCGGGGTTTGAATCAGAGACAAATTCGGGGTCGGGGTCATCATCAGAGTGGGGGTCAGGGTCGTTGTCGGAGTCGGGGTCGTCGGAGTCGTCATAGTTGGGGTTGTCAAAATAGGATCCTGATTCCGGATCTGGTTCGGGGTCATCAAAATGTTGGCTGCGCAAATCTCACGCCCTGGTGCTCCGGGCCGAGGGGATGTGCGTTAACACGTGACGTCCTTCTTTTAGATGCGGTGCTGTTGTGCGCGGGCGTGCCAACACGGTCTACCGTGCGTCAAGATGGTGATGAGGTTTGGGTAAAAGATGGTTAAATGATGCGCCTGTTTTGAGTTCGACTCCTAATCAAACGATTGTGGCCGAGAGAGGAACTGATCTCGGCTGTCAGGTTCACGGCTTGAGCTACAAGGCCGTTTAGTGGTGGTGTTGGTGGCGGGTTTTAGGCGGTGCTCCGACGCGTTGCTCAGAGAGCGACGGTCGTATGATATATGGGGTGAATGAGATGATAACAGAGATGGTGCTCCGGCGCCTTGAAAATCAAGGGTCGTATGATATATTGATAAATGAATTTTCCTTACAATCTACCACTACTCCTAGGAAAGCAAATAAAGGTATTGAAAGTGCATTACAGGAAAATATAATTTGCTCCGTGGGAGGCTTTTGGTTTGGTGTTTGAACCCTTTGAATGTAGTTTTGAGCTTAGTATTTATAGGAGAAGTCCTGGAGGGACAATCGAGGCTGAAAAGATCTGTGTGGTGGAGCCTGATCGGGGCAAGTGGGTAGTCAAATCGGCATTTGGGATCGTGAAGCATGGTGGTGTGACCCCCATAAATCCCTGTAAATCTCGGCCATTGCCCTGATCGTGGGTTCTACTCCCTTGGCCGTGGGAACGCATTTAATGCCCTGGTCTGGTGGTTGGTGATCTGACCTCAAGTTGTAAGAATACTTGTGAGAATGTTTGCGCCTAACCACTCTGATATCCATCACAAAATCCTGACTTCAGTCACTTCCTTTCTTCCCTCGTGCATTAAATGCTTCTTGCGACTAGTGGGTTTGCTGCGATAGTCAGAGGCATTACTTCATTAAATGGGGCGTGGGACCCTGAGGCCACGTGGCGATTTAACCACAGTATCTTCGACCGTGTCTTTTACGGCCTTCGGCTTCGGCCTATAATATCGCGGTCGCGAGGCCGAGAGGATTATGCCTTTGCAGCTTTTCTTTTGTTTTCAGGAAGGCGAAATACCTAACGAAACGTGGCCGTTTCAGTTCATGAGTAGATGCTAGGGCCGAGAGGAAATCCCTTCAGTCAGTTTATGACAGTGATTTATTAGGCACAAACACAAAATATGATCTTGATTCAGGATCAGATTTGGGGCCAAAGTCTGCATCTGTAGGAGCTGAGCCATCTGGGCACTCAACTCGGCTATAGTTGGTTGAGAAGGAGAGAAGGAGTCGGTGGTGCTACATCCATGAGGGTTGAAAAAATCATCAACCCCCATAGCGGCGACGGGGGTTTGAAACTAGAGTCAGCAATTCCAATATTGCCGCTCTGATACCATGCTAAAATATGAAAACTATGAGAGAATATTTGTTTGTGGGAATTTTCTGTGTATTCTTCTCCTTGTAGGAGGTCATATTTATAGTACAAAGAAACCTGAATGGACAAGTAAATAATAAATTCCTAAATCTATTTACCGTACGAAATCAGGAATTAAAGTAAATCAATTACAATTATAATATGAATTCTTGGTGTGTAAGAAAAGTAAGTCAATATCCACAAGTCACGCCAACAGTCGTGTGGTTACAATGCACACCAACACTAGGATACATGCATGCATGGTATAATTGAATGGAAGTACGGTATACTGGAAAATAGAATTCCTTTTTTTTAAAAACCCTTTTGAAAGTGATCAAATCCTAATCCCTGGATACGATAAATGCTCTGAGTTATCAAAGGTAAAAGTAGCAGCATTCTCGTTGAAAATGGACTCTGCGTCTGCGTGGTTGTAAGTCCTTGTCTGTAGTATTAACATGAAACATTTTGTTCCTTTAGCTATTAGTTAACGTTAATTATTACATTTCATAATCTTCATTCCCCTGTTACTTAGGTGCTCTGATTGAGATTGGTAGAGGGTGTTTCTGCAGCCATGTCTGCGACCAAGATTCGGACAAGTTGCTTCTCTCCCAACTTTGCAGCTGTAAACTCACCTCAAATCCCTGGACTCAAGCGTGGTCCTAATGGCACAATGTTCATTTCATCTGGGATACTGGACCTTGACAGTAATCTTCTGTCACTAATAGTTTATCGGGAATAGTTAAACCAAGCTGAGGTGATTAAATTGGAAATTTTTTAATTTTTTATTATTATTGTACCTTTTTTTATTTATTATTTGTAGAAGTTTTATAAGGTTGTCTTTGGTTTGTAGAGATTTTAGGTGGTGGGCTTTCCCTGGGAAGCCTAGTCACGGAGATGGAAGATGCAGAAGTACCTCATCATATGCTTTTGATTAGAAATTTTATGTCTCAATGACTCGTACAACCAACCCCTTCTCTATGCAAGCCCATCCTAGGACCCAAGACAGTTTCTCGGTACTTTGCCTTGTCCAGCGTTAGCCAAAGATGATAAGTCCAGTCATCGAGATCCTGATCAGGTTGTTCTCTTCTTCCATTCTTCTCTCCATGTATTTGTTCAATAATTCTGTTTGTAGGGTGAACATTAGGAAATTTATAATTTCTTTCACTAATTTTCAGGAGAAAGGGTTTAGAATAGCTTGGCAATATAAGAAGTATTTTTGGGAAAATCAGCAGAGTTTTGATAGTCAAGGTGGCAAGTTTGTCCTTATTTTATTTAGTATGAGATATGCCTCATTCGCTCATAACTGGTTTAGATTTCAAGAGCGGTTTGTTATGTTGTCGTTGTCCAAATAGAAAACATGAGTTCTGCAACGAATTTGATTTTCGGAAGCCCTTGGAGAGGTAATTTCGAAGCGGGACGCCTATTGATTGCGTTAGCATTCAAAGAGTCTTCAAATCTTGTTGCTCTTCATGACCATTGCGCTACATTTTTATCTCAATTTCCAAGGTATGCTACTGTTGTCTTATGTTTTCTGCCTAGAGATTTACTTATAGGATGTGACATATCTGGTTAGTGAAATTATATGCATGCCAATTGGTTTTTCACAATGTCAAACTAGCTTTGTTCATTGTGGAGACGAATTTTCAGTGACTCTATGTCCTGTTTATGTGTGTGTGCATGTATTTTATGGTGGGACCAGTACAAATTTCATGAAATTGAATGTCTTTGGTATTCATTTTTGCAGCTTATGCGAGGAAATGAAACAATTACATTTAACCTTTTATTTCTAAGAACTGTTTATAACCTCTTTGATCTTAAAAAATCAAAGGAGATTGCCGCCAGATGCTGTAATTCTCTTAGTTTCTTTTCCCTTTTTTTAATGGTTCTTGTATATTTTAAGAAAATCTGAATTTGAGTCCTCAAGAGTTGTCATTAAGACTCCACTACTTGGCGTGTAATGAAACTAATAATCCATAAGGTATTTTGGTGGCCATGGTCATATGGTTTGTTTTCCTTTTTTTCTTTTTCTTTTTTTTCTTTTTTTTCTTTTTCGTTTCTTTTTCTCTTTTTAAGTTTGATCATACATAATCTCCTTCTTTTGGGTGAAAATACAAAACTGATGACAGCATTTCTTCTGTTGGTCGTATTGCAATTCAATCATTATGGGCTTCACAATGTGAATATTCCAACATGGTTAGTGGAAATTGTTATTTGCTCTTCAGCTTTATATTTGATTTAGCCTCTGAGTCATAACTGCTTCTTGTTTCCTCTGCTTCAGTTTTGTTGTTAGGGCTCTGAATGACTTCTCATTTCCTTGCTGTCGGTCAAAGCAATTCCAGGTTAATATCAGCTTTAACATTTGTTTTTGTGCTATCGAATATTTTGACAATAATAATCTATAATGAAACATTCATTCAGAAGAGGACAAGGAATTGGAAAAGCTCCTTACTGGTAACATGGTTGGCCTTCTGAATGTGCACAAAGTTGCAGGTATTAATACACAGGTAAGTTACCACACCCATATGAATCAAGTTTTCCGTCTCTCCTTTTTCGTTGGATGAAGTTAGCATGTGAACTTGCCATAATTGTGTAAACATGCACCTGCAAGGCCCGACCTGTTCACTCAGTCATCCTTAGAAACCATTGGTACTATAGCTTTTTCTGCTAACATTTCCATTACTATGAACTTTTGGTTGATTGTTATTCATAATTTCTAATGCGTCATCAGGTTCATGTGATTCTTGAGTCAACAACCTTCTCAATAAATTTGAAAAAGCGGAGGTTTATGGTTTTAGAATGTCTAAACCAAGTCCCTATCGATGGTTCAAGTGGAAATTCATATGGCAATTCTAGTAGTTGTTCTGTGTCCTCTATAACTGGGACGCTTGATTTTTAGCTCTCAACTTATGACATTCATTTTAGAAATGTCATCGATAAGAAATAAGATTGTTAAAGTTAAATCTAGGAATCATCCATCAGCCATGATTGCATATAACTCCGTGTGTGTTTCTACAAGATGTCTGATGAAGCAGCAGGAACAATTAGAATATAGGAAGTTTTTATTTACCAAATAAAAGTACGAAAACAAGGTGTTTGCTTTTCTCTAATTTAATACATCGCCGTTTTGCATTATTTACATCTCTCTCTCTCTCTCAAAAATTTAAAATGTTGACTTTAGTGTGTTTCCAACATCGATTACAAATCGATATTTGACATCGGATTTGGCAAGACGTTCCATGGCAGCGTTCAAATAATCAACCGGGATAACCTCAATGTCAGCTGTAACGTTGTGCTTGACTGCAAAATCAACCATCTCTTGTGTTTCCTTCATACCTCCAATCCGACTCCCAGCTACAATCTTCCTGCCTGTAATTGCACCATGTGCAAAGGGTAAGACAAAAATTATCAACAGGTAAAAGGCAGTCAACTTGTCGTTCGGAGTCAAGATAGATGCTTACCCATGAGCAAAGAAAAAGCTGGAATCTGAATATTTTTCTCTGGTGCAGTAACCATCACAAGCTTTCCATTGGACTTTAACAAACCAATTAAAGGCAAAAGAGGATGGGCGGCAAAAACCGTGTCAATGATACCATCCATTGTTCCCATGGCAGCCTACAAATTACCAAACAACTAAATCAATCTGCTGAATTAAAGTCATCATCACCGTGGCAACTTGTTCAAACAATCACCTGCATCTGATCTTGATCATGGCTAACTATAAACGAATCGGCATGAAGATGTTCAATTGCTTCCTTCTCCTTATTAGGGGAGGTGCTGATCACTGTAACCTTCACCCCCATGGCCTTGGCAAACTTCACCGCCAAGTGCCCTACTCCACCTAGGCCAACCACACCCACATGCATTCCGGGTTTGTCTAGTTCAAAATATCTCAAGGGGCTATAAGTTGTAATCCCGGCACATAAGAGAGGAGCAGCACCGTCAAGGGGAAGGTTGTCCGGAATACGAACTATGAAGTGCTCATCGACCACCATGAAGTCGGAGTAGCCTCCATATGTTGTGGTTCCGTCGTGGTACTTTTCACCATAGGTGAGTATCAGTTCGGGGCAGTAATTCTCGAAATTATTGGCACAACTATCACAAGATTGGCAAGATCCCACCATGCATCCAACACCTACCTTGTCTCCAACTTTGAATTTTTCTACTTTGCTTCCTACCTCTGTCACTACACCAATAACCTCATACCTGAATTCAATTAATCAGTTCCACATTTGGTTAGTTAAATGGACATCACAATGAATTCCACATACTAAGTTCAATAACATAAAAAGAGTGCTTCTATTTCCACCCATTTGTCTTATTTTCCCACCCACTTTATCTTCCCACCCACCATATAAATTTGAAAAAACACAATGCTATTTTTCCACCCACTATTATTCATAAAATGCCATTTAATTATTAATTCAACTAAAATAAATAAAGTAAAATATTAATAATAAATAACATAGAAGTCAAATATAAACAAGTCTCTCTCCTTCTCTCCCCACCTTATCGACCTACCCCAACCCCTGAAGCCCTCAACCCTAGCCATCATTCCCTCCCTCACCTCGTTCGGCCTCCATAATTCCCTCTCTTTACACGCATTAGATAACTCTTCTCTATATCTATTGCTTTCTCTGCTCCTTCTGAAATGGGTATTGTTGGGTCCTCCAATTTTCTGCAAACTAGAGCCTCCATTGTCTTCCTCCTCTTAGGAATTTGGATTCTAGAAGAGTGAGCTTCAATTTTTCTCAAAAAAATTCAAATTGTGGGAAATTTTTTCTTCCTGAAGGAAAAGAGAAAAATGAAAATTTCTTTCTTTTACTACTTGTTATATTTATGTGTGCCTTGACTTGGTCTTGCTTAAGAATCGAGTAAAGTTTCAAGCTTTCATGGGGGCAACATCATTTTAAGCTTTCCTTCAAGATTTGGTTCAGATACCAAAAGCCCCAACAATCTTAAATGTTTCCTAGTCTGCTGAACAAGACTCGTAAATAAGTGCTGAAGGGGAATGGTGGCTAGGGTTGCTTAGGGGGTGGCTGTAGAGATTCCAAGGATGGGTTGGGGGTGGCTTGAGAGGGGGAGACATAGGGAGAGAGAATTTGCTTTCATAAAGAAAATCTTATTTTAAGGAGAGTTCGAGGTTTTTTTCTCGAGTCCTTAAAAATAATTTTACAAATGGGTAAATTTGTTTTTAAAACTTTGATTATAAAGTGGGTGGGAAAATAGAATATGCGGGTGGAAATAGCAGCACTCCATAAAAATAATGTTAAAAAATGTTGTGCTGTTGACATTCAACCCATTAATTAGATGGATATCAACATAAGCTGAAATTAATTAATTCTTAGTCTAGTGATATTTCTACTTTCAGCATTAGAAGAGGTTGGACCTCGTTCCCACGTCTTTTATCGAGATTCCTAAAAAAAAAGTTAGTATATTTGTGAGACTTTGTACGTACCCAGGAACAATAGGATAGCTAGTAGTACCCCATTCATTTTTGACCTTGTGAAGGTCCGAATGGCATATTCCGCAGTACAAAACTCTTAAAGCCACGTCTTTCTCTCCCGTTTTCCTGCAACCAATCCCTTCAAAAACTGAGTTCATTGGAAGGAAAGATTGTACCAAAAACAAAATAAAGCATGGAGCTTACACGAGTTGAATATAATATTTTGTTTTAATTTTTGAAGAAACCAAAGAGAGACTGGTATTCCTAGAGTGAAAAGAAAGCGGCAAATAAATAATAGGATGGAGAAGATATAGAATATGTAACAACCTTCTTGAGATTTTGAAGGGAGAGAGAACGCCAGAAGAATCTGTGGCAGCCCATGCAAAGGCCTTATTTGGGTGTTCTTGCTCTGGAAATACCATTTCCATTCTCTCTCTAACAATATAATATAGTGAGAGTCTGAGGTGGGTAGAGAAGAGACTGTGAAAGTAGCAATTGCGATGTTGTTCATATATATATAGAGGATGTGGGTCCTACCTACCTCAATTTGATAGGGACTCGTTCAAAGTAAACTGCTTCATGACGCATTGGGTGAGCTAAGGATGATAGGTCAAGAGATTAATTAGACCAGAATTAAAACTCCTCACCAAATTTAAGAAGACATATTTTAATGGTTTTGGCAACTTCTTTTTAAGAAGACAAATTTTACTCGTCAAAAACATTGTGGCGACGCAAATGTGAGTTTCCTTCCTATTTTCTTCTCCCTTGTGTTAGAAGCTGCGTAAACCATAAAATACATATGCTCTTGTTGTCAATCGTCGTCGATCATGTTGTTGCCATGATAAATAGTTTTGAATGATAAAATGAATGTTCACTATAAAATGTCCTACTAAGATCTGTTCATCTCATAAATCACAATTTAAAAATCATCAATCATCATTTAACGATCATCTCTTTAAAAAATCAATCATCATTTAACGATCATCTCTTCAAAAAATCAATCGTACCTCACCTGAAAATTTGATTCCAAAATACACAAACCATTCCATTTTATTTAAAATCTATCCTGTAAGATATGCATATCTATCCTGTCACATATGCTAACAGACAGTCTGATATGTTTACACAACAGCCACAAACAACAGTTTAGACCACAAAATCGAACTTTTAATTTCGATTGCATGATGCACAACTTAAAAGGCAAGAGGCTTCAATGTATTTCTAACATCGATAACAAATCGGTATCTGACGTCCACTTTCGCGATGCGCTCCATTGCAGTGTTCACATAGTCAGTAGGTATAACCTCAACCATTTAAAAGCCAGGAGGCTTCAATGTACTTCCAACGTCGATAACAAATTGGTATCTAACGTCCACTTTCGCGAGGCGCTCCATAGCAGTGTTCACATAGTCAATAGGAATAACCTCAACCTCGGCTGTTATGTTGTGCTTGGCCACAAAATCAATCATCTCTTGTGTCTCCTTCACACCTCCAATGTTGCTACCACCTACCATCTTTCTTCCTATAATTGCAAAACAAACAGTTGTTAATACACACTCATCAAATTCTCTCAATCAAAATTATAGCTTTCTCTTGTCCAATCCAATGTTCGAACTTTGAAGTGAGTTACGCCATTTATATGCGCTTTACCCATTAGCAAAGGAAAAACAGGAAGCTCATGGGGCTTCTCTGGTGCACCAAGCACCACAAGTTTTCCGTTAGTCTTCAACAAACGAATCAAAGGCAAGGTAGGGTGAACTGCAGAAACCGTGTCGATTATACCATCCATTGTGCCCATGGCCGCCTACAAAATTAAAGTGACAAAGCATTAGATCATCCTCCTATATACATAAATGAATGTCATCAATGCAACTTGACAATACTAGCATCTGATCTTGTTCGTGGCTGACCAAAAACAAATCGGCTTTGAGACGATTAATAGCTTCCTCCTCCTTACTAGGGGAGGTACTAATCGCTGTAACCCTAACCCCCATAGCCTTGGAAAACTTCACTGCCACATGGCCTAGACCACCAAGGCCAACCACACCGACATGCATGCCGGGTTTGTCAAGGCCATAATATCTCAAGGGGCTGTAGGTTGTAATCCCGACACAAAGGAGAGGAGCAGCACCTCAAGAGGCAGGTTATCCGAAATACGAATCACAAAGTGCTCATCGGCCACCATGATGTCGGAGTAACCTCCATATGTGGTGGTTCCGTCGTGGTACTTGGCACCATAGGTGAGTATAAGTCTGGGGCAGTAGTTCTCAAGATTGTTTGCACACTTATCACAAGATTGGCAAGATCCCACTAGGCACCCAACACCTACCTTGTCTCCAACTTTGTATTTTTGTACTCTACTTCCTACCTCTGTCACTGCTCCAACAATCTCATGTCTGATTTCCCATTTAAATTAAGTTAACATTTGGTTAATTACATGGTTAGCATAATCAGATATCGAAGTTGATTAGCATAACCATGTGCAGAGTATGTAGCAAAGTGTGTATGTACCCGGGAACTAGGGGATAGGTAGTAATCTTGAAATTGGTACTTAGGTGACGAGGGGTAAATTTTACTATACAAACAAGACGCAACAACCTTCACACACTTTAGACCTTGACCAAAAACACTTATGACTAGTCAACTGCTAGTCATGAACAACCACAATCAAGAATACACACAGAGCATGCCACAATGTACCTGCAACCCTAGAAAATTATTAGTGACAACCTAGGCACTCAGAAGGACTAGTCAATTTAGGCATCCCATTTGCTAGCAACAACTATGGTAAAAGTGTGTGAAATCATCATGATCAAGTAAACACCAAACAGTAGATAATGATGACTAGTCAACTACAAAAACACATACCCAGAATTTTATACGATGACTAGTCAACCACCAAGAACACAAACTCAGAAAAATTTCAGAGATGCAAATCAGAAATTGTTCACCCAGAAACCCACCATTGGGAAAAACTGGGGGTCATCAATAGATCAGGCAATCCACTAAGTAGAAAAAGATTCTTACAAAGGAACACAAGCAAGCTCAAGAAAAACCCAGATCTATTTAGGAAGATGAGCTATACCTCCTTTGTGCAATCTTTTTCTCCAACTTAGCAAAGCTTGAAGCTCAGTTATTCATGGCAATGGCAGCTCCTTCTCCAGCTTATTCATTCTATGGCACCAGCTTGCAAGCTCTAACTCAATCAGAAACCAAAATTTGGATTCAAAGGAGAATGGCCAATTTCTTCAAGAAACCATACTCTTGAAGAAATCAGTCTTGAATCTGATCTAGATATAAATGAGATAGTGTTTTAAGTAGCTAGATGCAGATTCGAATTTCAAATGCAGTTTTTCAAAGAGACATATGGCAGTAGAGAGAGAAAGGATAATAGGACAAAAAAGTTGGTTATCCAGCTGAAAATCCTATAGATCAAGGATGACTAGTCATACGAGAAACAGATGACTAGTCATCATTTTATGAAATCAATTGAATGCAATGTGATGCAATGCACAATTTACCTTGTCAATTTGTTTGAACCTCCATAGGATAGTTGTTAGTTAAGAACACCTAGAGAAGCTATTCTTAAACTAACTTGAGCTTGATAAAAACAATAAGAATCCTATTACAAAATTGTCAAGAAAAGCCAAAAGAAAAAATCCAAAAAGCATACATTAACAAATCCCCCATTCGTTCTTCACCAAGTGAAGGTTAGAATGGCATATCCCACAGTATAACACTTTGAATGCCACATCTTTCTCTCTAGTTTCTCTGCAACCAAATCACTTCAGTTTGAGACAACCAAATAAAATAAAAAAAACCAATATATCCAAGATTGAAATAAAAATGTAAATAAAATGAAACAAGATTTGAAGGAGAGAATATAACCTTCTTGAGAAATTGAAGGGAGAACACCAGATGAATCTCTGGCTGCCCATCCAAAGGCCTTCTTGGGGTGTTGCTGCTCTTGAGACTTGGCCATATTCTTTTTTCCTCTTACACTTAAAACAAACACCGACTATATGTTAGTGTTAATCAGTATATATAATGGATGTAGTGACCGAGTGACAGTCTGAGAAGCAGCAGTATTCTCAAGTGGCAGTATGAGGGAGTTTATGCACTGTCTGTGTAGCGAGGATGTGGCAGCAGGGGTTTGGTGCATGCTGCTGAGCTGAATAGGGTTCTCACATTTGTCAAATTCTTTTAGCTTTTTTTAGCTTTTGAATTCCTTTAATTTTTTTTTTTTTTTTTGCAAAAAAAAAAAAAAAAAAAAAAACCAAAAAAATTCCTTTTAGAATTTGATAATTTTAAAATTCCATAACGATGCTCCCTTAATATTCATTAGTACTCCCTCAGGTGGATCAACAAACAATTGGCTCTTCAAGAAAAATAAGGACATTCTATTTCCAATCTCTGATTTAAAAATTTCCAAACAAGGTTGATATGTGATTGTTTTTCAAACTATTGAATTGGTGGAACTGGAACCTTTGATTGGAACAAACCAAACCAAATCCTCACCTGAAACTTGATTCCGAAATCAGCAAACTTCTTCATTTATTCTTTTAGATAAGATCCATCCTATCATATTGTGCTGATAGTACCAAGAAGAGTTTACATTAAACACAACAAAAATTGAGACCACAAAATCAAATTTCGATTGCCTGTTCATCCATGATTTAGACTGGAATGCAAAATTTAAGTATACTTCAATGTGTTTCCAACGTCAATGACAAATCGGTATCTGACATCTGTTTTGGCAAGGCGCTCCATAGCAGTGTTCAAATAATCAATTGGGATAACCTCAACTTGGGCTGTTATGTTGTGCTTGGCTGCAAAATCAATCATCTCTTGTGTCTCCTTCATGCCTCCGATATTACTACCAGCTACCATCTTTCTTCCTGTAACATTTCCAGAGTAGGTGCTTGAATAAATCATCATCCAATGCAACCCCCATGATAGAAGTGAGTTATGTCATTAGGCTTACCCATTAGCAAAGGAAAAACTGGAAGCTCAAGGGGTTTCTCTGGTGCACCAACCATAACAAGCTTTCCATTAGGCTTCAACAAAACAATTGAAGGCAAGAGTGGGTGGACTGCTGAAACCGTATCGATAATGCCATCCATTGTGCCCACGGCAGCCTACCAAATTAGCAGGACAAAAGATTAATTAGATCATAATCTAGTTAAATTCACGATCAATGCTACTTGTTTAAGTAATCACCTGCATCTGTTCTTGATCAAGGCTGACCAAAAACGAATCGGCACGAAGATGTTCAATAGCTTCCTTCTTCTTATTAAGCGAGGTACTTATTACTGTAACCCTAACCCCCAGAGCCTTGGCAAACTTCACTGCCACATGTCCAAGACCACCTAGACCAACCACACCCACATGCATACCAGGTTTGTCAAGACCATAATATCTCAATGCGCTGTAGGTTGTGATCCCTGCGCATAGAAGAGGTGCAGCACCATAAAGAGGAAGGTTGTCCGGAACACGAATTACGAAGTGCTCATCGGCCACCATGAAGTCAGAGTAACCTCCATATGTGATGGTTCCGTCATGGTTCTTGGCACCGTAGGTGAGTATATATTTGGGGCAGTAATTCTCAAGATTGTTTGCACAATTATCACAAGATTGGCAGGATCCTACCACGCACCCAACTCCTACCTTGTCCCCAACTTTGAATTTTTCTACTTTTCTCCCTACCTCTGTCACTACACCAACAATCTCATGCCTACATTGCCCAATTGAGTGTGCATGCATTTCATTAGTTAAGTTAATCAAGAACTAAATTCATAGCATTAGTCCAATTCACAGAGAAATCATTTCGGTCCCGGCAGCTGCCAGTATGTCATTCTATCACAACCAAACATTCCCTGTCCCACCCGAGAGTGCCATGGGCCTCGCTTGGTTGTGCGGGTGGGTGGCTGATGCCGGACCAAAAAGAATTTCTCTAAGTATAACATTGTTAAAATTGATAGAAAATGAATGTAATTTTTTGTTAAAAGATTGTATGTTTAGTATAATGGATGGTATATGACTACATACCCGGGAACCAGAGGATAGGTAGAAGAACCCCAATCATTCTTAACCATGTGAAGATCAGTATGGCATATACCACAGTATAGCACTTTGAATGTCACATCTTTCTCACCTGTTTCTCTGCAACCAAATCAGTTCAATTTTAGACGACAAATCTAAAACTGAGATCCTGGAAAGCAAGAACTACCAACTAAATCATAAAAAAAGAAAACAAGAACCATAAACTTTTGTACTTAATCATAAAAAAAGCAGACAAATCCAAGATGAAGTGATAATGTAAATCAAAGAAACAACAATCGGATCTAGTAGTAGAGTTAATAATGTATGTACCTTCTTGAGAAATTAAAGGGAGAGAGAACACCAGATGAGTCTCTAGCAGCCCATCCAAATGCCTTCTTGGGGTGTTCATGCTCTTGAGATTTCACCATTTTTTCTCTTCTAATTTCAAACACAAATCGACTGATAGCAGAGTGAGAGTTTGTGTGAGGGACAGATTGTGAAAGTAGCAATTTACAAGTGGCACTATGAGACTTCATGCATGTGTATGTAAAGATGATGTGGCAACAGGTTTGGTGTTGAGCTGACGCATCGGGTGAGCAAATGACAGAGGGAATCTTTCTTTGCTGACCAGAAAATTTTCTTGCAAAAGTACACAGTAGTCTTCGCAGTGCCTTTAAAATCTCTTGTATTCTTTATAAAAAGCTTGACTCCTTCAAAATGAGGTGCTCGTTCTAAAAATAAATGGGATTTTGCCATTTATTAATTTCTTTTAATTTTTTCTTTTTCTAAAATAAATGCTGCTATTTTCATCTTTATTCTATTTCCCCACCCACCATATCTTTCCACCTACCATATCAATTTGAAACAACACAATCCTATCCTTCCACACTATTTTCCCACCATATTTTCCATCCTTATTCTATTATAATTAGTGATAAAGATTCTATTATTCCTAAAATATCCTTTAATTATTATTTTTAAACCCTTTAATTATTAATTCAAGCATTTTATATTTCCTAAAATACTTTTATTTGATAAAAGTTCAGTAGTTTTTTTTTGTGGCTGAATTAAGCCATTCGATTTTCACTTTTTTAAGTTGTTTTTGCTATATTTTTAAAATAACTAGCTATAGAGTAAAGCAGCTCAATGTTTGGTAAACAATATTTTAAAAGTGCAGTTAGTACAAAAAGTAGTGTCAAAACCATTTAGTAATTTTTAATATAAAACTGTTATAACTGTGAATAATAACTAAAATAGACAGAATGTTAAAAGTGTTATGCACTAATCATGTGATGGTAATGGTGGGTGAAGGTGGTGGTGAAAGAGATGAAGGTGATAGTGGAAGTGGTTGTGGTGGTGACGAAGCTAGAGGTGGTGGTTGTGGTAGTCATGGTGGTGGAGATGGTGGTTGTAGAGGTGAAGGTGGTAGTGGTGGCGGCGGCATGGTGGTGTTAGTGGAGGTGGATGTGGTGGAGGAGAAGGAGCATGTGGTGGTGCTGGCGATGGCATTTGGTGGTGGTGGTGGAGATGGTGGAGTTGCATGTGGAGGTGGAGGTAATGTCACTTTAAAAAAATTATGATGGTATTTTGGGAATTAAAATAATTCATTAAAGACTTACCTTTGCTTATTTTGAAAGCAGCTTTGAAAAGCAACTTAGAGCTTATTTTTAAAAGCTGCTGTCAAAAGGCTACTACTTTAAAAATAATATATTTTATTTTTACCAAACACTTTAAACTACTTAACTTTAAAGTGAAACAGGTTTTTAGTGATAAAAAGCAATCCTAAACGGGGCCTTACACTTTCTTCTTTTTTTCTTTTTTTTTTCTTTTTGTCAAATGGTAAAATAGGTGGGTTAAGCGAGTTTAGGTTTTTTGATTAAGTCCTTAGAAGTCATTTTATAAAGGGATAAATTTGTCTTTAAATTTTGAAAGATAAGATGGGTGAGGAAATATGAAGGTAAGTGGAAATAGCAACACTCTTCTAAAATTCTTATAACTTTTTTTTGTTTTGTTTTAGAATTTCATAAGTGTCAAAATCTCATTTGCTTTGAGGAGAGTCAAACTTTACTTTTATTTTATCCTTGACTTAATATAAAGGTAAATGCTCTTTACCCCACAAGAATTAATATTATATATGCCTAAAAAATGTCAGGTTCGTTACTAGCCCGTAAACCGAGGACAAAAGTTTATAGAGGAGACCGACCACCAAAAAAAAAAAAAAAAAAAAAAAAAAAAAAAAACCTTTAGGGGAGAGTTCTTATATGGTGCAAGTTTCATAGGGCCATAAGACTTCTGCTTCTGTTTTATTTAGGTTTATTCAGGATGTATGATGCTTCACATGTTAGTATCTTATTTTATTTATGAATATGTTTATTGGGACTTACAAATGGTATTAGAACAACTATGATCAATCTGGTGAAATTCTAGAAATTGGTTAGAAACCTATGCATATTTTAGGGTTCTGGTTCATAACCAAATTAGAATTCTTTTGGTATTGTTTGCTTGAGGATAGTTCATAGGGTATTGTTCACGATTTTTTTTTCCTCAATTTCGGATGTGAGAATGTGCCTAGCAAGGGCTTATAAGGAGTTGGGCTACTTCCCCCATTGCCAATTGGTTTTGGGATGGAACCTTCAATTCCTTCATGGGCCCAACGGCCACACGTGCTCCACGTCACCCAAAATATGTTGTCCACGTATTAGGCTTGAAAATTCGCTACACATGTGGGGGCCTGTGAGAATGTGCCTAGCAAGGGTTTATAAGGAGTTGGGCTACTCCCCCCATTGCCAATTGGTTTTGGGGTGGAACCTCCAATTCCTTCATCGGATTACTGACATTGGGTGACCGTCAGACCTTGCTGGCCCATGCCATGTTCGTGCATTTTTACATGAGTACAATAAGGCCACCAAAATCAATGCAAACCAGACAAGTCATTCTATAGTGAGGGTCTTGTCTAAAGCCTTTAGATTCGGCCTTATCTCTTAACCGTTGCATCAAACTAACTAATGTGATCCAACGATTAAAAGATAGGGTGTTAGATAAAGCCATCAAAATAGAATTCTACTATTTAACACATGCAAGTTTCATGGTCAAATAAATAAAGAGCCTTGTATTTGTAAGCCCGAAAACCTTGTTTGTATTTGTTTGTCTAGAACACTAAAATAATGGAGTAAAGAAATAAAGAGTAGAGGGGCGACTGATGAATAAGAATAGCTAGAAAATAAAAAAACACACAAGCGAAAAACAAAAGTTGTCTGGGAAGATTAAAAAATGAAACAAAAAAGTTGTCAAGCAACATTAAAAAACAGGATGATTGAGAGAAATCATACCCTGGCTTAAATTTGTGAGGCCACTGGTTTATTATGCCCTCGCTTAAACTGCACCTACTATTCATAGTCGAAGATTGTACATAGCACAAACCAAAACCTCATACGAAAAATTTAATACTGAAACAAGCAAATTAATCATTCCATGTTTATTCATTTATTCTTTTATTCGAAGTCCATCCCATCACAATATTCATCTGATGTGATAAAACCAAAACAGCTGATAGCAAACCTCAAACAATCCCTGCCATAATAAGGGATGCAAAACTTAAGAGCTAGGCTTCAATGTGTTTCCAATGTCAATGACAAAGCGATATCTAACGTCTGTTTTAGCAAGACGCTCCATTGCAGTGTTCACATAATCAATGGGGATAACTTCAATGTCAGCTGTAACGTTGTGCTTGGCCGCAAAATCAATCATCTCTTGTGTCTCCTTCATACCACCAGTGCAACTACCAGCTACTATCTTCCTTCCTAGTAAATTTCAGAATAAATAGCTCGGTAATTAATGGAGAAAAAGAGCCAAAAATATGTACATTTATACTTAAACGCAATGAGACATTGAAGGGAGTTTCATCATATGCTTACCCATCAGCAGAGGAAAAACCGGAAGCTCGGGACGCTTATCCGGTACACCAACCATAACAAGCTTTCCATGAGACTTCAACAAATCAATGTAAGGTAAGAGAGGATGGTTTGCAGAGACTGTATCAATAATACCATCCATCGTGCCCATGGCAGCCTATGCATAATGAAGCAAAATTTTTAAAAGTTGTCAGGTCATCTACTATTTTCTTTGTACGGTCTCAACTGATCATGTATTGTAATGAATCATACGGTCTCACCTGCATCTGATCTTCATCACGACTGACCAAAAACGAGTCAGCATGAAGATGTTTAATAGCTTCCTCCTCCTTTCCCGGGGAGGTGCTGATCACCGTAACCTTAACCCCCATAGCCTTGGCAAATTTCACAGCCACATGGCCTAGACCACCAAGGCCAGCAACACCTACATGCATACCGGGTTTGTCAAGTCCGAAATATCTCAAAGGGCTGTAAGTTGTAATCCCAGCGCATAGAAGAGGAGCAGCTCCATCAAGAGGTAGGTTATCTGGAATATTGACAACGAAGTGCTCATCAGCCACCATGATATCTGAGTAGCCTCCATACGTAGTCGTTCCGTCATGGTACTTGCCACCAAAGGTGGGTATCCATCTGGGGCAGTAGTTCTCAAGGTTGTTTGCACAATTATCACAAGAATGGCAAGATCCCACCATGCATCCAACACCAACCTTGTCTCCAACTTTGAATTTTTCTACTTTGCTCCCTACCTCTGTCACGACACCAACAATCTCATGCCTGCATTGCCCAATTTATTTAAGTTCACATTTTTATTGATTAAAATGGATGCCATAATCCAAATTCATAACTTTTCACATTGTTACTAAATTTTGTTTTTGAATTGATAAAAAAGTTCTCTCAATAAACATAATTTCTTTCATGCATACCCAGGAACGAGAGGATAGGTGGGAGCACCCCATTCAGTGGACTCCAATTCATTCTTGATTAGGTGAAGGTCGGAATGACATATCCCACAGTATGCGACTTTGAATGTCACGTCTTTCTCTCCCGTTTCCCTGCAACCCAAATCAACTAATTAATTTCTCCAACACACTCAAAAACTGAGAATTGCTTTTAAGTAGAGGAACGAACTTTTTGATGCTCCTAACGTATGAACCACTTAAATAGAAATGAGTTTATTTTGATTTAATAGATTTATGTATATAATATTTCATCGGAAACTAGCAGAGACAAATACTTAGTTATATAATTCCACGACGAATAAAACGATAAATCGAACAAGAATTGAATAAAGAAGATGACTGATAATGTACCTTCTTGAGAAATTGAAAAGAGAGAGAACACCAGATGAATCTCTGGCGGCCCATCCAAAGGCCTTCTTGGGATGTTCTTGTTCTGCTGACATTTTCTCTCTAATAAGGAAATAATATTTGCAGGCACCAAGTAATAGTACTCTGAATTAGTATGAGAGTCTGAGGGAGTGCATGCATGATATATAGCAGGGGAATTTGGTGTAGGCTGACGTACTGGGTGAGCCAATTTGAGGTCTCTTTCGAATTAACTAAATTTTGTTGGCTGACCGGACAACTTCCTCGGATAAAAGTACACTGATGATGTCGTCACAATGCGTAAGAGCTTACCTACAGATGTTTGCTGTCGTTATCATGGAAAGAGGAATACGTTGACAATAACCATGCCTATGTGGGTGTGCTTGGTCAACAAGTATATGCTCCTGCTAGAAAATGCCGTTTATACCATGCCCCACACCTCGATCCATTCTCTCCAAATAATTATTTAAAATAAAGGAGCAATAATCACACTTTTATAGTAACCAAATTAAGTTTTTTTCTTTTGTCTGAACCAAATTAAGTTTGGTAACATGGGAAGGTTGGAATTGAACTCCTCACCATTATTGGTGACATTCAAATTGAATATAATAAATATAAAATTAAAAAGTAATATAATATAGTGTATCCTACACAAAGTGTACCCAACTAAAGCCAAGGAGATGTATGCCGATACTATTGTTATGTGCTGGCAAGATAGCAACCATCCATCAGTCCAACTACCTACAAGTTGCAATTCTAGAGGACAACTCCCTCTTTTTTTGGCTCTCCCTTTCTCTCTCTCACTCTGGTCTATGCCGCTTCTCTTCATCTTCCCTTTCTTTCTCTCTGGTCTCTGTGATTCTCTCATCTTCTCTCTCTCTCTCTTCCTTTTCTCTCTGGTTTCTCTCTCCCTCTCTTCATCTTCCCCCCTCTCTCTTTCTCTTGAACAAAATCTCTAGATCTGGATCTAAAGTCGTTTTCAGAACTGCAATATGGATTCCATCACCGTCATATGGTTTCTTTGATCTTATAAACATCACAGCCGCGACTAACAATTTCTCTTTCCAGAACAAGCGGATTTGGTTCTGTCTATAAGGTAGCCGCTCTCAGAATCATTTCACTTTTTTGTGTTGTCATGCATTATTTGATTTCTAATAGTTTCCTCAAAAGAATATGAGTGAAGTTTGGATTATAATTTCAGAGTGTGCTTTACAATGGATAGGAAATAGCAGCGATAAGGCTGTCAAGATGAACAGAAGATCATATGAATACTTGAAAAACACAGAGCGCTTTTGAATTGGACAAGATGCTTCGAAATAATCTGTGGGATTGCTACTATGGTGATCTTATATCTTCATCAATATTCAAGATTAAGAATCATTCACAGGGATCTAAAAACAAGTAATGTTCTACTAGATGCTTCTATGTACCCCAAAATTGCAGATTTTGGTATGGCTAGGATATTTAGGGGAGATCAAAATGAAAATAAAACAAATTGTGTGGTTGGGACACAAGGGAGATGGAGATGGTGTTGCTGCCGGCGAAGTGGTGGTTTGGTTGACGGTGTTTTTGTTTGGGGGGGGGGCGGGTGGCGCGTGGTTGGTGGGAGGGGCTGTTTGGAGTTGGGAGGGTTTGGGATGTTGGTGGTTTAAGGGTGATTGGACATGACAAAATAATAAAAGACGTATTGCCTGAACAACAATAGTGACAAACTCGTGTCACGAATGGTTTATTATGGTAACAAACATCAAAAGTCACTGCCACATATGTAACACACTGATTAATTGTTACTGCATGGGTGACTAAAGTTAGTCACGAATAAAGGTGACTAATCGTTGATATGAGTCTCCTAATTAATCAAGGAGATTTATTTCCTTGATTAATTAAGAGATTTACTTTCTTATTCTATATAGTTGACAAATCATTATATAATTAGGAGATACTGCCCTAATTGATTATTGTATTTATTTTCTTGTAAATCACTCATGTAAACTCCTATATATACCTTTTTATAGAGAAGAATAAAACACAACCTAAAATATTCAAACCATATTCATATTTTAGGATAGTATCAGAGCAATCAATTCTAGGTTATCTTTAAACCTTCATATTAAATTTCGCATATTCAAACCCAAACCCTAAATCAAATTCCTCATATTTTAAATTCCCCAAATCCAAATCCCTCAAATCTAAATTCCTTAAATCCTCTTATCAAAATCCCTAAACACATATCCTCAAATCTTATTCACATACCTCTCAAATCTAGTTCCTAAATCAATTCATACATCAAATATTCCTCAAATCACATTCCTCCAATCAAATTGCTCCCATTCTCATATCACATTTTACTTCCGCTATGATGTCAGGAACCCCTACGATTCTCTCCCTTATTGCAGACTCACAGAAGCATGCAATCCTGCTAACTCGGCTACCCGGACTCGTGCTTCTATCGCCACTACCAAATGTTCTGTTTTTTATACGTCCTCTCAAAAAGCCATATGGATTATTGACTCGAGTGCTACAGATCACATGACATTTAATCATGGCCAACTTATTAGTCTCAAATCATCCACTCTGTCGGTAGTGTCTAATGCTAATGGTACCCCTTCCCCTGTGGTTGGGGAGGGCTCTCTATCTCTCTCTACTTCCCTACATATGGATTCTGTATTGCTTGTTCCGTCATTGGACCATAACTTGTTGTCTATTGCACAACTTACTACTACTTTGGGGTGTACTATAACGTTTTGGCCGAATCATTATGTTTTTCAGGACATCATCATGGGAAAGACGGTTGGTTGTGGTACTTGGTGGGGCAAACTCTACTACTTGGACTAGGCACCGGATAGTGAGACCAAAGTTGGTCAAGCTTTCACAACTAGTGGAACTCGTTCTGAGGGGGAGAGTGACAAAGTTTGGTTATGGCATAAACCTCTTGGGCATGCCTCGTTCGGTTATCTTAAGAAGTTGTTTCCATCATTATTTTCCAGTCTTGATGTTTCCAGCTTCCAATATGATACGTGTGAATTGGCTAAAAGCCATTGTGTCCCGTTCCCATTGAGTTCAAATAAGAGTTTGGTTCCGTTTTCTCTTTTTCATTCTGATGTTTGAGGACCTGCTAAAATTGACACTCCAACAGGAGCTAAATAGTTTGTCACGTTTATAGATGATTGCACACGCATGACTTGGGTTTCTCTTCTCAAAACTAAAGGGGAAGTCAGTTCTAGGTTTCAACATTTCCATCAAATGGTAGAGACTCAGTTTCATGCTAGAATTCAAGTTCTTCGTTCTGACAATGGCGGAGAATTTCTTAACCATGATATTAACCAGTTCTTACAAGATTATAGCATCATACATCAACGCTCATGTCCATATACTCCCCAACAGAATGGAGTGGCTAAAAGAAAGAACATACATTTATTGGAAGTAGTCTGTGCCTTTCTCTTTGGTGCCAATATGCCACGATCTTTTTGGGGGCGAAGCTGTTGTCTCTGCAGCATACCTCATCAATTGAATTCCCTCTAGTATCCTAAATTTTCAAACACTACTTCAAACATTTCACCACTATATCCAAACACCTACCACCCCAAACTTGGAACCCCGAATTTTCGGCTGTGTTGTATTTGTCCACTTACATGATCACCAAAGAAGCATATTGGATCCCTGAGCCGATAAGTGTGTTTTCATTGGTTATGCACCTCATCAGAAAGGATACCGGTGTTATCATCCTCCAAGTCAGAAGGTTTTTACCACTTTGGAATCTGAGCCAGACCCTGTGCGTGTTCGACACCTGGCGGGTGTCGGGCACATTGACCTAATTGCCCTTCTTTTCAAAAATTAACTTCCTTTGAGGTTTGACTTCTACCGAAAATTCAACAGAGTCTCACCTGTAATTTGTTCTTTCCCCAAAATTTACACCTGTCAACAAGCATTTAACTATATACACGAACTACCAATATATAGATAAATACGTTCCAACAGTTAAATACGTCTTAGGGCAATATCAGAGCAACTATATAGATCAATTTGTGAATCAAGAAACCCTACGTCAAATTGAGGAAGTGCAGGAAGCGGAAACTGCCCTGTGATGGCTCACTGATGCACGTCTACTGCCTGGTGGCGCAAAACATTGAAAATGTGAGTGGACCAAAGACAAAGTTTAGAAAATACATAGGAACATGCTAACCCCTCTGTAAAAACAGTTATACAAAACTGAATCATCCTCTTTCTTATATTCGTATTTAAATCAATGCATTCCTATATATATATATATATATATACATACACATACATACATATATACAAATCATACTCATGGTCAATAAAACTCTCCTAAAAGCACTAAAATCAATTTAAAACTACCACCTAGGTGTACCCCTTTATTTCCGTCAATTCCTGATATCCGTCAATTCCTTATGTGTCGTCAATTCCTCATATACCATCAATTCCTCGTATCACCATTGGTGTCACGCTCTCGCAGGTCTCGGTGACACAAGGTCAACCCGAGCAGCAAACTCGCAGGATTCAGGGGACATAAGTCAGCCTGATCCGCATAACTCGCTCCGCATGAGTTCGGGTACCATAGAACTCGTGGGGCAACTGTCAAGCATGCTGACTAAACCGAAGGCAACCAATAAAGTCCGAAGGCAACCAATTTATCTCTAGGTACCTAAGGTGGCTTTAGAAAACATAAAACTCTGAAAAATCTGATGAATAACTGAATTTCTGTTAAATCCAGAAATCTGCTGCCATTAATCTGATATTTAGGTAGAATTTCCTTTTCCTGTATCCATAAAGGATATCTTTCGCAGTAGCATGTAAATTAAAATATTTACTTGCATATATCAAATCATGAAAACACTAATCTTTGAATAAAACTTATTCAAGATCAAATACTGTAACTGAATTGCATAAATTCCTTTATGAAAACAAAGAGTCCACTCACTGCTGGTCCGTGCTCGCTGGACCTCTTGAAGGTCCCTCATGCATGTCAACTGGTGCCCGGGTGCCTGATTCAATTACATAATATTCGATTAATATACTTACTCAAAATAATGTTAAATTAAAAACCCTGACCCTAGGCTCCTAGAAGTGCATGCATCAAATCAAAGTTATTCCTATACCCACATTAACGTCCCTTTATACCTAGGACACATGTTCTGTGAGTCTGGTCTCGATCGGACAGTTAGATTGATCATGATCGCACGATCAAACGGTTCCTAAAACCTTAACCCTAGGGTTCGCGATTCAGGAGTATCCGGGACTTCGATTCACGATCCGTCGAATCCTAAACGATGCTGGAATGGTCTAAATTAACATATCTGAAAATGATTATGATCCAACGGCTCAACTGTATTGAACTCAGAAATCACACAATATGAGAGATCCGTTCGGGGTTCAAACGTTGTCCGAATTAAGATCCACGAATTCCTACATGCTCGTGACCACACAAGAATCATTCTAGGGTTGAATGTGGTCTCCACCAGACTGCCCATGCGCCGCCACACGTGCTGGCAGTGCATGAATAACCCAAGCGATAATGCTTCGCAAGAAAATCTCAGAATTATGGTTCAAGACTCCTATCCTAGGTGTAACACCCTATTTGGAACCACTTTTGTTTTTGGACCTACCCCGAAAAGTGGCAGGAAGTGGACGGAATTGCAATCTCAAGACCGGCTGAATTTCAATTTGAAAATCGAAGAGTTTACGCCAAAAATTTCTGAAATCCTACCCAACAAGCAGCTAGAGCGTGGAAAATAGCTAGAAATCCATACCTCACTCGTCCGATTTAGTGGCCGGATGACGGAGATCAACGGCCATGAATTTTCGAACGAAAATCAACGATTTTCGTGGTTTTCCAGCGGCATCAGGATGGCAGCAGGTGTCGGCGTGGGCTGAGGTGGACGGCGGAAGCTGGCCGGTGCAATCAGGTCCTGTCCTGTGGGTTGTGACCACGGCTGGTGGTTATGGAGGTTTGGCTAGGGGAGGACGCACGGAAGGGAGCTGCGGGGAGAGAGAAGAGAGACTGAGGAAGAAGAGAGAGAAAATGGGGTTTTAAAATGCTAACTTTGAAAATTACTATTTTGCCCATCTACGTATTTTGACCGTATGTTCTTCGTTATAACTCCGCTTCGAGCCCACCATGTGTCTACGAACTCGTTTCGTCATGCTCTACGCAATGATACATGCAAAATTTCCAAATTCTTTTCCGATCAAAAAGTCAACTATTTCTTTATTAATTAGTCCAAGGGCAAAATTGTCCTTCCACTTAATAGTTTAATAATTAAATATTAACTAAGGTTTGGGTATTACATGGAAAGTAACCTGTCAACCCCCCTTAGTTCTTCAAATATGGAGAACTTGCTTCAAAATGACCTGTCACCAGCAGACAACGACGGGTCGCCAGAGGAAACTGATCAGTTGTCTCCATACTATCAAAATCAGGATGAGGAAATTGAACCGTTTTATGAGATTTTGTCTGCTTCAGCTCCAATACCACACCAATCACTTGTTGAGGAAGTCATTCAGGTAACATCTTTCCTTGAAACTGATAACACTAATGAAATATCAGATGATGATTTGATTACAGAAGGAACTGATCCTACATATCAGCTTCCATAAAGGAATAACCGTGGCAAACCTCGAGTACAATATGAAGCAGATCTTAAAGCCGAAAGGAAATACCCAATCAATAATTATATATCTCTCAGCAGATTATTAGAGTCACATATGCACTATGTTAAGTAGTTGGCTGACATATCTATCCCCCAACAGTGTAACTGAAGCACTAGAAGACCTAAAATGGAAAGAAGCCATGAATGAAGAAATGCGAGCTCTCCAAAAGAATGTCACATGGGAACTCGTGCTTTTACCTCATGGAAAGAAGACAGTAGGATGCAGGTGGATTTATACTGTAAAACTCAAAGCAAATGGATCCATTGAAAGATATAAAGCTAGATTGGTGGCGAAGGGTTATACACAGAGATATGAGATAGACTATTAGAGTCCTATTGTCTCTAGCAGCAAATCTTGATTGGCCACTACATTAGTTTGATGTCAAAAATGCATTCTTACATGGAGACTTGGAAGAAGAAGTATATATGGACTTACCCCTAGGATTTAATTCAGCTCCTGACAAGAAGAATCATGTTTGCAAGCTTATAAAGTCATTATATGGGTTGAAACAATCTCCTAGGGCATGGTTTAGCAGATTTACTAAATCTATGAAGAATTTCGGATAGACACAGAATAATTCAAATCACACTCTATTCTTGAAGCTTGATGAAGGAAAACTTACTACATTGATTGTTTATGTAGATGACATAATCATAACTAAAAACGACACAGGAGAGCAACTAAAGTTGCAAAAGTATTTGTTTTAGGAATTTGAGATGAAGGATTTAGGTGATCTGAAGTACTTTCTTGGAATCGAAGTAGCAAGGTCAAAAATAGGTATATTTCTATCTCAAAGGAAGTATGTAATGGATTTACTCATTGAAATAGGAATGCTTGGATATAAGCCTACTGACACACCCATTGAGATGAATAAGAAGTTGTGTGAAGACATGGACCAAGAACCAACTAATAAGGATCAATACCAACGCCTTGTTGGAAGGTTGATATACCTAGCACAGACAATACCAGATATTGCATATGTTGTGAGTGTTGTTAGTCACTTTATGCATTCACCCGGTGTTTCTCATAAGAATGCTATTGATCGGATCTTAATATACTTAAAGTCAGCCCTTGGGAAAGGATTAATGTTCTCAAAAAAATGGAGATCTTGAAGTTGTTGGATATACAGATGCTGATTGGGCTGACTCCATTACTGATAGACGCTCTACTTCAGGTTACTTTACTTTCATGGGAGGTAACCTAGTCACTTAGCGGAGTAAAAAATAAAATGTGATTTCTCAGTCTAGTGCAGAAGCAGAGTATCGAGGAATGACTCACGAAGTTTGTGAATTATTGTGAATCAGAAGACTATTGACAAAGTTGGGCTTCAAGCCAGAAAAACCAATGGAGTTACATTGTGACAACAAGTCAGCTATCGATATTGCCCATAATCCAGTTCAACATGATCGAACCAAACATGTTAAGGTGGATAGACATTTTATCAAAAAGAAAATTGAGAAGAATATCATCCGCCTACCATTCATAAAATCAGAAGATCAACTAGCAGATATCTTAACAAAAGCTGTTTGTGGCAGAGTATTTCATGACTCACTTACCAAGTTGGGCATTGGTGACATATATGCACCAACTTGAGGAGGAGTGTTGACGTGAATCTCCTAATTAATCAAGGAGATTTATTGCCTTAATTAATTAAGGAATTTACTTTCCTATTCTATGTAGTTGACAAATCATTATATAATTAGGAGATACTATCCTAATTGATTACTGTATCTATTTTCTTGTAAATCACTCATGTAAACTCCTATCTATACCTCCTTATGGAGAAAAATAAAACACAACCTAAAGTATTCATACCATATTCATATTTTAGCACTAATAGTACCAATAGTCACCAAAGAAAAGGTCACTATTGTCCAAATTTTTTGTAGTGTAAAAAAAATAAAATTTGGAGTGGAGTAAAAAAATGAAATGAAGTCCCCAATAATGCTAAAGAGTGAGCATTTTTGTACCACATAAATACCACATGATTTTTTTAATTTTATATATAAGCGATAGAAAAATCCTAGGCTTACTACATTTGTATATCTCATTGTTTACCACCTCTCTAATAGAGGTGGGCCTCATTGTATTTGTGGGCTCCATCTTTATTAGAAAGGTGGTACACAATGTGGTATAAAAATTTGGTAAGCCTAGAATTATCCTAAATGATAATCCATTTTAAACTAATCTAAATTACAAGGAGAGGGATTCAAACTCGGGTGTAGAGTGGAGAATTGTAGGGGCTTTTTCATTCCGGTAGCTACTGATGGGTCTGGGCTGCTGTAAAGAGGCAAATGTGTGAAATTTCCCCTGAGTCTGAGTTTAAGAATCATACTGTAAGAGTGCTTTGAAAAGGTAGGTAAGCCTTAGAAAACACCTTAGTCTTCTTCACCAATGAAACCAACAGTTGCTTACAAATAAATTCTTGGCTTGGCTTGAGAAGCTTGTGGCATGGAAGTTAAGCATTCATGAGTTTAGCATGAGAGAGAGAAAGACCAAGTTTTCTACGAGAAACAGAGGTTAAATCAAAGGATTTCATGAGGATTTGCTGAGGAGAGAGAGAGAGAGATAGAGATTAGGGTGGAAGAATAGGTGCTTTGGGTAATTTTCCTGCAGCTTAACGAAGGGTTCGTCAGGCATTAGAATAGCTTGCCAGAGGAGAAGATGGGAATAGATGGAGGAATAGGGCTCGAATTTGAAGGGTTCCAAGGATGAGAGGTGAAGCTTGCTTTCTCTAGATGTGTGTGTCTAATGGGTAGAAGATACCCCCCTCCCCCTTTTTATAGCCGCTAAAAGCTCATTCTTTCCAAAAAACCATAATGGGTTCTCTCCAATTTTGATAAGTCTTCCATTTCATTTCTCTTCCCTTCCTTTGATTCATCCTATTTTGTGAATTCTCCCTTTGTCTAAACACATAGAGACAAGATTTTTGGGAGCTCAAAAGTCTTCTTGCAGCCGTTCCAGTGGCAACCTCCCATCTATGGTTATCACTTCTCCTTCTTTCCTCCCCTGTTTGGCATTGATGTGTTGTGAAAATAATCGCTGTCAGATTTGCTGTGACAGAAATCAGCTATGTGAGAAAGCAGTTTGGCATTTGGTAAACTTTTTGTTAAAAGTGTTACTAGTATTGATTCCCGCATAATCAGAAAATGATTGCCACATAATCATTAAACCCAGTGCTTCTTCGAAACTGATTCCTGCATAATCAGAAAATGAAAGCACCTCATTAGCTGTTTTCTCTTATAGCTTTCTCTCACAACAATTTTTAACAATAAGTGATTTTCTCATAGTTTACCAAACGAGTTGGGCTTCCCAAATTTGTTAAAAATCACTTATCATCCCAAATAAGCAATGTCAAACGGGCACTAAGGCTCTTCCTTGCTTTAGTATGAGCTGGTGGTGTTAAGGGATTAATTACTAAAACTTGGAGCAAAAGTTATTAGTGTGGAACTGCATCTTCTACCAATTAGAACCAATTGGTTGCCGCCTTAGTATTACAATAAATAGAGATCTTTTCCTTTGATGGTGAAAATACACCCAACCTTGCATGGCAGTGCATGTGAAAGGAAAACATAGAAAAGAGAGAGAGAAGAAAAGAAAACAAGAGGGAATGATGATAAAATTCCTAGGAGGAGCTAGAGGTTGTACGTAGCTTTTTGTTTATTTAATTTGGAGATAGCTTTGGAAACGAGATAGAGGGTTTCTTGGGGGCCTTTATAGAGATTGATTTAATTAAATTTCGTGAGCACTATATTATGCTTAGTATGATTATTTGGTTAATGTTCTTGTAATAATTGAATGGTTTCCTTGGAATGTTTATGTGTTATTTAAAATGGTTACATTGTTTTTAGATATATGGGATATGTGAAAGATATAATTATATCATATCATGAAAATTGGTTGGAATTGTTGAGTTAAGAAAATAATGTTGGAAAAGAGGGTGATGGAAATAATCTTTTGTGTAATTAAGAAGATGTCCAACACCACTAATCAGTTTTTATTTGTTTATGAACCAACCCAAATTGGTCTGACACCCCACTAGTCTTGGACTATGCACAATTAACTAGATCAGAAATAAATTAAAGCAAAAAAATTAATAAATAACAAAGGGGACGGATGTTTTCAAACTTTTCAAATAATTTATTTTTTTAAAACAAAGGGGACGGATGTCAGTTTTCATATAATATATCCTGATAGCGATGATTTTACCACTTTCTGCTTGAAAAGATAATGGGACTGTTATTAAATCTGATTCCAAAAGACAGTCCCAATGAGGACTATTTTTCGTAGTGTATGTGCTCTCCTTTAATTTATTGTTTGTATGGATTGTTCAAAAATTTCAAGGTGGAAAAACCAATCCTAATTGCCCATTTTGATATTCATAAATTAACATAAACTATTACATAATACATTGTGCTCATAATGCGTAATCGAACATAGGAAACAAGAAGAATTGATTATAGAGGAAGGAAAAAAAAACATGAAATTGAGACAACGAAAACGCAAAGTCAATCCGCATTGATTCTGTCATAGATACCAAATTTATGAGGCAGGTTTTAATGTGTTTGCAATGTCGATGACAAATCGATATCTAACATCTGCTTTAACAAGACGCTTCATGGCCGTGTTTAAGTAATCAATTGGGATAACCTCAATGTCAGCTGTTATGTTGTGCTTAGCTGCAAAATCAATCATCTCTTGTGTCTCCTTCATACCTCCAATATTACTACCAGCCACTATCTTCCTTCCTGTAATTGCAAAATCAACTCTTGTTCATATCCCAACCACAACAAGAAATAACAAGTTCCTCTGAGACATAAGTACAGCCAACTCTTGCACTTACCCAAGATCAAAGGAAAAACGGGAAGCTCAAGAGGTTTCTCTGGTGCACCAACCATCACAAGCTTTCCATGAGACTTCAACAAGCCAATCAAAGGCAAAAGAGAGTGGAAGGCAGAAACCGTATCAATGATTCCATCCATTGTGCCAGTGGCAGCCTACAAATTAAATCAAGAAAAGTACATTAGGGCACCCACCCTACACAAAATCCACTTAAAGTTATTAAGGAAACTTAATTGCTCAAATAAGCACCTGCATTTGATCTTGGTCACGACTGACCAAAAATGAATCGGCATGAAGATGTTCAATTGCTTCCTCCTTCTTATTAGGTGAGGTACTGATCACCGTAACCTTAAGCCCCATAGCCTTGGCAAACTTCACGGCCACGTGACCTAAACCGCCTAGGCCAACCACCCCGACATGCATACCGGGCTTGTCAAGTCCGAAATATCTCAAGGGACTGTAAGTTGTAATCCCAGAACACAGGAGAGGAGCAGCTCCATCAAGGGGTAGGTTGTCTGGAATACGAACTACAAAGTGCTCGTCGGCCACCATGGTGTCGGAGTAACCTCCATATGTGGTGGTTCCGTCAATGTACTTGGCACCATAGGTGAGTATCATTTTGGGACAGTAATTCTCAAGATTGTTGGAACAACTATCACAAGATGTGCACGATCCTACCATGCATCCAACACCTACCTTGTCTCCAACACTGAATTTTTGAACTTTGCTCCCTACCTCTGTCACTACACCAACTATCTCATGTCTGCATTGCCAAATTAATGTCACATTTGATTAATTAGCTAAATCGCTGTCATAATCTATTTTAATTACACCTCATTTGTCGCTTTAATTTGTAGATTGATTACATTAGCTCCTAATCCACTAATTAAACAAAAAGTTTAGTAGATTGACGTACCCGGGAACCAGAGGATATGTAGAAAAACCCCATTCATTCTTCACCATGTGAAGGTCCGAATGGCATATCCCACAGTACAGCACTTTGAATGACACATCTTTCTCTCCAGTTTCTCTGCAGCCAAACATTAATTGAAGTTAAAGAATATGATGAGATCCAGGAAAAATCCTACTAAGACATGAGCATCTCAAGATTATAAAAAACCAAAGACAAAATACTATCGAAATTAAAAAACTAACATATTAAATAAGATGGAGAAATTAGAATGAATAATGACCTTCTTGAGAATTTAAAGGGAGAGAGAACGCCAGATGAGTCTCTGGCAGCCCATCCAAAAGCCTTCTTGGGGTGTTCCTGCTCTGTTGGTGTCACCATTTTCTCTCTTTATTGTAAGTTTCAGTATGAGAGAGAGAGAGAGAGAGAGAGAGAGAGAGAGAGAGAGATGCTGCGAATTGCTATAGTGAATAAGTTTATTTGACGATTGAAGAATATATAGAGAGCGAGCGAGAGTGAGAGAGAATGAGGTTTTGTGTTGCGCTTGGATGACGTATGGGGTGATCGAATGGAAACTCAAAAACAGTATTTTCAGAATTCATCTCACTTTGGTTGACTAGTCAACTTGTCTTTAATTTTAGAGTGATGTCGTCGTCCCAGTCCCAATGCGTAAGAGCTTACCTCTCCATTATTTTGGTTGTTTTATGTGCTTCCACTAAGAAAAGTACACGTGGTTGCAACTTGCAGCATAATTCAAACTATTATTTTAAAAAATAGGTTTGATTTTAATAAAATGTGTCTTTTATTCCAACTTTATAATAAAGGAATCTTGCATAAAGTTATTGGTATCTCATCTGAATAAATATAAAAGAGTGTATGAATGATTACGAGTGGCCTGGCCATTAAGTTAATTAGTGTTCTTGGTGGAGTGGTTACACGATGCCAAAGAACAGAAGCACCTAATAAAGTTAAGGTCCTGGCCATTAACCCTAAATTTAAAAATTGTATCACCTTCTTCATCTCCACCTTTGACTGATCAGCAAGCCAAACCACCACATGTCAATATATTCACATATGCTTATAATATGGACAGCTCCTCCATTCAAAGACTGTTTTTATTATTAATTTTTTTACCAGTAATATTGAAGGAGGGGGTTTCTCACACACATTGTTAAGATGTCATGGTTGCTCAAATATGAGACAATTGGCCTGCAAGTCAAGACTCTTTCCTTTAGGCTGCCCGTTGGCCCATTCAAAGGCTTAGTCATTAGGTTTTCAAGTACTTTCATCTATTTTCCTCACATGTATATACAATATTCTTCAAGTAACTAGTTAGTAAGTTAAAAGTTTTTAGGTCCTCATTCAAATATTATTCCTTAAAAAATTTCATTCAATTCAAAAGTTTTTTAGCCATTAAATTGTTATCATGAATATTACTTCTTTATCGAAAATATTATAGAAAATTTGGGATAAGTTCAAAATTTAGAACATAAGTTGGGTTTAATCCTCGCATTTGTTGTTGTTGATACAAGTTCTTTGACTTTTCTACCAACTAGGATTACATTCCTTTTTTTGTATTTTCTAATGTAGAGCTATTATTATTATTATTATTAAAAAATTATCTAGTTGTTCTTATTATGCCCATGAAGTATAAATCGTGTAGAAATTAATTTATAAGACCATAATTACGTTATTTATTATTATTTTAATATAAGGATATAAATAGGTTAAAAAACCCCATAATTTGGGACAATTTATTATTTTGGAGATACAACAAAATAACAATTTTTATTTTTGTTCATCCTATGGTAGCAGTATATTATACACTTGTAGCCCATCCAATGGCCTTCTTAGGGTGTTCTTCCCCATTTTCTCTCTTGTACGTATTTTCTTTCTCATTAGTTATTATCTTATTTTTCTGATAGTGTATATTAACTAATTATATATATATATATATATATATATATATATATACAGAGAGAAGTAGAGAGAGAGAAGGACTGTGTGTAGCAGCTAGCAATTGCGACGTGCTAGTCTTTCGGGAGTTTTTGCTCAGATAAATCCAACTTTCTTGGCTTCTTCTTAGTCTAAATCCAACTTTTTGGGTGGCCATACAACTTTCCCGGGAAAGTACACTCATGTCATTACAATATTTCGTTTGAGGTTACCTTCGTAATTGTGATTGATGATTTTAAAGAAATTAAACATTTTGATTTACATATATGTTTTAACCCAAAAAAACATTTGACTGCTTACAAAACAAATTTTGATACTTTTACCGAATTATTTATACATACAAACCAAACAAGTGTTCCGCTTTAAGCACTAATTTAAGTTATAATCCTCCTTCACATGATTATACTCGCGCATTTCATTTTCTTGGAAAGGTATACTTATTCGTCATGCTTACCATGCATGGACTGAAATGACATTTCCTTGATAAGCTGAGGTACAATTCAAGAATTTCTCAAATAAGGTCTCATTATAATAATTAAAAAAAAGGGCAAAAAACAGTAAAAAAACAACTAAATTTATTTTTGCATGCCCAAAATAAAACAATGCTACTTTTTGCCCTTTTTAAATTTATTTTTTATTTTGCTTTCTGTATGTGAATCAACGAGTGAAAGTTATCATGTCTCAACGCAAATAGAAAAGATAAGAAAGACAAAGCCCATTACAAAAATACAACGAAGGTAGCATGACCTAAAAGATTACGAAGCCCAGAAATGGAGCAATACAAATACAGAGGGTCCAAATTCCACTTGTGCAACTGAATAGTCAATGCTGCTAGTTTTTACGGAGTTATCATGTCTGTGCCTCCGCATTAATTCATGAAGCTCCCCTTAATTATACGTAGGAATGTATACTTTTGTTCTTCAATTAATTCACGCACACAATTAAGATGTCATGGAGTTTGAATATGAGACCTCTTGTTTGCAAAGTAAGATACTTTTTCACTGGACTAGACCCAGTTGACTGAAATTGAGATTTTCTTAAAGCATATACAGAAACCTACAAGGGGCTTATGGCTCAACTCAAGTGATTAAGAGCATTTACTCTTGCATCCGAAGTCCTAGATTCGATTCTCCTCCCCCTAATATCGTTTGGATATAAAAATAAATAAATAAATAAAAGCATACAGAGACATAAAATATATTTATATTTTTAAAATTAAATGATGAAGGTGAAAGCAGTTGTGCTTGTTTCCATCTAAATTAAGAGCGAGAGGCTTAATTTAGGACCACTAGATTGAATGGAGCCAGACAATATTAATGCCCATTTGGCATTACATATTTGGGGTGATAAGTGATTTTTTTAAAAAAATTGGGAAGTCCAACCCGTTTGGTAAACTATGAGAAAATCACTTTTTTCTTAAAAATTGTGGTGAGAGAAAGTTATAAGGGAAAACAGCTAATGAGGTGCTTTTATTTTCTAAATATGCATGAATCAAAGTTCTGGATTTAATGAAATTTACAAACTTCCAAAAATACCCAATCTATTTTACGCAATCTCTTCTCTTCGTGTGTTTTCTCATTCGCAACCATTTGCTTATTCATGCCATCTCTTTCATAGAGTTCTCCTTCTCTTGAATCTTTTTTATTCTTCCTATAATTTTTTATTGTTAAATCAATTCAAGCACACTCCTGAGAAGCCACAAGACTCAAGTAAGAGGCATATTATGTTTATTTCTTCTCAATTTCATTCTTCCCTCTTTCTCTTTAATTTCTAGGGTTTTAACTATAAATTTCATTCTTAACTCTCTCTTTAATTTCTAGGATTTTAACTTCAGTAGTTGTTTCTGTTACTTTTTATTTGTTTTTTTTTTTCTATTCCTATTTGTGTTTACTTAATTTATTTTATAATTAAAATAATTTTTAGGATGTGATGGAAACATATTTAATACATATATATATATATATATAAGTGAAAGTGCTTTCCCTTTTATCAAACACTTTAACAGAAAAGTCATTTCAACATAATGCCTTTTTTAGTCATTATACATAGCTCACATTACTTTCACAAATAAATATACCGAACATTTAGAAACTGATTATTGTACTAACAACACTTTTAACAAAAAGTTTACCCAACACCAAACTGTTTTATCTAACAACTGATTTCTCTCACAAAAAATCTGACCATGATTATTTTCACAGCATAATAATGCCAAACTCGCCCATAGACTGCACATAGGCTTAGAAGTAAGTGTCGGTCACATGGAGGAAAAGTTATCTAATCAACGATTATAAAACAAGATAAAACCAAAACGTCATTCTCAGGTAAGGTGAGGTGAACTTGCCATTTCATTTATTTATTTAAAATCCATTCCTGTCCTGTGTACCAAGTTGTTCTCTAAATACATAATTTTCACATGACAAGTCAATAAAGAAAACAAGTAGAAGAACCAAGAAAATAGTTGCTGGAAACTGAAGTCGAACTTAATTCATTGACTGAAAACAAAATACAATTTAAATAGAACTCACAAGACCAAACTGGGTAGGAAAACATGGAACAACAATCCCATGACCAACACGACTAACAGTTACTACTTAGACTCCCAACATATATGATGGGATGCTCTTATAGAATAGGTAAAACCACAGTTGACCTCCTAAACTAGATAACTCTTAACAAAATTTAAGAGCTAGACTTCAGTGTGTTTCCGATGTCAATAACAAATCGGTATCTGACATCTGCTTTGACAAGGCGTTCCATGGCAGTGTTCAGATAATCAATCGGGATAACCTCGATGTCAGCTGTTATGTTGTGTTTGGCTGCAAAGTCAATCATCTCTTGTGTCTCCTTCATTCCTCCAATGCAACTGCCGCCTACTATCTTCCTTCCTATAATATTAATTGAAGAACAAATTGAAATATTTGTTAACAACTTTAATATACACAATGAACCAATTCAAATTATTGCACACTTCTGGAGCACTTACCCAGGAGCAAAGGAAAAACTGGAAGCTCAAGAGGCTTCTCTGGTGCACCAACCATCACAAGCTTTCCATGAGACTTCAACAAACCAATCAAAGGCAGAAGAGGGTGGACGGCAGAAACCGTGTCGATGATGCCATCCATTGTGCCCAGGGCAGCCTACAAATCAAATCAACAAAAGTAAATTAACCCAAAAACCCTACAGATGTGACAATCCAGTACATAACGTCAACTTAATTGTTCAAATAATCACCTGCATTTGATCTTGGTCACGACTGACCAAAAATGAATCAGCATGGAGATGTTCAATAGCTTCTTCCTTCTTATTAGGGGAGGTGCTGATCACTGTAACCTTAACCCCCATAGCCTTGGCAAACTTCACGGCCACGTGCCCTAAACCTCCTAGGCCAACAACACCGACATGCATACCAGGTTTGTCAAGTCCGAAATATCTCAAGGGGCTGTAAGTTGTAATCCCAGCACATAGGAGAGGAGCAGCTCCATCAAGGGGTAGGCTGTCCGGAACACGAACGATGAAGTGTTCGTCGGCCACCATGATATCGGAGTAACCGCCATATGTGGTGGTTCCGTCAAGGTACTTGGAACCATAGGTGAGTATCATTTTGGGGCAGTAATTCTCAAGGTTGTTTGCACAACTGTCACAAGAATGGCAAGACCCCACCATGCATCCAACACCTACCTTGTCTCCAACTTTGAATTTTTCTACTTTGCTTCCTACCTCTGTCACTACGCCAACAATTTCATGCCTGCATTGCCCCAAATAAATTCACTTTTAGGAATGCGTTCATTGAAAAGCTTGAGCTAATTAACTTACGTTCACATCACCCATCAGTAAATGCTCGGGGTCCTGTGGTGGTTGTTTTTTCAGAAAAATAGTATTCACTAAAATAAATGTTTTTCAGAAAAAAGTTTGAAAACTTTATACTAAGATCCATGCATTTAGGACATATGTGTTTCGGTTTATTTTTTAAAGAGCCAAACTTTGCTCTTTTTAAATTAAAAAATCGTTATTAACATTTAAATTAAAAATCATGGGTATTTCTCACTAGAATTGATTCGATGCAAATTTCAATAGTTCCTCTACCAATATATCCAAAAAGAAAATCAACAACTAACTAAACTAAAGTCATGTTTGATATATGACAACATACCCGGGCACCAGAGGATAGGTAGAAGAACCCCATTCATTCTTCCCCATGTGAAGGTCCGAATGACATATCCCACAGTACAGCACTTTGAATGACACATCTTTCTCTCCAGTTTCTCTGCAACCAAATCAATTCAATTTTAGACACAAACCAAGAACTCAGATCTTGACATTAATGCATGCATAAATCCTAAACTTATTTCGTACTAACTGAATATGTATCAGCTTTTCACCGTCAATATAACATGTTACATGGTGTTACAGCTGCAAAATCATTTTTACCGATTAAAACAAAAATAAAAAAATAATTTAAAAAATCAAATGGAACTGATTCAAATTTAAATCCCAGTTTGTTCTTATTTTTATTTTTTATAATATTTTAATCTTCCCCATTTAGACAAATCTAGGAATGGAATAAAAAATGGTAAAAAGCCAAACAAAAAAATAAATGGGAAATTAAGTTATATAGAAACCTTCTTGAGAATTTGAAGGGAGAAAGAACACCAGATGAATCTCTAGCAGCCCATCCAAAGGCCTTTTTGGGGTGTTCTTGCTCTGTAGAAACCACCATTTTTGCTCTCAAGATATAACTAGCACAAAGCAACTATGAGAATTTAATTAATAGAGTGAGAAGAAGTATGAGAGAGCTAGAGAGACGGTGGGTGAGAGAGAAGGCAAGGGAGGAGCTGTTTATATATAGATGTGGGCGACATGGGGTGGGGACACTGGGGCTTTGCTGTTGCGCTGGGCTGACGTATTGGGTGAGCAAACGGAAAATCAAACGAAGGTTCTTTTCCACAGAAAAGTAATGACGTTCTCATTGGGTAAGAGATTGCGCTGGGCTGACGCATTGGGTGCAACAACTCTATTTTAGGCATGTTGAAGACTTTAGTTTATCATTTTAATCAAGAATGAGTCAATTGTATTAAAAATAGAATTTTAGTCACTTTTCGGGACATTTAGAATTTGAAGTACTTGAGAAGAAAGACTTGAATACTAACTTTCTGGAAAAAAACAATTCATGTTTTTTTGGTCTCTCCAGATCTTTTTTTGTTTTTGTTTTTTGGTTTAAGTGAAAAGGCGAGGTCACTTCATGTTTTTGTTTCTCATTTTAATCAAGAATGAGTCAAGAAAAAGCAATAATTGGTTGTTGACAACAATTAGGTATGTCTTCCACAACATGGTGGCTCCATTTGTTTTTGTTTTATGGAGCACTATATTTTTTGTTGGTTTATGCAATCTCCAATTCAATACTGAAAGTTAATTTTCAAATATAATTTGAGGGTGATGGGCCTAAAAATTTAATTATAATTTTTTCCCAATTATACATAAATAAAAGGCAAAGTTAGTTTTAAGCTTATTTTGCTTGTCATTGAGAAAGTTATGAACATTATTTTAAGTCATTTGATGAAATTATGTTTTATATATATTATAGAATATATAAAAAATTCTCAACCATTTCATTTATATTTTACATTTACATCTATTAAAATGTTTGATTAGATTAAACATGACGATAAATGTTTCATATTTCATTATTATCTTTTTTTTATTATGAACACTTTGATTAACACTTTGATTTTTCGTCCATTCAAGTTGATGTCACTCACAAAAAAAGCAAGTAAACCTAAGAGAGAAAACTCCTAGCCGCCACCCCTTTTGGGGTGGTGACTACCATGTTTTTTTTTGTCCTATCTTCATCTCTTTTTCGTCTCATCTCTGAAGGAAGTTGAGGTTCCACCCCAAAACCAATTGGCAATGGGGGGAGTAGCCCAACTCCTTATAAGTCTTTGCTAGGTTTCTCAACTACCTTCACATTCTCACACTCTCGAACTCATCCCTTTCATATCCTCTTTGCTTCCCCCTCTCGTATCATCTCCCTCTCTTTTCATTAGCTCGTTTATGGAGTAATTATAACAGATCTTTGCGGATCTATCCTCTTTTGGTTATCAACTCTATTTGCCAAAGAGGAGAGTCGATTGGTGCGGATTTGTTATCATTTGGTGCTTGCGAATAGTAGGTTGGCTTTGCGACAACGGGGTTGCACTCCGGCTAGTTTAGTTTCTTTATCTTTGGAATCAGTCGCATAAACTCTCTTAGGATTTTCTGTGTAGTTTTAACCTCTCCATTGTGAGAGTTTTTCACCTCTCTTTTGCGAGAGCTTTTTTATTATTATGAGTTTACAATCTTAATTGGGATGCCTATGCCAAAGTTTCTTCGGTCATGCGTCATTGTTAGTGGAGGTGCACCAAATTGTCTTCATCTTAATGTTATATTTATTTGGAATTGTAATGGCCCTTTGTGACTAGTTTGTATTGGCCTTTTGTGGCCAATAAATTTTTTGGTTGAATTATGAATGCAATTCAATATCTGAAAAAAAAATTATATAAAGTGAGAGGATACCAAAGAGACACGTTAGCCTCTGTAATTCCCACATTTTGCTTCATCTAGGGTGTTATAATGATCCAATGTATGGTTTCATACATGACATGTTAGCAACATAATACAAATTAGTTTTTATTTTTATTTTTTATGATTCTATAGTGACGTTACGTTGTCGTTTCCTTCCATCATCCCTCTTCTCCCTCTCCTCCTCGTTTCTCCTCTTTTCTTTTGGGTGTCAACTAGCAATCTCTTAAAGAAAGTAGAGGAGCAAGTTTGATTGGAAATTTTGATTCAAAAATTTCCGATTTTGGCGAGTCCATATCAATTCAGACCTCCGAAAGTTCCAAAATCTGAAAATTCTGAAGAATTATTTATTTTTATTTTTTTAATTTGGAATGTATCACAAGATTCCAGAAACTTCCGAATTTTGAAATATATTAGGGTTTCATGCTTAGATTACATATATATGACTAATTTTATGTTGAACTAGATATGGCTTAATGACCAAATAGACATTGTCGAGTAATTTCAGAGAGGATAACAACATCTAAGTAATAACATATAATACTTTTTCAAGCTTTTCGTATGATTTTTCAATTTTGAGCCAATTTTAACCTTTTAAATCGTTGGACATGTTTAAAATGTTGAACTATTTTCTGAAAATTTTCCAAAAATATTCTGAAATACATAAGTTCTGACATTTTTTGAAAATTTCAAGTTTTCCGAATTGGAATGGATGTTGAAATTCCTAAATTTTTTGGAATAGAATTAGGAAGGAATTTTCGCTCCGAAATTTTTGGAATGATATTAGGGTTCCATGATTCCGATCCATTTCGTCCGAAAACCAACCCTAATAGAGAGCAAAATCAAGGGTGGCAAAGCCAAACCCAGGTGTTAAATAAAAAATGTAATAAAGTAATTAACAATTCACCCAACATAATCTCTTAATTATTCATGACCCATTCAAGATGAAAATATCTCTTAATTATAATCTCTTCGGAAAGAGGACACCCTTTGATTCCAATGTGAAGACAGAAATAAATAATGAAATTTGATTTGATGTTATGACTCCATCTAGGGAACCCCAGACTGCCTACATACCTCCTTTTAGGGATCAAGCTTTTTGTAGTTCTTATGAATATATATTATTTAACAAGGGCTTTCAAAGAGTGGATGACCCCTCAAAAGAATTTTGTGGTGCAAAAAATATTTTATGGAATTTGAATGAATGTGGTTGGACCGGGGATTTAATTTGATTTTGTGGTTAGAAAAGTGTTTGGGGCAAATTTGGTTAAGGTAAACCAGGGATTCTGTTTGTACTTGCAGTTGTATCTGGATTGAAGTTCCAAAATGCCTACGTATCCTTGGCAGAATCAAACCGGACATAGTTCCTTATGTTTTAATTAATCCAATTTTACTTATGAATATACAATCCACTAGTAATTTAGGGAAACTCCTTTGGAATAAGTTGTAAACTTGTATTTTGCACCGGGCATGAGATTTTTGTTATTGGGCCAGTACCCATGAATTTGACCCATATAACTTACTTTGGCTTAGCACATTCCTCAACCATCTTCTTCAAATGAGAGCACATCCACCAAACATCTTCAAATGAATGCGTCATCTCCTTTTGTCGTCCAAAATAAAGAAACCTTGTAGACTGTGTACTCCTAAATTGGAATGGATGAGATTGAACTGCAGAATTTGGGTGAAATTGAAAGACGATTCAAATCCTATTTGTTAGCGTTTCCCTTGGCTATAAAATTCCTTCTAAGTGAGACATCTCATCCTTGCTTTGCCTTGAAGAATTCTGACTGGCGTCTTCACTATTTTGCTGAGCTCTTACTTGTCTATTGTTTTGTTGCCCAATATAGAAAAAGGAACTTGGGTTGAGGAAGAAGATAGAGCAAATAGGCAAGAAAAGATAAGGACCCGTAAGTCTATTATGTATTGCTGGCTGATTATATAATTACATGATCGTTGACTAATACCATGATATTTACAATAGGTAATTGATGCTAAGCTAAAATAAAGGCATACAAATGGTATGTGAATAAGGTAGAATAAGTAATTGAGCAATCAGTTGTGATTTGGTAATAACTGGGGAATTGACTTCCCATAATCACGCCCATCATGACATGAATCATGGCTAGTCGTGTGGGCATGTGCTAGCTGTACGATGGTGTTCTCTTCATCCCCCCTCAAGCGAAACAGCACGTGGTAGAGATTGAGCTTGGAAGCAAGAGAATGAAATTATAACCGAGTGAGATTCTTGGTAAAGATGTCGGCCAACTAATTGTGGCAGGAAATATATTGGGTGCGCAGAACACCACATGCCAGTAGCTCACATACAAAGTGATAATCAATCTCAATGTGACGAGTCCGAGCGTGGAAGATGGGATTTACTGCCATGTGGAGAGCGGAAATATTATCCACAAAGAGACACGGAGTGGGATTTTGAGTTCACGAAATAAGTAGCAGAACCAACGAAGTTCGGCACTGGTGGTGGCAAGAGCCCTGTATTCGGCTTCAGTACTAGAACGAGAGACAGTGGATTGTTTCTTGGCAGTCCAGGTGAGTAGATTGGGGCCAAGAAAACTACAAGCGCCCATTGTAGATCGACGATCATCAACAGACCCGGCCCAGTCGGTATCGGCATAACCACGTAGGAGATAATCACAAGACTTGTGAAATTTAAGACCATGCTCAAGAGTTCCTTTAATGTGGAGATAAATATGCTTCAAGGCCTGAAGTTGAGTGGTGCGTGGATTATGCATAAACTGACATACTTGGTTTACTGCAAAAGTGATATCTAGTCGAGATATGGGCTCGTTTGGGAGTGCTTTTGGATCAGCGAAAAGCGCTTCTAAATGGATGAAAGCGCTTCTGTCTTAAAAAAATAGTGTTTGGCAAAAATTGCAAAAGCGCTTTGGGTGAGATCCAAAAGCACTTAGAGTGGTTTTGGAAGAAGCACTTGAGATGTGCTTCTTCTTAAAAGCGCTGCAGGATAAAAACAAGGGAAACACTTAGCTCTCTTTAATGAAACTTTTAAAATGCCGAAAATATCCATATTTAATTTTTAAAATGCCAAATACCCTTCCTTTCTTCTTCTTTTTTCCTTTTTTTATTATTATTTATATTTCCTATATTTATTATAATATTTTGAGATTCTTTACATTTTTTAAAGTACTTTTAAAAGCGTTTTTACTGTTTCAGCCAAACACTCAACAAAATATCAAAAGCGCTTTTATATAGTGTAAAAACACTTTTAAATGTGACATCCAAACGACAACTACTTCTTTGTAGAAGCACTTACGTCATAAGCGCTATTGACATAAGCGCTACTAGCATAAGTGCTTCAAGAAGAAGTACTCCCAAACGAGCCCAGAGTAAGGTACTGAAGGCCACCAACCATTCTTCAATAAGTGGTTGCACTTGGCAATGGGTCACCATCTAAGGATGAAAGATGAGTGGTGGAAGCCATAAGAGTGGACCTGGCTTACAAGACTCCATGTTGCATTTTTTAATAAGGTTAACAACATATCTTGTTTGAGACAAGTAGATGGTCTCGGAGGTGAGATGAATTTCCATGCCAAGAAAAAAGCTCAAATTACCCATGCGGCAACTATCAAACATGGAGCACAAATTATCGATAAAGGACATAATTCCCTGAGTATCAGAACCTGTCACAATGATGTCATCAACATAAACCAAAACATATAAAGAATAATGTGGAGTATGTTTGATAAATAGAGATGCATCTGAGTGGCTGTGACAAAACTGTTGTCCAATCAAAATAAGAAGTAAGTCGATGGAACCAAGCACGAGGGACTTGTTTGAGACCATAGAGAACCTTATGAAGTTTGCAAACATGAATGGGGCAAAGAGGATCAGAAAAACCAGGTGGTTGCTTCATGTACACCTTTTCTTGTAAGAAAGCATTTCAAGCATCCAATTGTTAGAGAGGCCAATTTTTGGAAAGAGCTAAAACCAGAATAGTACAAATAGTTTTCGGCTTCACAACCGAACTGAACGTTTTGTCATAGTCCAAACCTTCCTTTTGATTGAAGCCCTTGGCCACAAGACGTGCCTTATGTTGTTCTACGGAGCCATCAGCTTTTCATTTAATTTTGAACACCCACTTACAGCCCACAATATTCATGGATTGTGCAACGGGAACAAGAGACCATGTGTGATTGCGAAGAAGAGCATCATATTCATCTTGCACGGCAAGTTACCAATGTGGGTGTTTAATTGCTTGGGTATAATTTGTGGGTTCAAAGGTGGGTGTGGAATTAATTCTTGCGGTCAAGGCATGAGGTAATGGGTGTTTAGTGGGTCCATAGAAGAGCTTATTAAGACTTTTGTATTTATTCGGTGGTGGTGATGTGTTGGTTGTGGTATTTGATGTAGGAGAGGAATCAAGAGCCGGCATGGGTATTGGATAAAGTGGTGAGTGGGTGGACCGGTCTGGAGTAGTGAGATGATTGTGAGTAGCCCCACGTGGGCAAGAATTAGGTTTAATGGATGTAGAATTGGGCCCATATGGGTGAGGCATGAAGCTGGTCTCATCTTTTGAATAGGGCACAAGATTGGGCTCTGGTGCTAGGCTTTCAGCTTCATACATTGGCTCAGCAATAGGTGGCACCGTGTTGGGCTCGAGTGGTGTTGATAGTTGGCTTGGCGTAGGTAGTGCCGGAAATGGGCGGAAGGCAGCAGATTCTGTATAGCTAGGCTTTGGACTCCATTGGGCCTGGTATAGGAAGCTGGTCTCATCAAGAGTCACATGTCAAGATATGTAGACCCTACCTGAAATCAAGTCTAAACAACGATCCCCTTTGTAATGATCATCATATCCAATGAAGACATATTTAATTGATTTAAATGAGAGCTTGTTGGTGTTGTAACCATAAGAGGAAAGCAAATACACCCAAAACTCTTAAGAAATCGGTAATTCGGCGGACAATGGAGAAGTTTTTCATATGGTGAGATGTGTCCAAGTAGGAAAGAGGGCAGTCTATTAATGAAGAAAATTGCGGTAAAAGAGGCTTCCAACCAAAACCCTTTTAGAAGATGAGACTGAGCCAGCAGACATAGTCCCATTTCAACAATATGCCTATATTTCTACTCTACAACACCATTTTGTTGAGGTGTGTAGGGACACGAAATTTGGTGAGTTATACCATGATCACGCAGAAAATTCATGAACACCCGACTTGTGAATTTTCCACCACCATCAATTTGTAGCCCCTTGATTTTGCAATTGAACCGATTTTCAATCATTCATTTAAATGTGACAAACATAGTAAAGCAATCCGATTTTTTTACAAGTGGATAGAACCATACGAATGGAGTGTTATCATCAACAATGGACAAGTAATATCAGTAACTAAAATTGGAGGCAACGGGTGCTGGTCCCCACAATTCCAGATGTAGTAAGTCAAAGCATGTGAAATTCTGTATTGAAATTTAAGTTTACAAGACTTTCCCATAGGATAAACATGACAAACCTTAATAGAAGCAACAGTACCATTAATGGGGAAATGGTGTTTATTCAAAAGAGTTTGAAAAACTAAGTGAGAAGGGTGTCCAAAGAGAGCATGCCACACATCTTGTGTCGTCCTTTCCCCATAAAACACGATCTTGTTGGTGACATTTGGCACTGCATTGATATGATATAATTCGCTAGAACTATTGCCAGTAAGGAGTACCTTGCCCGTCTTGTTGTCCTTTACACGAAAACCATCACATAAGACTTCATTAAGTTCTAAAGCCTTATGTGTAATGGATAGATTAGTGTTCCCAATATGTGTGATAGCCAAATGGTTGCCATTACCAACAATTATCGTGTATGTACTTGTATGCGGTTGAGCATATGGAAGAGCAGAGAGGTTTGCTGTCATGTGGTGGGTAGCCCCGGAATCTAAACACCAACTTGTATTCTCGTTGGGGTTGGCATTTGTAGCTTCTACTGTATATGCATAATTCCCAAGTTCAGGACAAACACGTGCAACATGTCCCTATTAATTACACAATTAACACATAACTTCATATCCAGCAATGGGTGTCGGCAAAAAGAGGTGGTTTCCCATAATGAGCCACGTGTGATGAATGGAGTCTGCTCACTATGCTGATTAAAACCAAGCCTAGTTTGAGTGTAGGTGGGTTGACCATTTTGCCCAAAATTGGACCTGTTATCATAGTTGCGATTCCAACTCATTGATCGCAGGAAAGAGTTTTGATTTGGTCGTCCTCCATCTCGGCTAAAGTGGTCACGACTAGACTGCCATCCCAAACTTTGGTTGTCACGGCTGTGATTCCAACTATTGTTGTCTCAGTTCCAACCTCATCCACACCCCCTTCCTGAATTCTTGCTGTAACTTTGTGATTTAGAGCCTTAAACATGGTTGTCATCAGTTACAACACGATCGGTGGACAGAGCGACACAGTTGGAAAGAGATAGGGAATTCATTCTCTTTAATAGCTGTTCTTCCTATATAATCAGATCAAAAAATTCTTCAAATGCAAGTTTGGGCCTAAGATGGAGTGATGTAATGAACTCTTTGTACTCGTGTCCAATTCCATCCAATATGTATTCAATAAATTCTTCATCTAACATGGTGGTCTCGACTGTTGTGAGGGAGTCGAAAAGTGATTTGGCGTGCATCAGGTAATCAGCAACGGGCTGTTCAGAATCTTTTTTGAGGGTGCGGATTTACGGAGATATGTCTTGGACAGTGGAAAAAGCCTTCGTTCAAGTAAATCCCAGGCTTCGTGGGCCGTAGTACATGGGACGATGAGAGTTTTGATGGTTGAGGATGTCGTAGCTTTAATCCAACTCAGGACAAACTTGTCCTTTGAGTACACTGGATTTGGTGTTCCATCAGTAAGCTTCTTCTAGGGACGGGTCTTATATGTGATGACGTCTTCTAGATCCTGAAGTTCTAGAACGTCCATGAATTGAGATCTCCAAGACAGATGATTATTCTTGTCCATAGGTGTGGTGAAAAGATAAGAGATGTTGAAAGAAGTTAGGATTGGAAACATGTTGTCTTTTGAGGTTGTATTTGTGGTTGATTTGTTGGGATGAGAATTAACAGAGGAGGAGATAGGAGAATCTTGAGTGTTGGTCATAGGTGAGGATCGATTTGAGTGCTAGCTACTGCCAGGCTCTGATACCATATAGAAAAAGGAACTTGGGTTGAGGGAGAAGATAAAGCAAATAGGCAAGAAAATATAAGAAGGACCCATAGGTCTATTATGTATTGCTGGCCGATTATATAATTACATGGTCGTTGACTAATACCATGATATTTTCAGTAGGTAATTGATGCTAAGCTAAAATAAAGGCATACAAATGGTATGTGAATAAGGTAGAATAAGTAATTGAGAAATCAGCTGTAATTTGGTAATAATTGTGGAATTGACTTCCCAGAATCACGCCCATCATGACATGAATCATGGTTGGTCGTGTGGGTATGTGCTAGTTGTACGGTAGTGTTCTCTTCACCCAAGAATATTGGTGGCCTGAAGGCCAAACTTTTACTCCTCGGTATCATTTATGCAAACAATGGGTATGCTCTTCTTGTCTCTACTTCACTCTCTTGTTTCTTTCTTAGACTTTCCTTTCTGACCAATTGTCACCATCTTTCATAATTTGTGAAAACCAACAGAACAAAATGCCTTCTAATTTGTAGAGCTTGATTTTAATATTTATTTAATTGCTGAATTCCCTTTTTAGGAAATCAATTTGTAGCAGTGGGTTTCTTTGCCTAACACAACATGTACAAACCAAAGAGCTATCTGTGTATTTCTTCGAGTTTGGCAATACCAACTTCATAGCTGAAACTTCTCCTTTTTTAGTCTCAAAGTTCAGCCACAAATTCAGGTTTTGTCCATTGTGTACATGCTTGACCCTTTTGGTTATTTGCTGTTTTCTATGTATTTGTGGCAGTCTTCTACAAAATGGGTTTTGTCTTTACCCATTGTATGTGCTTAAAGACCTTCAAATAATTAAAACCATCCACATCATTGGTTTTGTGTTGACTTGACAAGAAGGCTTTCTTTGTGCAACGAGTTTCTTCACTTTCAGTCTAAAGACCAAATTTTGGTTTGAAGAAGAGTCGTTGGCAGCAAGTTGTGCATCCATTTTAGCTTTGGCAAGTCTTTCCTTTTTTTTCTTCTTTTTTTTTCTTGTTCGAATTTTGTAGCAATGACCTGATGCTTTGGTGCATTCTTTTCTTTCTGATTTTGAAAGGAATTTCTAAGGCTTTGCATACTTCCATTTGCAGATTGACATCATTTGAGAGGGCTATCATACCCCCAATTGAGGTGCTGCCTTTGTTTTGTCTCATTTGCCTCATGTCTTGCCAACAACAAACTGAGAAACTTTTACAATATTTGCAATTTGCTGCGGAGAAGTATTGTCTTAGTAACTTGTGTAGGCAGTCTGGCTTGGGATTTTTCTTTGTTGGCAACTTTTGGAGCACGAGACGTGGATGTGAGTCCTCTTTGTTCAATAGTCATCAGCTTTTGTAAATTTTATGGCAATCAACAATACCTGCATACCTTTTTAATATTTTCTTTTATATTTTCTCTTGTTCATGCATATGAGTGACTCTAAAACAGAGTTGTTGATTTTCTCCCTTTGCAGCGCGTTTTGCCATCTCTTCTTTTTCCAATTTGTAGATCCGGAATTTTGCTGTGCTGAAGGTGGGTTGGGCATGTAACAAAGCATTTGGGATTTTTGCCCTTTTTTTTCAGCTCACTAGTGCTCCCTTTTTATAGACCAAGAGAAACTAAAGGGAGTGGAGTCAGTTATGGGCTCACGTACTGTATGGGTACCTTATGTGGGAGTAACTTCCCATTTTCAGTCGGCCCTAAACTCCACACTCCAAAGTCACGTACATGAAGCATATTCTGTTAGTGCTTTGAATATATTAATATTTTCTTGTAAAAAATATTAAAAGCGCACAAGACCATTTTAGCTATAAGCCCAACTTCTTTAAATTTGGGCCAAAATTTAATTTGATGTCAGTGAATTTTTATTTCAGCACCAGGTACATAACCTTAGAACTACAAAAGTGCCAAGAACACCAACTAGAACCCAAGGACAGGTCTAGGAACAACAGAGCTCAGCACAGAAAAGGTAAAAACAACAAAATATAATAACCCAAGCCATGAGACCCCTAGCTCCTAAACCTAGCTCTCCTCTTTTCTTTGAACCTTGTGTCTCCCAAATCCCAATTCCCACATCCCCTCAAGTGTTCAAAATTCAAATAAAATTATATCTAAATAAAAATCGAAATACAACGTTTATTCTCATCCTCAATTGACTAAGTCTCTAGAAACACGCAAAAGTTATTTTAGGCAATCTTCAATGTATTTGCAACGTCAATGACAAATCGATATCTAACATCGGCTTTGAGAAGACGTTCCATGGCAGTATTCAAATAATCAATTGGGATAACTTCAATGTCAGATGTTATGTTGTGTTCGGCTGCAAAGTCGATCATCTCTTGTGTCTCCTTAATACCTCCAATGCAACTGCCAGCAATTATCTTCCTTCCTGTAATTCCAGAATTTAGGGTTTGTTAAAGAATGTTAATTTTTTAACCGAAAAGAAATTATAAAATAATCCTTAATCATCGTTTTTACACATTCACATGCTTACCCAAGACCAATGGAGTAATTGGAAGCTCAAAAGGCTTATCTGGTAGACCAACCATCACAAGTTTCCCATCACATTTCAACAAACCAATTAAAGGCAACAGAGGGTGGACTGCAGAAACCGTGTCAATGATACCATCCATTGTGCCCATGGCAGCCTATAAAATTAACATGACAAAATATTAATTAGGATGATTATAATCATTACCATTATCAATGAAAATTGTTCAAATATTTACCTTCATTTGATCTTGTTCACGGCTGACCAAAAAGGCATCAGCTTTGAGACTTTTAATAGCTTCGTCCTTCTTATTAGGGGATGTACTGATCACTGTAACCCTAGCCCCAAAAGCCTTGGCAAACTTGACGGCCACATGGCCTAGACCACCAAGGCCAACCACCCCAACATGCATGCCGGGTTTGTCGAGTCCGTAATGTCTCAAGGGGCTGTAAGTTGTGATCCCGGCACATAGGAGAGGGGCAGCTCCGTCAAGGGGAATGTTGTCAGGAATACGAATTACGAAGCCCTCCTCCGTGACCATGAAGTCCGAGTAGCCTCCATATGTGATGGTTCCATCGTGGTACTTGCCACCATAGGTTAGTATATATTTGGGGCAGTAATTCTCAAGGTTGTGGGAACAATTGTCACATGATCCACAAGAACCCACCATGCATCCAACACCGACTTTGTCTCCAACCTTGAATTTTTGTACCTTGCTCCCTACCTCTGTCACAACACCGACAATCTCATGCCTGCATTGTGTGATTTAATTAAGTTCACATTTAATGTTAGTTAATTAAACTCATGCAATATTTCAGATACTAATTTTCTCTATATTGATCATTTGGTATTAGACCTACCCGGGAACCAAAGGATATTTAGAACTTCCCCAGTCATTCTTTGCCGTGTGAAGGTCGGTATGGCATATCCCACAATATAATACTTTGAATGTCACGTCTTTTTCTCCCGTTGCCCTGCAACCAATTAAATCAGTTCAATTTTATAGAAATAAATCAAAACATGAGATAATGCATGGAGAGGACAAGAAAAGCCTATGATCATGCTGCATTCTATCCCCTTTTAGATATAAATGGAAAGTTTATTAATTTCGTCAGGTTATTAAGACATGAAAAACTTAAATCAAATGGATTTTAAACCTAAAAAATAAAAAAACCTAATCTTTTTTTTTAATTTGTTCGATTTCTTTGTCTTTCCTGAAGAAGAAACTATTAATGTCGAAAATTAATAACCTTCTTGAGAATTTGAAGGGAGATAAAACACCGGATGAATCCCTTGCAGCCCATCCAATGGCCTTCTTAGGGTGTTCTTCCTCAGGAGATTTCGCCATTTTCTCTCTTCTAAGTATTTTCTTTCTTATTAGTTATTATTTTCTCTGATAATAGTGTATATTAACTAATTATATACAACTTTCTTGTGACGTGCTAGTCTTTCGGGAGTTATTGCTCACATAAATCCAACTTTCTTGGCTTCTTCTTAGTCTGAATCCAATTTTTTGGGTGGCCATACAACTGTCCCAGGAAAGTACATTCACGTCATTACAATATTTCGTTTGAGCTTACCTTCGTAATTGTGTTTGATGATTTAAAAGAAATTAAACATTTTGATTTACATATATGTTTTAATAAATAAAAAACATTTGACTGCTTACAAAACAAAAATTTTGATACTTTTCCTGAATTATTTATACATACAAACCAAACAATTAGTTATAATC